GCGTAGGGCCAGCCCGGGTGTGCAGGGTGCTTGTGGCCTTGAGGCAAGGGCGTTCTTCACGTGCTCAACAAGGCCGCCTTGTGCATATCGCAAAGCGGGCGCACCAAAACCAAACTGGACTGTCCGCCAAACAGAAAGAATCAGGGACCCGTACCTTGCAGTTCTCGGGGCCGACCGGCCATTGCGTGCCTGAGCAAGACGACAACCCAGAAGTCGACTGAGCTTCTCAAGGAAAGGTTGCATAGCTTCGACGTTGAGCAGTTGATTCGCAAGCCCAAATCTGAGAATAGGTCGCAAGTCTCTTGGGATCAGATCCTTTGTGGATATCAGGAAGCATTAGCGTCTCAAGCAACTGCACTCCGTGCCTTAGATGTGGCAGTTTGGACTTAAGTGTCTTAGTCAGGGAGATCTCAGGGGGCTTTCATTGTGTACGGGGCTGAAGAGGTTGCCGACAGTTGTGTATCTGAGAGCACGCAGCTTGCACATCTGCACCCGCAAGAAGAGAGCTCGTCGTTTGAGAGAGATCTTGAAGCCGACGAGCTTCACTTGTTGTTGCGTGGCACTGACTGTGAGTCTGCCATCAGGCAGCCCTGCAGCAGGACAGTTTGACATGGCCCAGATGCAAATGCTGATGGCACAGATGGTCAGGACGGCCCAAGCTGCAGCACAGGCTGCTCAAGCAGCCGTTGCCAGGCCCTCAAGTTCGAGCGGTACAGAAGGCCGATGCAAATAAGATCCTGAATCGCCCTTCGGAGTTGTGGTAGTGCTGTGCGTGACAATGATGTTGCTCAGTGGGCTGAATGGAGTCATAGCTTTCGAACTTGGCTAGTCTTCGCGGATCATGAGTACGAAACGGACCTCAAGATCGTAGAAGAAAACCTCAACACGCCGGTGGATCTGAGCACAGCCGACGCAGCCCGCTCGCGAGATCCCAGCGGTTGTTTGCAATCCTTGCAGTGTTCTGCGTGCAAAGCCTAAAGCAATCCTTCGCCAAGTGCCTGACAAGAGTGGCTGGAGGTTTGGAGAGTCCTGACAAACACGTTTGCGCCACGAACCAAGTTCCGATTTTTTTTCCTCTGGCGCCTCTTTACTACATCAGTAGCACAGTAGGCCGGTCTTGTTGGGCTCGACAAAAAGGGTGAAACAGAGTCAGCGCAAATGTCTGAAGCTAGCACATACCAAAGCATCAAGGATTACGTCCTGGGCTATGAGGTGACAACCACCTCCTGGACCTCAGCGAAGATGCACCAGGCTTTGGGTGTGGTGCCCATGGCGTCAAGTGCCGGGCAAGAGCAATCGCCAGTGCCCATGGAAGTGGATGCGTTAATTCGCAAGGACAAGGAGAGGCATCCAAAGGCAAAGGGAAGGAGAGGCATCCCAAAGGCAAAGACAAGGAGAGGCATCCCAAAGGCAAAGGCAAGGAGAGGCATCCCAAAGGCAAAGGCAAGGAGAAGCAGCCCAAAGGCAAAGGTTCCCACCAAGAAGGCCCAGGCACAGGTAAAGGCCAGCGTGCAAAGGGAGCATGTCATAACTGCGGTAAGAAGGGTCATTATGCCAGTGAATGTTGGAGTGCACCGCGTGTCCAAGCAGTCCAGAATGCACCGTCTGGGCACCCTTCCGACACCGCAACGACTGTGAGCACGCTCGGACCTTCAGTTTCTCAACTTGCGGGACTGCAACCACCCAGCATCGTGTTGCCCGTGTTGCGATTGACATGACAGGCCCGGAGTTCATGTGCCAAGAGGTCGCATCAATGCAGTGCTCATGTGTGATGGTCAATCCCACCAGGGACCCAAGTTGGTTGAGCTTTGTGAGTTTGTGCCAATCGGTTGCCAATGCAGCGGTGACTTCACCTAACCAGCCGAGTTGCAGCCTGTTGTTTAGAGCACCAGCGTTGAACTGTGAACCATCTCGTGAACGGCCTTGGCTGGTGCTGAATGTATTCGCATTGGTGGCTGCATGATGGTGATGTGAGCCCTCCCATCTCCTTACCGACGTACCTCGCGGGTTTGGGTGAAGGGACCTGATGCGTGCCGATGCGCAGGCCAGTGCCAAAGTGGCGTAGCCTTGTGTGAGATGCCTGGACTGGGAGGTCCCTCGGTGTCATTAAAACCCTGTGGCGTTAAGGGTTTGATAACTCGCCGTGGACTTTCCCCGTGGAATCGGTAGCTGCTGCTACTCTCGCCCCCCCTCTGACCGTGCGCCGGCACCTCTGAGGGTGGGCCCTTGTGCGCCAGGCAATCGGTAGCTGCTGCTACTCTCGCCCCCCCCTGGCGTGCGCGGGCACCTTTGAGGGTGGGCACTTGTGCGCCAAGTTGACTGGTGAACCCTGTGCTCGGAGCTACTCCACTGGCTGACCACCATGGAGTGCCCTGGGCCGGTCTGGCCTGGATTGTTCTTGCTGTTAAGTCCCCACTGGCTGACCACCATGGGGCATATGCACATCTTTCATCCCCCCTTGGAAGTCTGACTTGCAACATCCTTTCGCCATTGAGTGTTGGTTGTCTTTCCTTGACAACGATTAAGCGATCCGAACCTCGTCTGATGACCTCGGGTTGACCAACCGCTGTCGCACCAGTGGCTTCATTGACGACCTCGAGTACTGAGTCCGTGGGGTATCTAGTAGTTTAGCGCGATTGCTCGCTTTGTTTCTTCGGTGTCTGTTCTTTGGTGGTTTCGTGTTGTGTCTGGCGGGTTGTGTGCGCTGACTCTGTTTCACCCTTTTTGTCGAGCCCAACAAGACCGGCCTCCTGTGCTACTGATGTAGTAAAGAGGCGCCAGAGAAAAAAAATCAGAGCACCAGCGTTGAGATGTTTGACATGTCATATGCAGATGAAGATGGTGCCTGGACCGTGCCTGAGGGCGAACTGCGTGGTATCAACTTGATGCCTAGTGACAGGCCTGCCTGTGCAGCTGCGTGTTTGAGCACCCATGCGAGCAACTTTGCCGCCGAATGCAACGCCGTGCGCAAGTGTGAAGTCAGCAAACATGGACCGGCGAGGATAAGGCACGCATTGATGACTCAGGACGAGTCGTGCCTGCCTGAATCCTGGCGCCATGTTGGGTTGCTGGGGGCACCACGAACAACAGCTATCGTGATGCTCAGGGAAGTGTGATTTCTGGATCACAGATGAGGACGGCAGTGCTTGACATAGATGGGGTTCAGTTCAAGGAAAGGTGGTTGTTAGAGAGTGTGACGCAACCGTTGTTTAGTGTGGGGAAACTCCTCAAACGGGGTTGGAATCTGATACATACCGACAATACCCCTTTCTTGACAAGCCCGGACAATGCAATCCGTGCACCGTTACACTATCGCCACAATTCTTTGCACGCCACTGAACAATCATGAATGTATCAGCGTGTACTGATCGAGAGAGCGACAGAGCTGTAATGGCGCTGACGGTTGGGGATGTTTGGTTAAGCCTGCCGGATAATTTTGTCGAGGTCCAACCCGGCATCTTTGCCCGTAGAGATTACACCACAAACTTCCTTGATGTAACTCCCACTTGGGCACAAAGGGGTGGCATACAGGACGACACTGCAGCAGAGACCCACAGGCTGGCAAGTGATCGAGGTCAACAGCCTTGTGGAAAATCTTGATCAAGCAGATTGCGAAATTGCCCCTCCAGTAAACCGTCAGACCATCACCATCGGTTCCGTGCATCCCGTGAACATCGACAGCTTGTTCTCTCGTGTGCCCAATGCCATGCCTTCAGCAGCAATGCACGATGATGATTTTCCCGATGTGCCAGATGATGCGATGAATTTTGAAGTGCATGATGAGCACGATGAAAATGTTGCTGCTGGTGATGATGGTGGAGGCGTTGGACCGCTTGTTCAAGCCGAGGATGTGCCAGCTCAAGGGCATGTAATCGTGAATGGCATAGAGCTTCACTTGGGTTGTACCCTCAGCACCCTCAGAACGGCATGCCAAGTCCTTGGGATAGGTAAGTCAGGGGGCAAGAAGACTGTTCTCCAGAGGATAGAGCAGCACCTGAAGACGCAGGAGCTGCTGCAGCAGCACGAGTTCCAGACAGATGGGCGTGAGCCGTTGCGTGAGAAAAGTTCGTGGAAGCACCCACGGCTGAGGAGCAAAGGCGCCACGAGTTGAGTCACATGCCTTATGCTGACTGTTAGATTTCCAAAAGCCTCTTAAGTGTTAGGATTCTAGGTTTTGAGAAGCTGTTTCTTGACTCCGCATGATCTAGTCCCGCTTTCTAGCGGTGGCTTACGGTTTTCATTTTTATCTTGTGTTTGCCATGTGTCCCTGGCCTGTCGCCACTGCTGCTCGACAAACGTTTCAAAGCATTTGTAGGTGAACGGTGGCAGTCAATGTTCTGGGCCTGTTTTCTGTAAAATTGTTTTGCTTGCAAGACAGTTTTGCAGGATGTTGCAGACATGGCTCTTTTCCAGACCAATTGAACAATTCGCTTGGAGAAGTTTATCCTTCGTTGCCTGCTTTGCGCGCGGCGCATGGCAGTCTGGCAGCCAGACAGTTGTGGCACATGTTGCTTTTGCTGGCGGGCTATGCAAATGGATGCCGTCGCAAACGCTGTGCAGATACAAAGGCCAGACTCCCACAATATTTGCCGGAACCCACATGGTTCACAGAGCGTTTGAGAGAACAAGGTCTAAGTGAGCTTTAGACGCGTGTGCCGCGTGCTCAGCACTACAGTGCAGCCGCAAATGTGCACAGCGCTGTGATTGAAGCAGCCGTGTGTGTGCAGCCTGGTGAAATATATTCAGGGCCTCTTACGAATTGGAAACAAGAAGCTCATTTGCTGTGGAAGTACTACGGGTGCCCGTGTGCCTCGTATTCGCTTTGTATAAGTGATGTCTGGCGCCTCAGTTCACCTGAAACACTGTCATCTGCAAGGGGCCATGCTGGCAACCTCAGTCTTCGGCACTTTTGTTTTCAAGGCAACGTTGCGCCGGTGAAGGAAGACGCCGTTTTGCATAGACCTTCCAGCCCCCAGGATTCCCAACAATTAGGCGATGTCATGGACCACTGGGGCTTGCAGGAGCTCCGAGCCAACCTGAGTGACGTGCCTGTTTTGTTCCTGCCGGAATGCGTGCTGGAACTAATCTGCAAGGGGCGATGGCCGACAATTGTTCTTCATGCTGACGGTAACCATCGAAGCGCACGTAATGTCAACTTGGAGGCTTTGAAGTTTCTCAGGACAGCCATGTCCTGGCCTTCCATGGAAGACTTCATGAACATCTGCAGACAAATCGGTGCTACTGCAACTGCTCAGTTTTCTTCTTTCATGTTGACAGAGCAGAGGGCTCAGGTTTTGCTAGACCACGTGCGGGCGCACGCAGCAACCAATTTTCAGCATCTGGAGCAGGGAGAAAATCAGGCTGTGCAGGAAGCCGTCCAACGAGCTGTTATGCATGGTACTGGTGTACGTTGATGACTTCCTCATGTGCTTTCATGAGACGTACGACATCTCAGTCCTCAAAGGGATGTTTAAGTGGGGAGAATGGACCGATGTCCGGAAAGGCATCAAGTTCAAGGGCAAGGAACTTGTCCTGGTCCAGCAGCCAAATGGCGAACTGTGTGTGAGAGTCACGCAAACCGAGTTTACCAGGAACTCGAGCGTTGGCAAAATCACCAGAGATCGAAGCCATGGCAACCCACTGCTCACTCCAGCAGAGATGACAGAGTTCAGGTCATGCTCTGGATGCTTGCAATGGCTAGCAGGCCAAACGCGGCCAGACTTGGCAGCTGGAGTATCCCTAGCAGGCCCTAGCAAACAGGGGGACAGAGACGACAGTCGAAGACCTCAAAAGTCTGTATCGACTACTGTCATTTGCGAAGGCGACAGAAGAAGTCGGCCTCATGATTCGGCCTGTACCACTGAACAGTGAAACTGTGGTGGTATCGTACGGTGACAGTAGTTGGGCAAATGCCCAAAACTACAAATCGCAAGAAGGCATTGCGATTGTCATCACCACCCGTACCGCACTGGAAGGGCTGGACAAGTGTGTGCTCCTTGACTGGAAAACCACAAGGACACCCAGAGTCGTCCGCTCTACCATCGCGGGTGAAGCGTACGCGGCCGATGACGCCATAGACCGGGCTTACCACACCAACTGCATGATGACGGAAATCATCAGTGGTCAGCCGGTCTTAAAGACAGGGCCCAAGCTGTTGCACGTCCACGCAACAGACTGTAGAAGCCTGTTCGACGCAGTAATATCTGCGAACCCGAGCACGGAAGAGAAAAGAGTTCTGATGGCGGTGAGAGCCATAGAGGAAGCCCTGGACCCGAAATGGTTCCGGTGGGTACCAACAGGACTCATGGTCGCTGACGTCTTGACCAAGGACAGCGACGCCCTGAGATGGGCTTTCCTTCCATGGCTGCGAGAGCCTACATGCCACCTTCGGGAGGTGAGACAGTAGGACTCCAAGGCATAGATTGCCGCAGCAGCTCGGGCGCTGGTGGAAGCTTTCGCTCCCAGCAAGGCACGTTCTGGGACGTTCCCAAAAGTGGCCTCAGGACCAAAGAGTGGGAGTGTGAAAGTTGTGCTCCCTCGTGTACCCTAAGCCCCATAGGTTTCAACACCCGCCGTACCTATCGGCTCAACTTGGGAACTCCCTGTAGGGCCCTTGAGCTCTTTGATGAAAAGCGCGCTACCGTGATCCAATCACTTTCAGAGAGAAGAGGTTGAGTGTCCACAGCTGCAGTCGAGATGACGTGGAGCTGTACAAAGCAAGAGCAAACGACATGCACTTGCTACGTCACTGCATCACATGCTGCAATGATGCTTGCTGCAAAATGCAACCTACACACAACGCACGAAGCGAGGGGACATGTCTCTATCACACAAACACAGGCGCTTCCACCACTACTACTACTACTACTGCTACTACTACTACTACTACTACTACTACTACTACTACTACTACTACTACTACTACTACTGCTACTACTACTTATACGACGGCGACGACGACTATTACTACTACAACAGCAACTACTACTACAACAACAACAACAACAACTACTACTACTACTACTACTACTACTACTACTACTACTACTACTACTACTACTACTACTACTACTACTACTACTACTACTACTACTACTACTACTACTACTACTACTACTACTACTACTACTACTACTACTACTACTACTACTACTACTACTACTACTACTACTACTACTACTACTACTACTACTACTACTACTACTACTACTACTACTACTATAACTACTACTACTACTACTACTACTACTACTACTACTACTACTACTACTACTACTACTACTACTACTACTACTACTACTACTACTACTACTACTACTACTACTACGACTACGACTACGACTACGACTACGACTACGACTACGACTACGGCCGCCACCACCGCCACCGCCACCAACGCCACCACCGCCACTGCCACCACCGCCACCGCCACCGCCACCACCGCCACCGCCGCCGCCGCCACCACCAGCACCAGCACCACCGCCACCGCCACCGCCATCGTCGCCGCCACAGCCGCCGCCACCACGCCGCCGCGACCACCGCCGCCCGCCGCACCACCGCCGCCGCCGCCGCCACCGCCACCGCCGCCACCGCCGCCACCACCGCCACCACCACCGCCACAGGACCAGGACCAGGACCAGGAGCACGACACGACCACGACCACTACCACGACCACTACCGCGACTACCACTCCAAGACGACCACTACCACTACCGCCAGTCTTGAACAGATGTTAAGCCTTATGCAATCAAACGTCGAACCTTGTTACTGTTCCGCCCCATTGAGGCGCGGACCCAGTGGGGCCTCCGGGCAAGTTCGCCCTTCCTCCAAGTGGACGCTCGGTGGGGCACAGCCAACCAAGCGCAATGGATCCTAAACATATGATTGCGGAGGGCCACACAGACCCCAGCGCATGGCACGAGTGGTTGAGTGTCGCGCGTCGCAGCTTTCAGAGGGCTTGACCTATGCTGCATACAACTCGCGCAAGAATTGTTGTTTGGTTAGCTGGAGCACCACGAGAGTTTTTCGGACGTAAGCTTGAGATTCGCAACTGTTCTTTGAGGCCTGATACTGGGACTCAAGTTTTCGTTGCTCTGCACCAGATTCAAGACATCAGCAACTGCATTTTGCGCTCCTTTTAGGAAGAAAGGCACAACGATTTGCTGTCTTACATAAACCCCATCATGTACCCAAAGGAGATTACAGCTGCAGACCGGCAGTGTCGCATGACGGTCATTGGGTTCTATTTAAACCTGACACCCGAACCTTGAAAGTCCTACACGCTAAACCTCAAAGACGAAATGCCGAAGCCCTCAAAATTCGAACCAGATGTGACTTTGTTCCCATCAGAGAGGAAGCGCGAAGATGCAGGAGGCAGCGGTCGGTCGTTGCCTGTGTGTGTGCGTGTGTGCGCGCTCGCGGATCGGGCAAGAGATGCGCAACGCCGTGCGTTCTTGCTTGATTCTCCCAAGCTGTATGCAAATCGCCGAGACGTATTTAGAAACAAATGGTGGGGTTTAGGATTTGGGTTTGAGCCCGGACATGCATGCAAACAGAGTTCATGCACCACCTGGGATCATGCATGCTTGCCATCATGTGCGGATGTACCGACCCAGCCCGCCCATTGTATGTGCTTTCTACTGCAGGGGAAGTCCCACGTGGCAGCATCTGACGCCGAGGCGACAGCCCTCTGCATGCGGGATGTACAAATGTATGTTCATGTCTGTATGTATGTATTATATATATATATATATGTATACACACACACACACATACATTTACATATATCTAAGACGCGGCGGACTTTGGCTCCGGGCGCAAGCGAGGGACCTTCACGAAGGTTTCTTGTGAAAGCGTATCAATGTTTGTTGAGCTGTAAGTCATTGATTGCGTGACCATTATGAATAGCCTCTGTTTTCTTTCTTCATATTGTTCTTTTCTCCTCCTGCTGCCACTACTTCTTTGTTACGACTACTGCTACCAGCAACGATGACGTTTGGGCTTTCTTCTCCGTATCTTCGTCAGGACGTCTAAGAGTTTCCGGCCTATATGGGGAATATAAGCCAGCAAGGCTGCCACCTCGGTGTTGGTCATCAGTGCTGTAATTACCAGGTACTTGGTCACCGCAAACCCTTCATCGTAAACTCTGATTCCGGACTAGGTGGGAAGGAAACCCAAAGCCTTGCGGCCGGCACCGTCCCTGCAATCCTTTCAACCCTGAACCGACAATCCATAAAGCCCCGGCACCTGTTAAACAGCCGTCAATTCATGAAACGCCCCGAAAGCCTCTTAATCCACGAAGCTTGCGTCTGTACACCCTAAAGTCCTTGGAACCTCCCTAACCCTCAAAGTCCCTGACCCACTACAAACCCCTAGATCTCGTAAAGCCCCACAGATCCCCTAAGGCTTGAAATCTCTTGATTGAAGGCTCCAAACCGCCAAACCTGAATCCAAACCTTACAATTCCTAAATTCACAGCTCTACAGTCCATAGCCCCTTGAAGCTGTAAGGCCCGAAATGCTCCAACCCGAAAACGAACACACCAAAACACCCCTGAAGGCGGCCCGGGCTTGGATGGCTTCCTCCTCATCCGCCGGCCTTCTCTTGGGGTTTCTGCTTGGCCGGGAGCTCAGTCGAGTGGTACGGTGCAGGACCAGCACTAAATGTATTTGTCTCTACATACAGGCCCCGAATATGGGTTTGAAGGTGTGGGGCTTAGTTGAGCAAAGGTCCACACATGAAAGCAGAAGCCAAATAGAAGGCCATCCGCACTACAGGTTAAAGGCAAAAGAGTGTAGGGCTTAGGGTAGGGCCAGGGTTTGAGGAGATTTTAGGACTGAGGATGTGGAAGTATTTGGGTAGTTCTCTACATACTGGTACCTTTTGGTTCTTTCTCGAAGCCCCTCCCGTGGTTCTGGAAAAGGCTGCAGGCCGAACGTAAGGGTTTGAGAGTTGACGTGTTAGGGTTTCATGTCCTTTCAGGGCCTGGGGTTTTTGGGTTCATAGGGGTCTGGTGTTTGGCCGTGTACTTGTAGGGACTGGAGTCTTGGCACTCACGATTTTACGGGGTCTGGGGCTGCAGCGCTTTGAAGGGCTTTGTCAGCGTTTCGGGTTTGTTGATGAGCGTGGGGTTTTGGCCGGCTTGATGCTTAGGGTCGAGGGTTACCCTAAACCCTGACCAAAGGGTTGAAAAGTTGTTACAGTGCGTATTGACATGGGAGAGCTGGTGGGGCTGAGAAGGAAGCTATGTAGTTGGAGCGCGGGGCGCTCCTGCCCGTGTGCTCTTCTGCGCTTTTTGGCTGGAAGCCTATGTTTTTTTAGGATTTTTATCCTTTTCCCAGGCCTCCGTCACCTGAAGTTTTTCAGGCCCTTTTCAACACGCGTGTTTTTCGGGTTTTTGCTTTTGGACACTTTTCCGCTCTTGGCTGTGCGTTTCTTCGAGTTGTTGCTTGTTTTTCTCTGTTGTTTGCACATTTGTTTCTTATATTCTTATTTTTATTTGGATCTCTGTCTTTTTTTCTCTCTCCTTTTCCACACTCTGTTTTTTTTTTCTGTGTTGGCTTTCGGCCACTTTGTTTGGTCTTGAATGGGCGTTTCTTTGGGTTTTTCCTACTCTTCCTTGCTCTTCTACCTTTTGTTCTGTCTTCATGACCTCATTTCTGTGGCAACGTTCCTGTCGTGAACAAGGCCCAAACCCCGCTAACCCTAAACCCTAACCCTATCAACCCTATGAACCCTAAACCCTAACCCTTACTTTCATTCGAGTGTTCCTCCCGATCAGCGTTCCGTGGAGCCCACGATGATTCCGTCCGTGTTACCACTGCGTGCGAATGGCCAGAGCATCCATGCCCGCGCGATGATTCCGTCCATGTTGCCACTGCGTGCGAATGGCCAGAGCATCCATGCCCGCACGATGATTCCGTCCGTGTTACCACTGCGTGCGGATGGCCACATGCCTGCGCGATGATTCCGTCCGTGTTACCACGGTGTGCGAATGGCCAGAGCATCCATGCCCGCACGATGATTGTGCATTCATCCCAAAACCCTCAACTTCAAGAACCCAATCCGCACACCCCCTAGACACTATAAACCCCAAGCCGCAAAAACCCTGAGCAGTTGTGCAGGCAAGCGGGTGCAGGACAACAAGTCACGCATTGGCACCCCGGACCAGCCCGCTGGCTCCAAAGTCCACGAGAAGAACCTCAGGACCCTTTCCTTTATTTGGGGTTTTGGCTTAGGGTTGTGAGCCCGGCTATCTGCAGTCCGAAGAAGTGGCAATAGTATGCCCTTATAGCAGCTTGTACACTTACGTATGATATTCACCTTCGAAGCACAGACTTTAACTTTCGTCCAGGAGTACCCCGAAGCCCCGTTCTAATTGTTAAGTCCTGCCGGGAGTTTTGAGAGCGTCGCAGGAACTACCAGTGGTACAGCGACGCTGTCCTCCAACAGCGGCAGCGCTACCATCCTGTCACGCCTATCAGCCTCTCCAGGATCCAATGTGCTTATTGCCCGCTCGTTGACGACCGCAGAGGTTTGGATGGCAGGAGGCATTCCTCGTCTCACAGTGAATGCGTCGAAAGGTCGTCGCCATGTTTCACCCACGTGCTCAACGGAGTTGCGGATGTAACCTCACAGGCAAACAATGCAACCCCGCAGTTCGCCATGCAGTGTTGCGTTGTGTGGCTTAGTCTTGATGCGTGGGTTTCAGTGTGTTTCTGCATCTGGCTGACATCAAAACCTGAATTCTGCGTGTTCTCTGCTGTCGTCAATAAGCTGATTGTAAGCGTTTCGTCACGCTGTCGTCAATAAACTTGATCGCAATCGTTTTGTCACGGTACACCCTGAGGAACGATTACGTTACCAGCGCACAAGGGATAAACATCTGAGGGGTTGTGAAGCCTTTTCGCAGAGCAAGAAAAGTTGGGTAAACCTGCCTTGCTCTGCGAAAAGGTTCTGTGCAAGCGCAGAAAACGTCCTATGTTGTTCCTAATGACCTAGTGTTTGTACTTTCAGAACACTGTAGAAGAAAGAACATATCCCTTGGAGGTTCGTCGGATGTCCCCTCCCTTCGTGCTCGTAGGGTGAGGGCCCCTAGAGGTTAGGCCTGGAAGCCCTAGAGCCATAGCGTGCTTGAAGGGCCCAGTGTGCGAGGTTTGAAGGTTTCAGAGAAGCATGTTGTTGGTCGTTGCGTGTGCGAAAAGACTGGGCGTGTTCAACTAGCGTCCTGCTTTTGGGTGTTCTGAAAGTGCTGTCCCCAAAACTTGGGCGCAATTTGAGCACGCTCGGTCCCGCTAGTTGAACACTTCACCCTGCGAGCGCGAAGGGACAAACTTCTAGGGCCCTCACCAAATCGCACGGCCAACCTCTAAGTACTTTCGGCCAAAACGCAGGATGCTAGTTGAACACGCTCGGTCCTTGGGTGCGCTCGGTCCCGCAAAGCAGGATGCTAATCGAATACGCTCGGTCCCCAAACTTAGGTTCTATTTGAGTACGCTCGGTCACCAAAAAGCAGGATGCTAGTTGAGCACGCCCAGTCTTTTCGCGCACGCAAGCACCAGCCAAGACGCCTTTCTGACACCTTCGAATCTCGCACGCAGGGCCCTTCAAGCACGTTATGGTTCCAGGGCTTTCAGGCCTAACTTCGAGGGGCCCTCACCCTGCGAGCACGAAGGGAGGGCACATGAGACAAACTTCTAGGGCCCTCACCAAACCTTACGAGCACGAAGGGAGGGGACGTGCGACAAGCCTTTGAGGGGTGTGTTTTTGCTTCTTCAGTGTGCTGACTGGAAGTGCAAACGTTAGGAAGACAGAGGATGTTTTCGCGCTTCAAATTTGTCGGGCCAAGAAAAGCATGAATCATGTCTATGGCTTTGTCTGACTCCCTATGAAGGGGCCGGCGCTGTAGTTTAGGGTGACCCTAGACACCTGTCAAATTTTATGTCGCGTTGTTGTTTCACGCGTTTTCCCTTGCTCTACAATCTTACTAATCTTCCTGTTTGGGATCTTCGCTGGCATAATTTGTTGGTGTGGGTGGGCCTCAAAAACAGCAGTCAGCTGCAGTCGGTCCGAGAAAACAAACAGGCAACGCAACACCGAAAGCCTCGCTACAGCTGCAACGGAGAATCCCTAAATCCTCATGGCCTCCTTCACCTAAGCCCTAAGCCGAAGCCCAGGTTCTGCGACAGCACTTGCGCCTGGCAGAGCAGGCGGCCGATCGGAGGCGGAGGTGTGGCCTGGCGCCGGCGGTTGAACTTGCGCAAAAATGCGTTTGCTCTTGTGCGATCATGGCTGATGGCTTAAGGTTGCGTGTTCAGTTCTCATCAACAGCATCATCATCATCATCATAATCCTCCCCACTATCAGAATCCGTGTTTTCATAGTCGTCGTCGTCATCGTCACCACGCCAGCATCATTATCATCATGATAATCATGATCATGATCATCATGGTCATCATGATAATCATGATCCTTCTTCGCCTCCTCCTCCTCCTCCTCCTCCTCGGTTCGCTTGGTCTCCATAGCCGATCCACAACCACTACCCCCAAATCTTGGACCCGAAAGCCAAAACCCCAGCCAGAGACCCAAGCAGCTCGATACCCCAAACCCTAATTCCCAAACTCCAAACCCCAAACCTTAAGGGAAGCAGGACACCAGCGGCCCCCAAACGATCAAAACATGTGTGGAAGCAAAGCCAAGTCCTTCAAGATGTTTCGACCGGGTCTGGCCAACATTGGCCAGCATTGGCCAGCATAGGGCAGGGGCATGGGGGGAGCATCCTTGGAAGCGTTGGGGCATCAGCTAAGCCAACAACATTGTGAATGAATCTAGATCTCGGCTTCTAAATTCAGGTAAGGTAGCAGCTTGGGATGATTGCAACGGTCAATAAGGTGGGCTGCATGGGCACTTGCAAGAGCTCGGGGGGATGTCGGACCGGGCACTCCGTTTTTTCAGGGATCCCAGTGTTATTTGGTGATTCTTTTGGCTCAAAAGGTCACAGGTCTGCAAGCAGCTGCAAGCAGTTGCTGGTTAGCTGACCTGACCGCAATGGCAGGCAAAGCTGGGAAGGAATCCTGCGGAAGACGGGCCCCTTGGATTTTGGTGCAGTGCGCAGTTTCGGATCGTTGCCTTTAGTTGCCATCGAGGTGTTGCGCATTGTTGTGCCAATTTAAGGCGTTCAAGATATGTTTCGCATTATTTGTCGCCTTGGCAACATCGAGCATCGTCTTCGCCATCAACATGTCCACGGGAGCCTTTGCAGTGGGCTCCATTGGGGTGCAGCTGCAAGACTCGATTGGGAATCGCATCGAGACATACATGGTCGGTAAAATGGAGCCCTTGAGAATCTACTTGCAGCAGGGAATTAATATGTTTGACGAGTACGGATGGAATTTGAGTCAATGGGAAGATCTCCAGAAGACTTTGCCATACCAGCGGTCTTTCTTGGAGACCTACTTTGACGAGTCCCGATGTTGCAGTGGGATTTGGACAAACTTGAGATACGACGATGCCGTGTAACTTGGATGCTGGGTCAGAGCAGTTTTGGTTTGTCGGGTCCTTGGGTTGCCGGTGTTGTTCGCTGTTTGTGATTTTTTTTTTACATGTGTTCGTTATTGCTATGTCTCGTATTGTATTAGTTGTTTTTTTACAAAGTCTGACTTGTTTGTGCCTTCAGAGAGCCAAGCCAGGCGCTGCCACCCGATCGAGAACCCTGATTGCCTTGGAACGAAGACAAACTCCATGGAGGGGGAGATCGGGCGTCAAGACTTGGGTGGTGACGCCATTTGGGCTGGAACGGTGCCTGAGCAACACTTACTTCAGCAGCTTGAGTATCAGTTTCCACGCAATTGCCTACGTTGATCAGATTTCACGGCTTTCGGACCACGTGTTCACTAGTTGCCCAACAATCGGGTCGTGGTGCTCAGGTGCAGTACTCGGACACCTACACAACGGGCTCTTATCCCGGCCTGGAGGCGGGCAAAATGAGAGTTTCGGGGGGGATATCGGGTGTTGCGAGGCACCTCCGCCCAACCCCTGATCAGGCATGCTATGGGCTGAAACGGGCTTAACGTTGGCTTGCAATTTCTGTTCGAACTCATTCTTGGAATGGGTTTGCTCAGATCAGGTATGCGACGGCACCTGCGAGAATGAGCACAGCGGGGATTTTGTCCAGGTCTTGCCGGCAAAGATTTCGGGCGCCCGCAACAACACTCTTGTTTTCCGGTGCCTCGGCGGGAAAGACCAAGACATAGTACATCCAACAAATTTTGGACAGAAATAAGAGGTCACATCGCCGGTGTGAGCCCCAAGCGGTGCAAGTGATTTCAAAAGCATTCCAGACACAGCCCAGAACACTCCAAAAGCAGTTGACCTTAAATCGTTCCGAGACCCCAAAACACGCTATAAGCACTATGCTTCGAGGCCGAAAGCACGTGCTCTTATTTACAGCGATGTTCGCACTGCAAGCCGAAGAGCTCCAAAAGTGCAAGACCTCTTGAGGGATACGCACATGCGTATCTACGTGTGCACTCATGTACAAACATATGCTTCAATCAAACGCAGATATGCATATGTGTATATCATCAGAAAGAATCCTTTCGCTGAGGTGGTATGAGAAACAGCGCTCCCTCTCGCCCTGGCTCGGCGAAGACACCATCACGTGGGCACAAAAAGTTTGAGAACTAGTTGGGCTTCCGGACATCTTTAGGAAGTTTAGGACTCAGAGGGTTTGGGGAGGAGGGTTTTGGGGTTGAATGTGGTTGGGTGTATGCAATCTCGGGCCGTAAGCCAGGCACGAGGCACGAGTGCACCCTGGGAGGTCATGTCCAGAGGCATCTGGGCCAGAGTGCAAGCAGAAGGACAGTTGCCCCGGCTTGTTTGAGCTCGCTTTTGGGATCATTGTGGATTCTGAGGCGAACGAAATGCTGTGCCTTGCGGTTTTCGGTGTGACCTTTGAAAATTTTCGGGAGTTAGGGTGATCAAGCGATTAGCCCTCGGCACTAGCGCTCGCAACACCCGACGAGTTGCATCCTACATGCGTAACCTTCTCTAATAATAACTCAAACACACAAACTAAACTCGACGCGAATAGCCCAGGCTTTGGCCACTGGGTTCAGCCCATAGGATTCGTCCATTGGCCGATTCAAGACGGATACTGGTACCTTGGCCGGAGTTTTCCAGTGTAGGGCGCTGAAATCAACAGGGGGGTTGGAAGGTCTGTGCAAGGGAGCTGCGAGAACCCGGACTTCAGGGCTCATCAAGATCACAGCTCGACTGCCAAGGTACAGAGACATCCAGTATTACAATCTCACCAAGGGCCAGGTCCGATTCGCGACGCGGGTGTTTCCCTGGACTCTCTACCCGCCCGCGGTCATGAAGTCTCACATGTGCTTCGGCTCTTTTTCTCAGAAGTCTGAAGTTTGAAGGCGGCTTTGTGACTTGGCCTCTCCAAGGCTTTTAAACCCCCAGACCAAAGAAAGACCGACTCTGAGGTTCACGCCAATTTACAACCCCCAGGGTGAGCGGATTGGCGGTTGGGTGGTGGGCTTCAAGCTGCACTGGATCACGGCCTACTTGCGAGACTTGAAGAAGCCGCCGGGGACCTTCATTTTCATTGTGGAGCGCAACACTGGCGTGCTTATATCCACGTCAGATCCGCATATCCCAGTTTTGAAGGACTACACCACCAGCGCCAGCTATCAGGATGTCATTCTCGCAACCGAGTGCCCTGACCTCCGAGTCTCAGAACGTGCAAAGAAGCTGCTGGAGATGGCTGGCGCGTCGAACCCTCAGGACCCTGGGGGCAGTACCGTTGTACAGACCTTGCAAAGCAGCCCAAAGACAGCTCGGCTTTAGGCTCTTCCAGTGTTTTGCCCATCTTTGCACTTTTTGGATTGACCGGGGTGTACGATGTTCATGTTGGTCATCTTCAGTAAGATAGGCTCATAGCCCCTCAGCCTGCTTCAATGGAGCCTGAAAGCGCAGCTCCTCGCAAACAACTCCTGCAAGAGCCCTTGGAGGACTGGAGCCGTGTGAGGAACGTGCTCGGCCGGCCTGAAATCAAGACCACAGGTGTGGAGTTCAAGAAATGTCGAAGCTAAAAAAACGCCCCCTCGATTCCGCCTACTTTTCCGAAGCCCTGAAACGCTGAGGGGGCCATTGTAGGCCCTCCGAAGGGGCACAGCAGGTACAGTAGGGGAGCCTTCCTGTCCAGGCGTGGAGCCGGTGGAAGAGTTCCTCCTCTCTCGCGATTTTGAACATCAAGGCAGTCTTCCTCCCTGCTCCCCTCCTCCTTGCCAAAATGTGCCAAAATGTGCCAGGCATCCCAAAATGCATGAGGCTGCTTTTCCTGAAGTTTTGGGGCCCTCTCTCACTTGGGAGGTCTGGACTGGGTGGTGGCCATCACCATCCCCGGAGACACGATCTTGGAAGACATCAACGCAAACATGCTCCCCTGACCTTGTGAAGTTTCGGGCTGTGGGGTTCGGGGTTCGGGGTTCGGGCTACGCGGCTTTTTCCTTGGGCCTCGGTTGCAATGTACGAGGCAATGCGAGGCCACGGTGCTTGTGGTGGCGTAGGTGAACGTTGAACTCTTCTCGAACCTTTGGGGGTGGGAGTGAGCGCATGTGTTTCTCCGCTTTCAATGGCGAAGTCGGTTCTGAAGCTTTTTTTTTTGTTTTGTTTTGCGTGTTTTGGCTAAGGCTCATTCGTCTTGGTTCCATCCTGGCCGCGACGGGCGGGATGAAGATCTTCTCTTCGGTGGTGCTCCTCAACTCTTTTGACATGGGGCGGTTGGGGCACCCCCCAAGCCCTCGGCCCGAGCCTAAAGGATCCAAACCCATCCAAACCCAAACTAAGGCTTACCGGAGTCCTGATGCTTTGGGTGAAACACGGTGGAGGGGATGCGGGAGACATGGACGTCGATGCCAACGACGTCACCGATGGCTTTGATGCAATTCGTGTGTAACGTTGCAAGTCAAGAGCCCCTGTGACACGCCTGACCATGGCCTAGAGACTCGCCTAAGGACTTGCGTGTTTCTAGATCGCTCCATGTTTGTAGACTGTAGATCGCTCATATTTTCTCCTTCGCACCATGCCAGCAGCCTCGGCAAAGCCATGCTGCAAGCAGGTGTTTACGTATTTCATCGTATTTCCATGTCTATTTCCGGCCCTTCGAGTTCGTTTCCAGCTTCGAATGAATGAACCGGGGCCCTTTCTCAACTCAGAGCCCCGCAGAGCGTGGCTCTGATTCATGTCAATTCACGTGCTAGTTTTGCGACCTTGCCACCTTGCGACAAACCGCAATAGGGAGCTCATTCCTTGTGAGATCTTCTGAGGTTTGCACTCGTTGAAGTAGGCCTCGCAGGCTTCTTGTGGTTAGAGTTTTTTTCACATCGTAAAGTTCGGGTCTACATTGTTTGGGCTATGTGACTATGTAACTTGGACACGGCGACGAAGGCAACTGATGCTGTGTTGTGTGAATCGAAGAAACCATCGTCGCAGCCAGAGGAGAGCAACAGCACTACCAACAATGACGAAGAAATGAGTCACAATAGCAACATTTGCGGATCATCTGCAGCACATGAGATATCTGCAGCAAAACTGAGAACTGTGCTACTAGAAGCAACGGCTGCCAGACGCAGTTCTGTTGCTAGCAGCAGCGGCTGCAGTAATGATGTACCCTAAACCCAAAGCCCTTAACGTTAAAGCTTGAGCCAAAAGGCCAACAAACCAAAGCCCCAAAGCACCCGCCCCACCCCCCCCCCTCCCGGCCAAAGACCTAAGCCCAACCCGCAAACCTGCAAAGGCCCCAAAAACTCTAAACACCGAACTTAAAGCCGTGAGTGCCCGCAAGCGCCGCAAAAGCCCAGCTTTGCAGCATGGGCGCAGAGGCCAAGCTGCGCCTGTTGTAGCGGCCCGTGGGGGCAACAGGGCCTCGTGGGCGATTCGAATTCTGTTTCTTTGGTGTTGGTGAGCTGCTACGACTGCTACGATTCCGCCGGCTCAACCGAGCAAGGCTCCAGGGGTCCCGCATTTTTTCGTTTTTCTAAATCTTCCTTTTTTCCACAGCTGCTTCTTTGATCCTCCACAGGTCTTGTGCCGTCGCGCCGTCGCGCCATGCTGTACTCGGATTTCTGTCCATGTTCATCGTGTAGCATCAGAAGCTCTACTTGATTCATAGCTGAAGTCATACGTTGTTTAAGCTTTGGTCGGTATGCCGAACGGTTGACATTGGCATCGCTCAGCCTTCTCAGCTTCTATGCCACACCAACACACGTCTCACGGCACTCATATCGCCCGATGCCCGGCCATGGACCTCTGAAACACGCGGCGTCTGTCAACACATGACAGCAGGCCGCTGCAATTGTCTTGTCATTCCGTCGTGTTTGTGTGTGTTTCTGTGCGTGTGTGTGTGGCATCCTTGTGTTGAACGTTGGGGAAGTGTCCGAGATGAGGTGAGATTTTCCATGTGTCGCCAGTGGCTTCCGGAGAGGCTGTGGAGAGGGCTGCTCCTTCACAACCTTTGATGTCACTACGACCGGGGTCACAAGTGCGTGTGATGAGTTTTACGTGGCAGCTCGCGGATCGCTTCGCTGCCTTCGCGCTGGGCTGCTTAGGTGCCCCCCCGGCAAGTTCCTTGGAAACAGTGTCGAGAGCCATCAGCTGCAAGGCTCATCAACTCCTAGCAAAGCTGGAAGCCAGCTCGGCATCATGGGGAACGTGTCAGAGGTTGGATCTTGTGCCGTTGCAGCTTTTGGCTGGTGCAGAGCCTGCAGAGCCTGCAGAGCCTGCAGAGCCTGCAGTGCCTGCATAGCTTGGACACATGCCTTGGGGATCTTTGGACAGGTTGAGCTGCGAGAGTTGCTGTGCCACCTCGAGGCTTTAGCGAAGCAGCGGGCCGCCAAGCAGGCCTTGGCAAGCCGAGCTCCGTTGGCTCCACGCGAACGCACACGAAAGTCGGGGGGTTTCGACAGGCCGGGTATCCGCAGAGCGAGCCAGGCCGTGAGGGTGTGCCGAGCCCTTGGGGGGGATCTTGCCGGGGCTCCGCGGAGCCATCAAATAAAGTAAATATACAAAGCGCGGCTCGTTTCTTGTTCTTGAGAGGGAAGCGTTACCTTTGTTTTGGTGCGATGTTCTGTGCTCTGAGGTGCAGCGCCGAGTTCAAGCGCGCCTTGGGTGAGGAGAGGGGCGGGCAGCGGCACTTTTGTTGGCAGAGCCGCGTGTCGTCTCTTTGTCTCCTTCCTTTGGGCAAAATTGGCATCTCTTTAAGAGGCGTGTGGGGTGGATGCCGACCGCCTCCCTTTGCTGCTCCCTCGAGACGCGGCTGGGAAGGTGGACCTGATGGGGATTTTCAGGCACAGAGCCGGACCCGAACTGAAAGTTTCTCAGCTTCGTTGTTCGGAGACAGGATGGGCTCCCAGATTTCTGCCCCGGTGCTGGGAGGTCGAACCCTTGTGCAAAAAGGTTTCAAGATCTGTTTCGCCATGCTTCGAATGCAGCTGAGCGGAAATTTTGTCTGAGACGAAGCCCATTGCCGGGAGTATGTGGACAATGCCTCGGACGCAGCCCCAGGTAATGAGTTCTGCAACGGGTCAGTGAGGGCCAGTGAAAGTGGAGTGCAAGTGCGAGTTCAGAGTTCCCCCAGGACTTGCCGGCCTCGTGTGCGGACTGGCACGCGGCGTGCGGCCTCGAGAACGAGGCGATGGGACCCAGAGTAGCGACACTATTTGCCGAGTAGGTATAAAGAACGTAATCAGACACCTTGTGCCATCTCAACTTCGCGTCTAGGCCAGCATCTGACCGCATCGCACGCTTCATAATAGGGCTTTGGAGGCTCCGAAGTTGGGGGTTCACAGTGTTTCACGACAAGACGTGGGTCGGCTGCATCGGCTTCTGCTTGTTTCTCTTGCGCGGAGCGAAGTCTTGTGTACTCCTTGTGCACGAAATGAGCCAGGCCAAGAAAACCAGGCACCAGTCACCCGTTTCTCACCCTTTTCGGTGGCATGTTCCCTTGTATTCTGGTGTTCTTGTGAAATCCATGCCTCTCTCATCGACTCACTTACCTTGATACTAGTCTGTCCAAGGTGTTGAACTAAAACCAGATGACAACAACGTCCCGGCATGTCCCGGCATGTGACTTCCAGCTCACGCGTGTTGCCCCTGCTCAGAGGTCAAGGAAAGCTCTTGGGCAGAGGATCTCGGCCGAATCAACAAGCTTCGGGCTGCACAGCCCTCAGCCACTCACGGCAAGGGGAAAGGCAGAATACCCGAAATTCGGAGTCCTGCAGGCCAATGCCTTTGGAAGCGAAGGCCGCGAGGCACGGAGGGGGGACCCGAGAAGACATGGAGAAGAGCGCTCTAACTCCGGGGTGGAGAGAGAGAGAGCGGGCCCGAAGATGTCCAAGCGAGACGTATTCACACTTGGGTGACTCTCTCTTTCTCTCTCTCGCTCGCTCTCCCTCTCTACTTTCTGAGGTCTCTGGCGACTTGCTGGTCGCTCTCTCCCGCCGCTGCGGGCTGCGAGCCAAGTGCTGAAGAGTTCGGGGGGGGGGGGGGGCTTCGCCTTTTTGCAAACTTTGCGCGATGTTTTGCGAGCCCCAAGCAAGCCCTGAGCCTACCACAGTATTCTTTTTGACTTGTAAACCGAACATACACAGGAAACAGAACAAAGCTTCGAACCCCGAAGAAAGAACAAGCGCTACTATCTGGTGTTATCTCCGCCCCGCCCTGCAATGCCAGCCTTCGACAGGTGTATGGACAGATAGACACAGCCAAGAGCTCCCAGTTGTAACTTTTGTCTTGAAGTCACTTCGCGAATCTTTGCAAGCGTTGTTTGCGTCTAGTCCAGACTTCCGCTTTGCACAGATTTGGGCTTTGGCATGCTGTGAGTGCTCAGCACAAGCTACAGCTACAGGAGCAGGAGGCCAGCCTTGGGCAAGACTGCGTTGCGTGCGCTGATGGAGTTGTCGCGAAGCCGGCGCCTTGGATCTCTCGCACTGACACTGGCTATCAGTGCCTCAGTGTCCAGTTGATGCTGGCAACAGGCTCCCAAGACGAACGTGCCTGGGTGGCGAGGGGGGCAGAGATCCTGACTTGCTGTTCAGCCGCCGTGTTGGTGACAAAGGCGCGCCTATCTCTCTCGCTCTCGCTTTAGCGGACAGGCTACGCTGTCTCCCTGAGGTGACCGCCCGACTTTGCGACGAGACCCTGCATGCTATCCTTCGCTCCCATCTCAGAGCGTACTTTCGTCCGGCATCGAAAGTCGGCACCCGACAACGTAATAATCAGCAAGCTAATGCAAGCTAGCTGAGGCCGGTTGGTGGACTTTTCAACGGCGCTGGCTTTGCAGGCTCTCACTTGATATAGCAGCTCTGTGGTTATGTGGCTACGTGGCCACGTGGCCACGTTGCCCTTGGGACAATGGTTACCATGGCATTTTGCGTACCAGGCGGTTACAGCGGCCGCAAGAAGCCAGGCCAGAAAGTGACACAGGATGGCACATGATGGCACGTGTTTGTCGCAGTTTCTTGTTGGCAACCCTGGCTGAAACCCCCTCTCCATCTCTGCGCTGGTTGCAGAGGTTGAAGCCGGGCATCCGACGGCAGTCGTTGCCCTGCTGCGTGCGGCGACGGCCTCTGTTGGGTCGAGTCATCCGAGTCACGGGTAGTTTCGGTAGTTTCCACCTCTTTTTTTACAAGCCGGGTTGAGCTCTGAAGGCCGCGCAAGTTTCCTTTGGCAGCCCACTTAGAGAACACTCCTGGTCATGGTCACAGGATGTCGCCGGCGAACAACATGAAGCGTGCTGTGCAGGCCCGCTCGAGGCTGCGAGATGCGCTGAGAGCGCTGCAGCCGCTGCAGCCGTGGCAAGCCTTCTGAAGGATTCCACTTCTGCCTTTGGTTGGCTCTTCCTGCGGAGCTCCGTCGGTTTTGCATCAGGACATCTTGAACAACCGCCGATTTGCGATGGCCTTCTCCGAGGAAAGATGCTGTTGCATCGTGCAGAACCTCCTGTGACTCAACGGGGCACACGTGTCAGCACGCGATCGCACATGTGGAAGGCCCGGGCTCTCCAGCGCCAGCTCTCAAGGGTTGTGCAACCCGAGAGCGGACCTGAGAAGACCACCTGAGACGATCTGAGCGCCACAATTGGTCGCGGCCGAACACGGCCGTCGGCCGCCTGCCCAAGAAAACATCAAAAAACATAGATGGCCCTTTCGCTGCGGCGCTTGACGGTTTAGGTCTCTTAGACAGCCTGGGCCCCTCGGAAGTCTGGCTCAAAGAGGCTGCCAAAGAGAGCCATCTTTCATGACATGCACTCCCTCCACAACATGTTGACGACTTTTCAGCTAGTCTTGTAGGTCATGAGACTCTGGTGAAACGCAGAAACAGACAACCTCAGCAAGCCGAAGTCGCCAGCAGTCGCATAGCTCAGTGCAGTGGGATGGGCCAGCCCATGCCCCAGTGTGACGTTCGCACGATGGAGAGAGCAATCTGTAGACCATGTAGACGTTGCGTGGCAGGCACTGCGGATGTTGTAGCCCCTTCGTCGAGAGGGACGACTTGCCCGAGGCACGGCGAGAACTCGAGTGAACCGGACTTCGCCATACGTCGCCGCTTCGACAGAATGCCCTGTCAAATGCAACTCTCTTCGCTAGCTGTCGTCGCGAGAAACCGTCATTGATTCGGAGTGCTTCTCGTGTAGCGTGTCAGCACTCCTCGCTTGTTTTGTTTTTATTGAGAAGCGTGGTCTCCAGGAGCCCTTCACCTCTCAGGCCGGCCAAGGGGCTGATGGGCTGATGGGCTGATGGGGGCCGGGCTGTGGCCGCACCTTGGGTCATTGGGTCACCTTGTGTGCTTTCTCTGATGTGGTGCTGCGACGGAGATGCCTTCTGCCCCGGCGAGGCCGCATCAATCCGCACCAACGCCCCGACCTTGCTTGCCCGAGCCTCTGAGTCTTCGATGCTCAAGACTGGAGTCACGATATTCGTCACGTGCGCAGACCGATGAGCCCCGCGCAGATGAGCCTCAGGCTGTGTGTGGATACTGATGGTGTAGAAACTTTAGAAACTCATGTGCTTCCAAACCCTGGATCATTTAGGGAGGTTCAATCAGAGAGACTTGAGGTTCTGAGAGGCACATTGCGATGGCACTTGTGGCGGTGGCAGGCCTGGGCGCACGGCGAGAGCTTCGCCACCCTTGCCACGCTGGTGCCTGCCCGGTGTCCCAGAACGGATGTTGAGAGGTTTCTCGGCCTGTCTTCTTCAAGGCTTTTCTTCTTTTAGGCTTTTGTTCCTTGGGGTTGTGCTCCTTATCTCGGCTTCGAGGACAGGGCCAGCTTCCGGACGCTCGTCCCGGACAGGGGGGAAAGGGGGGCAAGGGGGGAAAGGAGGGAAAAGGTCGTGGCACGGGCCCTTTGCGACTTCAGTCCAAGACATTCCGCGTGCAGGATCGGGGGAGCTTCAGCACCCTCATCCCGGACAGGACACTTCTCTATGAGGGTGGAGACTCTTTGACTCGCACGCAAAATACATGGGATGCGTTATGGCTGTGAACAGGAAGAGCTTCGAAACACTCCAGCCCAGCCGACTGAGTGCGGCACCGAGATGCGGGGCAAATCTCTAGAGAAGAAGGGCCTCGCTTGCGTTGTTATCGCATGTTTGATCTGTGGTGTATGCTGAGGCTTTGGGACCTTGCTGCCCGACAGGCCCAGCGGAATGGAAGGGCATTTGTTTTGATACCTCCGCGCGACTTCTCCTCTTTGTGGTTGTTGTTGGTGGTTTCCACCCTTCTCCTCCGCATCTGACAAAAAGCGCAACCCTGCTCTGCTTTGCATCGGTGCCTCCACCCCATTGCCCATGCTTCCCGTGCCGAGGCTGAGCTTCCAGGCGCCCCTCCACGAGGAGCCCGAAGGCGGGGAGAAGGAGTAGGGCTGAGTAGGGGAGAATGGGCTTGAATAGGCTGAGTAGGCGGAACCACATCGGAACCACATCTGAACCTGTGTCGCAGGCTCTGAGAAGAGCTCGGAGAAGGGTGAGGCCCATGACACGGCCTGTGTTTCTTCCACCTCCTCATCTGTCGCCATCTCTTGCAAGGAGCGGCTGGCGAGCCTCTACGCCGAGTCCCTGGAGGCGCCGGAAACATCCACAAAATATTCGGCCGTTTCAGTGGGCCTTCTTTGAAAGTCGCCGCGAAATCATTGTTTTTGAGCGTTTCTGTTTTGGGAAGGCGCAGGCTGTGGCCGCGAAGGCCCCGGCTTCAGACGCACGGTTGTTAGTAGGAATTTTCCTCAGAAGCTTCATGTGCGAAGCCTGATATAGCACCGATTTTGCAGGGAATCTCTTCTCCTGACTTCTCTCCTCTCTTCTCTCCTCTCTTCTCTCCTCTCTTCCAGGCTCCGCGGCCTCCAGCTCGCGGCTTCCTAGGTGCCGGGGTGGCAAAAGGGGTTCCTGATGCACGTGCACCATGGTGCACCAAAGCGCGTTCATCTCCTTGCTGTTTCTGCCCCGGGCCAGGGCGCATCGCCTCGATCCGCAAGTCCTCCGCACCATACCGGAATTGAGAGTTTCTAGTTAGGTCCTGCGTCCTGCGTCTCTTGAGCGCAGGTTTAGACTCGAATAGCGTTGCCGGCGAGCGTTGCTGGCTAGGCATCGCCCTAGCCATGGCCGTCGGCTCAACGCCGGTTCAACGTTCACGTCAAGTTTCACCGAGCCGAGTCGTAGGTGCGCAGAGCATGGCGGCACAGCCGGCTTAGTCGGCCTGGTGCTACAAAAAGAGTCTGCAAGCTGACATTACGAGCTCACACCACGTCTCTTTCATGCTTTGAAAGGTTCGGCTCAGTCCTGTCGACGGCCGTTACTGGCTCTGCAAGACTTAGTCATGTCGTGTGTGAACCTGCAGCGAGTGCCCATGCTGCTTCCAATCTTGCAAGGTGTAACCTGTTTGGATATGTTGCAATGTGGTGCAGAAGCCGCATAAGACAATCCACACAACAGAGGCTGCTGCAAAATGCGCCTACTTGAGCGATAGGCCAATGGCCCACGAGGACGAGAGAGAGCGAGAGAGAGAGAGAGAGAGTGAGAGAGAGAGGGAGAGGGAGAGAGAGAGAAAGAGAGCTCTCAGAGAGAGAACTCCTACTCTTTGTCTTGATAAGTCAGCAAACTGTATTCGCAAGTACGAGATGTTTACGATTGCTGCATTTCAGACGTTTCTCGTCCCTCTCTCCTCTTGTTTTTTCAGGAGGAGCAAGCCTTGGAGATCGAGGCGTCTCCTTTGAGTGTCTCAGGGTGTTGCGCGCCTCGGGGAGACTGGGGCTCTTCTCGTTTCTGCCAACCCTCAACGACTCCTTTGTTTTGTTGCGTGTGCAGGCGTTGCAGTCGATCTTTGAGGGTGAGGAGTTCAAGAGTATTTCTGAAAAGGAGTGGGGCGCCTTGGCGAGCCCCCTCATGTCCATCTAATCTCGACCTCGGCGCCATCTTTCGGCATATGGGTTGGCCTTGCCACGCTCAATGCATGAGCTCTCAAGGTTTGCCATAAAGCTTCTGCCCTTCCCTGGTGGAGAGGAGGAGCGCTTGCTTCGCAGCCTGAGTGTTGGAAGTTGTCAGTGCTATGACTCCTTGCAGGAGAACCATGTCGGCGTCGTGCTGCATGTGACGTACACTGACACCTACCCAGATGAACCACCAGAGTGGCAGCTGGAGGAGCAGGGAAGAGACACTTTCTTGTTATAGTTGACCATGTCGAGTTCGAAACAAGCTGGCAGTTGTCTTTCGAAGGACGTCCAGGGGCTTGGCGACGAGAAGCTTGAGTTGCTGCGGGAGCGTGTAAAGGCGCCGCGAGGTTTGGGTTAGGCTTAGGTCAGGGTTCCGCGGGGCTCTGGTTATGTTGGGTCTTGGACGCCCCTCGGGTTTAGGCATTTCAAGGTTTTTGGCTTTCGTTCGTTTTTTGGTGGACTTACAGGGACCTATATGGACCTACATTCACCTACATGGACCTATGGATATTGCGCATGGTACGCCTGCCACCCCCCTCTCTCTCTCCCTCTCCCTCTCTCTCGTATACGTGCCTCTCTTTGTCGTGTGTCTCTGTGTCTCTGCGCGCGCGCACGCGTGTGGGTGTGGGTGCGGTGTGGGTGCGGTGTGCGTGCGGTGTGCGTGCGGTGTGCGTGCATGTGCGCGTGCGTGCGTTCTTGGCATGTTCTTAAATGTGTGTGCAGGTGTTTCCTTTGTTGTTCTGGTCTTCTCCCCACAAGACAAGAAAGAAGGAGACCATCGAGTCGTCGCTGGGAATGGCGATGATCTACCCAGTAACGGAGGCATGTCAGGACGGCACTGGCCACAGCTGTTTCGAGCATTTTGATCAAGCTTGGGACGTCGGTCAGTCTGGTGGGGAGCACAACTACATGTTCTTGAGAGGTGTTGAGTCCGTTTCAGTTCCAACTTGTCCCCCCCGCCCCCGTTTGTCTCTGCTGGGGCTCATGCACCAGGACTTCTTGAAGGAGAACAATCAAAAGGAGTTGTCCATGCACGAGCAGATGATGCTGCGGCAAGCGGCTGCCGAGGAGAGCGTTGTAAGCGGCTTTGTGTGACTTTCTTGGCCCCTTTTTTTTGACAGATTTTCGCGTGTCACGGCGTGGTTCTGCTGTGCAGATCTGTGAAGGACGATGGGGAAGATGACGAGGACACAGCAAGGCCAAGGTTGTAACCTGGGTCAACTGCAGTTCTTGTTTGAGGATGCCGAGGAGGATGATGATGAGGAGGAGCAGGAACCTGAGTGGAAGGGTGGATGCCTCAGGTTCACAGTGACACAGAGTTCGCCTTAATGTTTTTAAGCCTTTAGCCGCTTTAGCCGCTGTAGCCGCTTTTAGCCGCTTTAGCCGCTTTAGCCTTGAGGACTGACGGAGAAGGCGCTTTGCCCCGAGAGCGAGCGGATCACGGCGGAGAGTTTTGCAGCTTGGAAGGCCCGGCGGGGAAGGGCTGATCGGGTTTCAAGCTTTGATCAAGCTTGATCCCGCACCAGAAAAGTGCAGGCCAAGTTCGATGCGGAGATGATCGAGAGCGGCGTCTTGAAGCGAGACGAAATCAGGTCAAGGAGCTGCGATGTGTGATGCCGTGTGTCTCCGTGCCAAGCAGCATGCATATGTGTCTGCGTGCATCTGCGTGCATCTGCGTGCTGTGTGTCCGACTTGTCCTTGCCGAGGAGCGGCAAGCTGATTTTCATGCAAGGCCAAGAAGGGGAGGAACGTCTGGGTCCCAGTCTTGTGATGTGGTTGTTGCACATTGTTGCACCGAAAAAATTGGTGCTAGCTTCTAGTGCCTGCGCTTTTCGATCCACTATGTGCCGAAGTGAAGGCAAGAAAGAGGAGAATGGTTATCCGACCAAGTGGAAAGCTTAGGATCTTGTGGGACTGTGGGGAAAAGGTAGCAGACTCTGCTGCATGCTGTGTTAACTGCATCTAAGAGACCGTGCCCTAGAGATGCAGGTCCGACGTTCTGGTGTACGATGCGGCTTTATTTGGTGAGGTGGGCTACTGCCGACACCAGCGACCCAGTTGTGAGGCACGTCTTAGAAGTCTTCCTCCCTGCTTGCTAAACCTGAAAGGAGGATGCCGACCTTGATGACATAGAGGACGACTGAGGCTTGGGAGTTCACGTAGGCGCTTAGAGAAGCACAAAGTGCTTCTCCATTATGCCTCACGTGTTCAAGGACCGACGAGGGTGCGACGGCGACGTCATGTCCCTTTCAAACATGCATGCCTGTGTGTGTAGGCAGAATGAGACATTGCTGCCCTGAGCGAGCCCTGTGGCTTATCCGGAGAACATAGTGTGCAGTGGATTGCGAAATGGCCATGTGGAGAGTGACGTGTTCAACGCGTCAGATGCCGAAGCAGGCTTTGGTCGAAGGCTGCCCAAGGGCGAGGGTTTAATCTGACTGTTCGTTACGGGTTCTGAGTACCTAATGGGGCAACTTGCGATGGGCTGGTCAGCTCCAAATTGACCTGAGCAGTGACGCAAGTGATTAGCGGCTAATGCCTCGGACGCTGCCTTGGACATCGTGGGCCTCCTTCGATATTGAAGGGGTGAGACAGGCGCCATGGACTCTGGCCTGTCCGGGTCCAGGCTCTGCACGCGCCACTCTGGCAATGTCAGCCTGCACCTCGCAGGCCTCACGCCTCAACGGCTCTTTCGACACGATCAGTGGTCAGGTCCGTCAGGTGCACTGGGGTAGCTGGAGACATGCCCTTGCCGCTCTTGCCGCCCTGGCCGCTCTTGCCGCTCGGAGCCTCGCAGAGCCTGGTGACTGTGGTGACCGTAGTGACCGTAGTGAGCGTGGTGACAAGAATGCGCTCCGAAGGGCCCTCCGTCGCACCGTCGTTCGCACCCTTGGAGCTCTGGCCCGGACCTACCCGCAAAACCCGCACGCCTGGCAAAGGGCCAAAGCACTTCTGGCCGGCGCCGGGGGCCTCAGATCTGAGAGCAAAAGAGATCTTCTTGAGGCGTGTAACAGTGTAGCGGCGTAGCACGGTGAGGCTGTAGGGCAGACGCGGGCTTGGGCCTTCAGGTGTAATGTGCGGTGATCCTTTTGTTTGCCAAAATGCGCTATAGAACTTCCATCTCATGGAAGCAGAGCAGATGACCACAGCGAGCCATAGTGAGCCTTGCACGTTTCGTCCGCATCTGCTGTTCTTGGCTGTCACGGTCTCGTCCGCTTGTACGGTTTTTGGCTGTCACGGTCTCGTCCGCTTCTACTGTTTTTGGCTTGGTGGCATGCTCCCGGAAAGTTCCAGACTCAACTTCTTTTCCTCGGGGAATCTTATTGGCGGCAGCTGTTTCACAGGTGCAAAACCCACTCGCGCTCGGGAGCTGGGATGCTGTTAACCCAACAGTTCTGTTGCTCAGAGTCCCACCCAAGACCATTTAATGGCTACCGCCAGTGCCGCCGAGGGCAGCTGAAAACCATAGTTGCTTTGACCCCCAAGCTCTAAACTCTCATGTCACTGTACCTTCAAGCCGAAACCCCGATCCAAAACCCTGCCCCTCTCTATGTCCGACTCGACTTCGCCGTCGACGTGTGCCGGGTGGGGGGGGGGGGGGGGGGGGGGGGCAAGCACTTCCCATTTTGGGCGGCTACGGCCAGGCCAAGCTCACCCTTGGTACTCCGAAAAGCTTTCGCCCAAGGTGTGCCGATTTCCCCAGCCCCAACTTCCACCTCAACCACCTCCCCCCCTCTCCCCAACCACCCCTCGAACCTGGTGGTACCACATAACAGCCCACCCTAATTAATCTTTGCTGAATTCATAAACTTTTTGCAATTTTATAAGGCTGCTTTCACTAGCGCCGCTGAGCAATGGTGTCGTGCGCACGGCAAAAAAAAGCGGCCCTCTGTGCTGTTCGAGAGAGAGAGAGAGAGAGAGAGAGAGAGAGAGAGCGAGCGAGCGAGCGAGCGCGAGAGAGAGAGAAAGAGAAAGAGAAAGAGAAAGAGAAAGAGAAAGAGAAAGAGAAAGAGAAAGAGAAAGAGAAAGAGAAAGAGAAAGAGAAAGAGAAAGAGAAAGAGAAAGAGAAAGAGAAAGATAAAGAGAAAGAGAAAAGGGGAGCGAGAGAGAGAGAGAGAGAGACCACGCGCAGTCTTCCACTGCTTCTCGCCCTCTTGCTGGCTCCTCTTTGTCTTTTCTCATCTTTGTGCTGCACGCATTTGTGGGGCTCGGGCTGCGGCTGATGGAAGGGTATCCCTACAGAGGAAGGACACCTCCTTAACAGAAGTCGCAAGGCGCCGTGGCAGCTACCTCCGGGGTGGTGTGGAAATGCTGCCGAAAGTGGTGGGTGTGGTGGGGGTGTGGGTGGGGATGTGGATTTCGAGACACAAACCCTATACAACTTCTATAAACCCTAAACCCCTAAACCCTAAACCCTGTTTTCGAGTCGTTTGGATTTGCTGTCGAAAACCGAACCAACGAGATTGTTTCTTCTTTTGTGAGAGACGGGGGTCGCGGTTTGGGACGCCGCGGCAGCATCCCTCTTTCGAGAGGGGTCGGGGGTGGGGGGTGGAGGGTTGGGGGTAGGGGGGGTGGGGTAGGGGGGAGCGGGTACCGGGACCAGGCGGCAGCAGACTCGATGAAGAGGAAAGGGGGGGAGTTGGGGGTGGGTGCGGGGTTTGGGGCAGTGCAAATGGGCAGGAAAGAGGGGGAGGGAGGTTTGAGGCTGAGCGGATACGGTAAGGGTGAAGAGGACACGATGGGTGAGGGGAGACGGTAAGAAGTGAAGGAAACACTATGGGTCTTCACTGACGCCGCCCCGCTGCCGCTTGGGGTCGGCGGATTACCGCTAAGCAAAAGTACACAGGGGAGGCATACGTCCAACCCGAAGCGTGGCAGGTTTTTTGACAGTTGCCCCATGCCTATCCACACGCAGACTTTAAAGTATGGCTGTTTTTCCCAACAAGAACGAATGACGAACGACGGGCGGTAGCCAGAAAGCATGGCACGCTGCGTCCACAGTAACACCTCCAGGAAAATGTCAGCATGTGTGCGTTGCGAGGTGAAACTTGGGCAGAGTTGTGGGAGCTGTCGAGAACTCAAACGGGCAGAGAGACGTTTCCCAGAGGTGCCAAAGGGTGTCCCCCCCCCCCCGCCGCGAAGGGCATCGGATGGCAGCTCACCGTAGCGATCTTGGCCGCACCTCCGAAAAGGGGCCTCTTCGCCGATTCCTGGGCGCGTTCCAAGAGCGGATAAACATGGGACATGGAGGAAAGGGGTGGGGACATGGCCTCTTGTCTTTGTTGCTCATATTTGTGAATGACGACACGCAAGATGGAAGGGCGAGGCTCAGTTGCAAGACTCTGCAAGACAAATAGTAGAAAAAGGAAAGGAGAAAGATGACAAACAAGTGAAGGAAACTTGCGCCTTCATCTCCTCATTCTCCGTAGATTAAGGTGGCGGGCATTGTTCTTCTTCTTGATATTGCAAGTCAACCACTAGGTCAGAACAACAGCGCCATTTTTCTTGCGGAGAAGTTGGCTGGGGGTGGAGCTCAAACGAAGCCAATTTCTCTACAACGAAGTGGCCCCGTTGCTTTCCTTCACCACGTAAACAAGGCTGAGAAGAAATGGGACTGCGCAATTGTTATGGAGAAAGAGGTAGAAGGAGGAACTCACACCAAAGTGGCGCTTTTCAACGGCGTCATCCAGGAAGCAACCGGTTGAACCGTTGAACCACGCAAAAAGACGAGGGCCATTGTTTTGAGCTTCTCTGTGACAAAGTGGTGCTCTTCCATCAAGTCTCCGACACTTTGCGCCGAAGCTTTAAATGATTTCATTTTCAGTCGGTTCACCATATCAACCGTTTGCTAAGCGGTTGAAATGGAGCTCAGTTGCGAGTGAGCTAGCTGCGCTCAAGGCCAGCAGTGAAAAAGACTGGCTGACATTGTTGACATGGACCCCCCCCCCTTCCCCCCGAGTGTCCATTTCTCAGCTCTTTCACCAGGGTTGGCTAGGGTAATCAATGCCCGAATCTCAGGTGACACCCGACTGCATCCTGTACAATGCGGCGATCCATGTTTGCAAAGCAGGCGAGCTCTGGATTGAAGCCACGGCACTGTGTTCGGACATGCTGCAGCAGAGCATTCTTCCGGATATCATCAGCTTCAACACCCTCTCTCGTATCTCTCGAAAGGAGTGGCCGGCAGTGCTTGGGATCCTGAAAAGCCTTCCCTCTCAGAGCCTGAGGTCGGATTCTGTGAGCCACAGCAACGCCATCAGCGCCATGGGCTCCAGAGGCATGGGCTCATGGGCTCGGGCCATGGATGTGCTCTCCACCATGTCTTCGGCATCGCTTGCACGCACTCCGATGAGTTTGGGGAGCCTCTTTGGTGCTTTCCGCACTTCGTTCAGGGAATGGAGAAGAGCGCTGGCACTGCTCGGCACTGCGCCGGACGAAGGTCTGCTCAACACCGTCGGGTCCATGGCCTCCATGGCCGAGTCGGATGCCTGGCTACTTCCCCTGAGCCTGCTCAGCGCGATGCCCCGTAGGAGGTTAAGCTGGAATGCCCTCAGCCAGACGAACAGCATGAGGCTCCAGCGTGGCAAGGGCGGTTGGCAAGCGGCCTTGCTGATGGCCTGGTTGGGGAGTAGGTGCGGTTGCCTTGAAAGTCTCCACGTCTCGGCGCTCTGCTCGCTTCGAGGCCCAATTTGGAATCAGGCGGAGCTGTTGCTGTTGTTGCTCCGGTACAAGGGGAAGCAGCCGGACGCTTTGTGCCTGGAGGCTACAGCATCCGCAAGGGAGGGTTCACCCGGTTCACCCCGTTCACCCTCCGGTGAATCATCGCCGCCATCGCCCTTCTTTCCTTCGTGGCAAAGCTCCCTTCGCCTCTGGCGGGCCTCCTTGGCCTCCCTCTGGGAGGGGGAGCTCCGGCTCTTGGAGCGCTTGGAGCGCTTGGAGCGCTTGGAGGGCCTGGAGCCCTCTGCGAGCTCTGCGAGCTCTGTGAGCTCGAAGTCTGCAGCAAACTGCCTCGTCCTTTGTGCGCAAGCGAGGCGATGGCAGCAGGCCGTGGCGGTCTTGGCCTTGGAACCCTCAAGATCCTTAGCCCGTGTCGGCGTGCGGGGCGACGCAGCGGACGCTGCAGCGGTCGCCGTGGACGTGGTGGCCCTAACCAGCCTGACGAGGGCACTTTCCTCTTCCAGCAAGTGGCAGCTTGCGCAGCTGAGGCCATGCTTTGTGGAGAGTGTGGCCGACAAGCTCCTGTGGCTGGCGCGCATCGCCTCCTGTGCCAAGAGCTCCAACTGGGAGATCTCCATGGCTCTGTCCGCCCAGCTGGCATCGCGGCGTGTGGTGCCAGATGCCCCGGCCGCAGCGGCCGCCGCTGCCGTCGCCCTCAGCCGCAGCCCGACTCCGGCGGCTTACAAGGCCTTCGGCAGGGCCTTCGGCAGGGCTGGCACGGTCTCTAAGCAGCGCTCGCCGCCTCTCTCCTGGAAATGGTCGCTGCAACTGCTCCGGGAGGCTTTCTTGGATGGTGACGGAGGCTCTTTCGGTGGCTCCCAAGTGCTGACTTCATGCCTCGGTTCTCTTTCCCAGAGTGCAGAAATCACCGGCTCGGAGCTGTCGGAGCTGCTTGCAAGCTTCGTTGATTCGGGGATTCTGGATCAAGTGGATCTCAGCACGCAGCTCTGGTGCCTGGCCCGCTTCGCTTTCCGTGACCTGGACCTGATCTCAGCTCTGCACGCCCAGGTCTGCCTCTCATGGAATCTCTTGAGCTGCCATGAACTCGCAGTCCTAGCCTGGTCCTTTTGCATGCTTGGCCTGCGGGGCAGGGCTTTGAGCATACTGCTCCGAGCGCGGAAGACTCTCCACACCTTCGAGGACCGCGACATGATGCTCTTGGCCTGGGCCACGGGAGTGGAGTCAGCGGAGTCAGCGGAGCCGTCCGGGGAAGCACGGGAAGGATGTGTGGAATGTGTACACTGTGTACACAGCTTCGTAGATGCCACATTGGCCGTGCAGGCGGAGATGTCCCGAAGGCTCGAGCACGGGATGCGGGGGTGGATGGTGCGGATGCAGGGGGAGTTGCTTCGGGAGGCATTGGGAGTGCTCTGGGCCTATTCCTGCTGTGGCCTGGCAAGCGACCGGCTCCAGAGAGCCCTCCTCCGAAGGCTCCACAGTTTCGGAAGCCTCCTGGACGCGGCCTCTGGCAGGGCCTCTGGAGACCCGAAAGACGCGGAGGAGGCAGAGGCACCAGATGCACGAAACGCACCTGCACCTTCGTTTGCAAGATACCTGGCCCCTCTGGAGAGGCCGAGGCTCTTGGGCTGCTTATTGCTTTTTATTCTGATGGTTCTCTCCTGGGCTGGTCAAGTATTTGGCAGGGTTTTTCGGGACTCGTTCTGCGGGTTTCTTCGGGCATTCAGCGGTTCCATTTGTCAATTGTTCTTCCACTTTATTCTGTGCCTCTCGTTATTCTGAGGGTCTTTTTCTTCTTCCCCCCCACCCCGCCTCCCCCAACCCACTTTTGGTACCATTCATCAAAAGACTCTCCAGCACCTGGCCCAAAACCTCCCAAAACCCCCCAGAATCCAACTCCCGAGCCCCAACCAGCCACCCCCAAACGAAAGGCCTCGAAGCAAAGTTTGTCATCTCCAGGGCTGAGTCGATGTAAGGCAAGACAACGAAGCCACACGCAGGAACAAAGTAGCAGCCAGCAGAGCCAGCATCCATCAGCATCCATCAGCAGCCCTCCAAGCACCCAGGAGGACCCAGGAGGACCCAGGAGTCCCTGTCCCTTTGCACGGTGAGGCCGACGAGGCCTCAGCGATGCCCACCAGTACCACCCTTCCCCTTGCGCCCCGTCGTCAACTCTCACCATCAACAACTCCCCATCCCAACCATGATCACCCAACACTCAACTTCAAGCCCAACGTTTACCCACCATTCCCACCATTCCCACCATTCCCACCATTCCCACCATTCCCGTTGCCCTCCGTTTCCACCATTCCCACCATCATTCCCACCATCATTCCCACCATCATTCCCACCATCATTCCCACCATCATTCCCACCATCATTCCCACCATTCTCTACCATTCCCAACCATACCCGCCATTCTTCCCCGCCAGTCCCGCCCTCACCCACCGCTACTCGCAATCGTACTACCCGCCATGACCCCCCATCCAACATCATGACCCATCGACACCATTCCCACCATTACCTGCCATGCCCACCCTTTCCCACCAAAAAACCCACCAGTGTGGCAGTTCTCTCTTTCCCGCCATCGCGTCACACCACTACCCATCGCCCACCACACGCTACCACTCCCACACCCCTTAGCCCATTCCTTCTAGCAGCTACCAGTCCGCTACTGCCCACTTTGCACCATTCGCCAAAGTCCTATGCAATTAGGAAAATGGGCTATTTGTTCGGGTCGGGCTGTAGAAGCTGAACTCTTCTGTTTCACCTCACCCTTAAACCCTACCTGCACCTGAATCCCCCAAATAGTCGTTCTCTTAGGGTCAAGAATCGTGGAAATTGAGCCCTTCTGTTTGGCTCTAGGTTTAGCCTGAACCTTAAGCCTTTTGAGACCTACAATCCCCCCCAGACTGCCGAGGCTAAGTAAAAGACCCCGAAGAAACCCCGAAAATATGAAGCGAAAACCATGCCCAAGGCTCTTCACGGACTTTGCGGACTTTGAAGAGGGTGCCGAGTTGAGCGACTCGCGCGACTCGAGCGACCTGAGCCAGGCGAGTGCGAGCTTAGGCAGGGGGCCCTTCTTCTGGGGAGAGCCGCGCATCTCTGCAGACTTGGCAGATTGCTGGGTTGTGTTCAAGCCATGCGGCTGGGAGGTCCACAATCATCACACGGAGCATCAGGTAGTTTCCTGCATGCAAGTGCATGGCAGACCAATTACTTTCGATTCTTCGCACGACTTTGGCTTCCTGCATCGCTTGGATGTTCCAAGTTCCGGGCTTCTTCTTGCTGCGAAGTCCTACCGTGCATTTTACAGCTTCAAGTTCCAGCTGGCGGCCGGCATGATCACTCGGGAGTACACCGCCTTGTGCCACGGACTCTTGCCTCGAAGCAGAGAGGTCCGAGCCGCGGTCATCTGGGACTCAACAGGGCCCACCCGCTCTGGGGGCTATGGGAAGCCTTCCCGTACCTCCCTTGCAGTGATGGAGCACCTTGGCAAAAGAGCCGGCAACAGAGCCGGCACAAATGGCATCTCCATCATCGCGAGCCTGGTCAACATTCTCATCGGCACGGGACGTCGCCATCAGATTCGAAGCCACTGCGCGCACGTTGGGCACCCGACCTTCTGCGCCGCAGCCGCATCCGTTTTTCTTGTTACCATCTTCTGAATGGGTATAGCCGGTATAGCCGCTACCGCTACCGCACCAAAAACCCAGGGAGGTATAGGTACGCCTTTCTGCCCCTCCCATGTTGCCGCAGAAGTGTTCGCGATTGCATCCGTTGCAGCCCAGGCGATAGCCGCTACTTGTCTCTGGGGACTTGGGAGGAGGACGTGAGGGTGTGCCCGAGGAACTTCCTACACCGCTTTCGGCTTTCCTTTCATGTTCCAGGAGATGGGCAGCTGGGAGATGCGGCACTTGACAGTATTGAGGGACTGGAGGGACTGGAGGGACTGGAGGGACTGGAGGGACTGGATCTGGGAGGACTGGGAGTGCGGGTGAGCTTCGAGGAGCCTCTGCCAGAGGAGCTGGTGGCCTGCTTGGCCTGCTTGGGACTTGGAGAAATGTCGTCTCCTTGAGGCCATCGTTGAGTTGAGGCATCTCAGGTTTTGATCTTCCATTTCGCTTGCCAAGTTTGCTTGTTCGGTTCTAGTTACTTAGTGCTTGCACGTGATTTCTGGCTTCCACGGTTGTCCTTGACCTGGAAAGGCTCGTGTGTGGTCTTTGCTCTAGCAGGCTCAAGGGCCTGGCCGAGCTGGGAGCGAAGTTGGGGGATGCGAGGCGATGCTGCCGGTGGTGCCCGTGGAGCACATGGTGACTGCCGTGCCAGCTGGGTACGTGCTTTCGCCCACTTTGCAGCTCTGCCAGAAAGGCGCTGCCAAGTGACAGCCGTCTGTAGCAGCATCGCGCTTGCGCAGCTTGCGCGGCAGCGGCAGTGGCATCAGACTCTCAGCTTGCTGAGCCTGGTAGAGGCGCGGGCGCTGGCCGTCGATGAGTTCAGCTTCAATTCTGCCATCACCGCGTGCCGTGGAGATGCGTGGATCAGAGCTGTTGGCACACTGGGGAACATGGAGGCTGGACGCATGGAGCCAGATGCTTACACTTACAGCGCTGTCGTGAGCGCCTGCGAGAGCGGTAGCCAGTGGCAGTCATCCTTGCGCAGTTTGGAGCTTGCCGGCAACTCGCTGTGCCACAATGCCATGCTGAGTTCCTATGCAAAGGCCAGTGAGTGGCTGCAAGCCTTGAGTTGCATCTGCCGTATGGAGCACGTTCCACTGAGCACGGATGTCATAAGCTGGAATGTGGTGATGTCTTCTATGTCCTCCAGTGACCATGCTTGGAGGCTAGCGTCACGATGCTTGTCAGCGTGTCGGGTGAGATTGGTCGAGCCGGATGCGGGCACTCGCAAACTGATCACCGTCTTATGCAAAGGCAAAGATGCCTGGCGCTGGGCCCTCGGAGGCCTCGGAGGCCTCGGAGGCCTCGGAGCCCGTGGCGACGAGGACCTCGAGGACCTCTCTGCACGGACAGGTCGCATCCAGGCATGCCGGCATGGCCAGCGGTGGCAGTTGGCGTTTGCCTTGGCGATGGAGCGAGCGGAGAAACCCGAAGCTGAGGCGGACGTGGCTTTGTACACGGCGGCTCTGGGCACGGTCACGGCGGCGGGCTCGTGGGAGGCGGCTTCGGAGCTCTTGGCGGAGGAGCGGCGACGGGGCCTGCGCCGCCCAGCGCCCGAGGCGGCCTGGGCTCTGGCTCGCCTTGCCCGGCTCCGGCCGCCTCCACCGCAAGCGGCTGCGGAGGCGCTGCGCGAAGCCTGGCGCGCGGCGGGCTCGGCCTCGGCCGGGAGCTTGACACGGCTCTGGTGGGCCTCCGCCGTGCTGCAGGCGTCCAACCCTCGCTTCCACGCAGACTTGTCACTGAGATCCTCGCAGCTGCTCGGCTGCGATGGCTTCCTGGACAAGGAGCTGATGGTGGTGGCCTGGTCGGCGGCAGCCTCCGGCGCCTTTGAAGCTTTTCAGCTCCTGCGAGTCATGCAGGAGCAGATGGCACTTCGGCTTGTCTCGGCCTCCTCTTTGCCGCAGGAGCTTGTGAGGTGCGTGCTTGGAGTGATCTGGTCCTGCAGCCTCAGCCAGAATCTGGACCCAAGATTCTACAACATTGCTTCCCATGCGTTGCAGCAGCAGGGTCGGGCTCTCGACGCTCGGAACCGAATACGTGGCAGACATGGCACAGGTCGTAGAAACCAAACAGGAATGGAGCTGGCCGGATGGGCCGGACGGGCCGGACGGGCCGCTTCGGCCGAGGCAGCGCGGGGCCGTTTTCCAAGCGTCGTGCTTGACTTGCCGGAGAAGTTGTTGATTCTGAAGCCTGCTGGCTGGGAAGTCTACGACGACAGCACCGATGCGTTCCAGCTGCGGCAGTACCTGAGACATTTGTTCCAGTTCAAGGTGCCCATTCTCGAAGATCCTGACTTCAACTACGGCTTCTTGCATCGGCTAGACGTGCCAAGTTCGGGCTTGATCCTGGCTGCCAAGTCCTTCACAGCATACTATGGCTTGCAAGCACAGCTTGCTTCAGGAAGGCTGCTGAGGCATTACCTGGCCGTCTGTCATGGCCTCCAATGCACAAGGCGCATCGAGGCGCCCCTGTCCTGGCTGGAGAACGCCAAGTTGGGGGGTCTGTCGGGGTCGGGCCTCTCCTTGACGCGCAGCGGCCCAGGCAAGCCAGCACGCACGGACTTCAAGCTCCTCAGGCGAGCTTTCTCAGGGCCGGGAAGCCGTGGGAAGATGTCTGCTCTGTCGAGATCCTCTGAGACCTCTGCGAGATCCGCTTTCAAGTTCCTGAGGCCCTTCTTCCGGTCCTTGAGCTTGGGCCAAATCGAGATCGGGACGGGGCGCCGGCACCAGATCCGGAGCCACCTGAGCCACGTGGGAGCTCCGGTCCTCGGCGACGCGAAGTACACGTCCCAAGAGACCTTCGACGACTTCGACGACTTCGGCGAAGGAGACTACGAGGGAGACGAAGGGCACTGCAAGACCCGGACCGCCCTGCACCGGTTCCGGCTTTGCTTCCAGGAGGAGCTCGGGTGGCGCAACGTCACCGCCTTGCCGGACCCAGGCTTCGAGGACTTCCTCGGACCTTTCTTGGACACAGGCCTTAGCGGGCCCGAACGACCTTCGGACCTATGGGATCTCTTGGAACCGGCGTGAAACCGGCGTGAAACCCACGGGAAACCCACGGGGAATCTGCAGAATCTGTGTGTGATCGGATCTCAGATTAAAGCCCGCAAAAGCGCACTGGACACTGGGAGATCTTCTCGCACTCTGGATCACGCGGGCTCATGCCGCTGCAAGCGCCGACAGCTCGGGCACCTTTCTGGAGAGGTTCAGGTGTGAGTGTGTGTGTGTGTGTGTGTGTGTGTAATCATGCCCAAAAGAGCCTCAACGGGAGTGCGAAGACGTCACGAGACAGCGGGAGATGTTGCGCGGCGAGCGTGACTAGTGACTCGAGTGATGTCCAGGTGCTTTGCACGGGCCAGTGGCATCGCCTTGCGGGGGGCGTCAGAGCCCCAAAGCTTCAGCCAAGAGCGCGAAAGCAAGCTCAGGACTCCAGCAGCGACATGCAGTGATCATCTTGCATGGAGGTTTAAGCCGCGGGGTTTGCAGGCTCCCTAGACCCTAAGCCCTAAACACTTCTTGAACTCCGAAACCGTAGGGCTGAGGGCCATCCAGGAAAGACGCCCGAAAGGGCCTGGAAAAACGAAAGGGGGTCCAACATCCTAAGCCCCTTCAACCGGCCCGACATGGCATGATTTGCAGTCGTCATGTTCCCCTGTAGCTTCATGAGCACCATGGATTTTTTTGTTACGTCTTTTTCGCACGAAGTGGAGTCATCCACGAACTTTGTTGGCACATCTTTTTCGCGCGAAGTGCAGTTGATTGTCGAAGATGGGAGGAAGTATTGGATGCTTGGGCCACAGAAGTATGATTCGTTGCCACCAGTTTGTGTTCGACTGTCAAAGATGGGAAGAAGTACGATTTGTTGCCACCAGTTTGTGCTTGATTGTCAAAGATAGGGACAAGTACGATTTGTTGCCCTTCTTTCTTTTCTTCGCTATCTTTCTCTTTATCTTTCTCTTTCTCTTTTTCTTTCTCTTTCTCTTTCTCTCTCTCTCTCTGTCTCTCTTCCTGTCAGCGCTGAGCGCTCGTGGACCTGGGAGTGTTAGCAGCATCCAAACACGCGCTTGTTACATTAACATCCCCCAAACAAAGCTGCTAACGCATGCGCGTTCTCGATCAAGGATGCCCCAGCCCTCCCAAAAGACACCCTAAACAGGCTCAGTTTACGCGCCCGGACGGCTTCATGCCCGTGAAACGTGGAGAAGTAAGACTCTCAATGGCTCTTGGGGGTCTTCCGTTTCCATGTTTCGCGGGCGTGAAGCCGTTCAAGCCCGCCAAATGAGCGCGTTTAGGGTTTTTGTTGGGCGACCGTAAAAAGACTCCACATTTACGAGGTTTTCTGCCCCCAGGGGAGACATCATGGGCATCAAGGGGATCTTATGGCCGCGAGCCGCAGGCCCCGAAGCCGCGGGAGAAACCATAGGTCGATGATTCCCCCGACCCGGCGCATGAGCAGCATCAGCAGACCCCCTCCAGACATGGGTTTGGATGATGCTGAATTTGGCGGCGGGACAAGGGCAACAAAGGTAGGGGTTGGAGGCATGCGTGGGAACCGCCAGCTCAGGCCGTTGATATGATGCTCCCCTCCCCCCCAAACCTTGAAAAAACATGGCTTCGGTCGAAACGCCGCGCGGTCTTTTTATAAAGTTAACGTGTTGAGAGAGGTGTTCCGGGCGTTTGGAGGCCTTGAAGATCCGTGCTTTCCGTTTTGCCGCCTAGGCCAGGTCAATCATCGAGATGTGGCATGGGGTCGTGTCCGTACTGTATAGACTCTGCGCTGCTAGAGACCTTTGCCTCTAGGCTTTGTTAAAGTAAGTTTTGGTGCCGATTGGGGTGAATTGCGTCAATTGGCATCTGGAAGGAGCCAGCTGGCAAACCGAGCCGCTTGGCACTTGACTGGCGCTTGTCTCACATGTGGAATGCTGCACACGGATGGTGCGATGACTGCCGCGCGATGTTGGTGCAAACCCATCTCGAGTTCAGCAGCACTTTGGATGATGATGACTCTTCTGCGCGTGAGGACTGGTGTGAAGAGAAGCCGTTTGGAAGCGACAAATTGCGTCTGGCCCCCTGATCCAAGAGCAAGACCTGGACTGACGCCAAGACCACGTTGCCAGACATGCCTGGGCCGTGTGGTCGCTCTTGAAGCAACATCCTTCGGACAGGAGCAAATACGAGGCGACTCTATCCCTTTTTCGGCAAGAGCTTGCTGCTGTTGGTGCTACTGCCAACGCGCAAGATCCTGTGAGAGGCCAATTCTTGAAGCAGATGAGGCAGCCGAAGCAGAGCCGAAGCAGAGCTCGCGGAGGCTGAGGCCTTGAAAGCCTTGAAGGCAGCTGCTTGGGATCAAATCCGAGCCAACTTCTGCGGAGCCGATCTTTGCAGCGAGAGCAGTGGCACCGAAGACCGCGGAGCAGAGAGCTGAGGAGAAGACGTGCGGTCAAGGTGCAGTTAACCTGTCTGAAAAGGTCATCGAGCTAGGGTTTTGGAGTCCTTAGTGGGAATAACTTCTAGCTCCTGCAGACCGTCCTTGATGATGGAAAATGAGCTAGCGACAAGGCCATTTAAAATGCGAGAGAAGAAAGTAGAATTTTGGTACAATAGCACAGAATTCACGATGATTGTAGCGCAAGAACTCCTTACAGATTAGGGTTACAAGTGAAAGAAACAAAAATACAAGTAAACGTAAAGGCATTCATGAATAGAACCGCTTTCAAAGTGCTAAATTAAAGTGAGTCCGACTACGGGCCGTTATCTTACAGTTCTGAATGAGGCCCGTGAGCCTTCGCCCCAAATCCGAGAATCCTGGGAGCACAGCCCGCTGTCATCTTGAGCAAAGTCATGCTGACGTTGCGTGCCCGTCTCTGGCACCGGGTGCGGAGGCTCGCAAGATGCCGTCAAGTCCCTCCTGTAGTTTTGCTCAAGCGCAGCGCTGCATGTTGAGCTGTAGCGTGGTCACAGATTTCACAAGCCATACATCCCTGCTCTACCGGTTTTGCAACCTTGAGCGCATGCTGCTGGTGTTCATGAGCAGAATCCCAAACTAGACATGGAGAAGCGTGTGTGTGTTGTGGGATACCTCGCACCCGTGTGCATATTCCCTCAAAGTCCACACTCCCCCGATCTCTTGACTCCGCCCAGAACGTCCCCGTAGAAGGGTCCCTTTGGGGCGGCCATGCCGCCTCGGCGCGCCAAGGTTGGGTTTCCTTGAAGCTTAGTTTTTTCAGTTTCTTTTTGGGCGCATGTATTCGACTTATATAGGCTCATGCAGGCTCGTGTAGGCTCATGTCTGCCCCTGGACCTGCCAGATCCCGCGGAAAGCGAAAGGCAAGAAGAAGCCACCGCAGAAGCCAGGCAACCGTTCGCGCCCCGCGACCTCTTTTGACCCCTTGGCCTCCCACAACCTGCCAGTTCGCCGGAGCTCCACAAGGAGTTCCAGCTATACTGGCAGTAGTTATGGGAGCGAAGTCCTTCCCTCAGACTTGATGGCCATCTCCCTTGCCCATGAAGATCCTGATGACACTGCAGGGCAGCTCGTCTCCAGAGAACTCGGACGAGGACGACCCGAAGGAGTACAAAAGGGGAGGCCGGGACGTCCCCAGTTTAGTTGAGGGCCGACGACGCGACAGATGTCCGCGGAGAATCGTCATCACAACCTGGGGTGGGAGACAAAAACTTACAGTCGGAATCTGATACAATGAGTGGAACCTGTTGTTCTTCCATGAACTAGATGTTGCTTGAAGCTCCCGATTGAAGTTGCAGAGGCTATCACCCAGTCATGCCTTACCAGCTCTACAACGCGCGGTCCGAGCCTTGCATTTTTGCGAGTCCTACAAGGTTTGCGTGCGGTGTCGCCACGGCGAATGCTCATCCGAGGTATCGCGTGCTGTCCAAGCTGGGCGCTGGCGCATTTTCCACCGCCGCAACCCTACCGTTATGGCGGGAGGGCCCCTGCGGAGGTGGCTGCTGGGGGCCAGACGGGTTTGCCTTTTGCAGCCTTCTCCAGGTTTGGCTCTGTGCGGACGAGAAGGATTCCGAGGGCCGGCTCCTGGCCATGAAGGCTTACAAGAGTCCCACAACGAAGTTCAAAGGGACCTCACCCCTTCTATTCTTGCCCCTTGGTGTCCCAGAGGTGTGCAAGTCGAAAAAGAGTGTCACCGAGCAGGCACTGTCGGGCTGTCTTCTGTTTGCTCTGCCTTTTCCTTGTTTTAAGTGGGCTTTGGAAGATTTTCGGAAAAGCTGCTCAAAACACAAAGGTTGACACCTAACCCTGTCAGGCGCAGGATGAGGTGATGCTTCTCGAGCGGCCGCGTGGCTGCAGGAAGAGGGGGCGTATCTGGATCTCACCAACTTCCTTTTTCGACAGGCTGCACGAGAACGCCTCGCTGCATGTGGTCAAGGCCTCCGCTGTGGGTTCCTGAAAGCCACGGTATTCCTCCCTCCTCCTCCTCCTCTTCCTCCTCCTCTCTGTATGTGCGTGGTTCGTGCGTGTTCCTTCTCTCTCTCTCTCTCTTTTTCTCTGTCCGAGTCTCTCACTCACTCACTCTCTGTCTCTCGCTCTCTCTCTCTCTCTCTCTCTCTTCATCTCTCTCTTTTTCTCTCTCTTTCTTTCCCTCTCCTGCATTGTTTTTTTGTGTGGGGTGCGGCCACCCCCGCCCTCAGATGCTTGATCACTTCTGGCACACGGGCACGAACGGCCGGCACAAATGCATGACATTTGAGGCCGGGGGCCGTGTTAAGCCTGTGTTCCACGCAGTGTGAGCGTTTCGTGCCGCATGTGCGAGCCACTGCAATGCTGCTCCAAGTTGCAGGTGATGGGCGAGAACTTGTTAGCTCTGGCTGGACTCTCGCAATACTGGTTGCTATCTTGCCAAATTTGTGTCCAAGAAATACAAGGTCCGATACCACGACTACCAGGGCCTTCCGAGAGACTTGTGTCGTCGCCTTTCGAGGCACGCGGTCGAGATGGTGCACTTCATGTAGAATCGTACAGAGTGTGCCTAGGAAGTGGTATTGGTGCTTACATTCAGTTGTATATATATATATATATATATATGTATGTATGTGTATTTATATGTAGGCCTGCCCTCGCTTCTGTTTACTAGCTGTGCAGCTCAAGCGTCCACATCGGTTCTCGCATGTGTGGACATCAGCATGAACGTAACTCAGCAACTGCTTGCCACCCAACGTGACGCTGCAACCTACGGCGGCAAAGCAGCACATTCGGTCTTCATATCAGCAAGTCCAGAGTATTCACGAAATCCAGTCTTCAGAATCTCCGAGAACTACTGAGTACCATTGCAGTTTCTTGGCGCGATGGGTGGCCTCCGCATGTGTGCTTAATCGTCCTCCTCCCATGCGTGCACGGGGCTTTCATCAGCAGTGCATTCATGCCCAGCGGAGCGGGGGGGAAAATGTGGTCGCCGCAGCTGGCAAGGCCGCAGAAACTGCCCACGATCGCAGGCCAGGTGGTGCTGTCTTGTTTTTTCTTAACGACCGCGCGCATCTTGGACCATGTGGGCTAGATGGGCTAGTGTGGCTCGTGTCTTCCACGTTGGAAGGTGCTTGACTTCAAGATGCCGGGACACCCAGAAAGCGAGCAGAGGGAAGGCCTTTAAACAGAAGCGGCGCCGTGTCGGATGCCCCGTCAAAGTAGCGCTTTGCGTTGAACATGTTGCCTTCCTCTTGCTGTGTGGTCCAGATGCCTCGATGTAGTCTTCTGAAGTGCAAAACATTCGACAAAAACGGCCGCTAAATTGAGTTCCGCAAGCTACCGTTCAATGTGAGGTCCTTCAAGGCCTCGCGGCTCAAGGAGACCAAGGCCGAGCTATCCAAGCACCGGAGCCTGGCCGCGACCAAGGAGAAGGGAGAGAGAGAGAGAGAGAGAGAGAGAGCAAGTCTTTGTGAGAGAAAGAAAAAGCGCGGAGAGATGTCAGAGACAGCTCAGAGAGCGTTCCGAGAGAGTTCAGAGAGAGTTCGGAGAGAGTTCAGAGAGAGAGTTCAGAGAGAGTTCAGAGAGAGTTCAGAAGGAGTTCAAAGAGTTGAGACGCCAGGGCATAGTCGGGGAGAAGCTGCCGAGAATGCCCTACTACTTTGCACTTTTTCTGTTCCTCTCCAACTATGGTGAGTGGCTTGCGCAGGGCGTAGGGGGCCCACCCTGGCAGTACGAAAGGAAGGAAGGAAGAGAGGGAGGGAGCGAGGAAGGGAGGGAGGAAGGGAGGGAGGAAGGGAGGGAGGAAGGGAGGGAGGAAGGGAGGGAGGAAGGGAGGGAGGGAGGCAGGCAGGCAGGTACGCAGGAGAAGGAAGGTGAGAGAATTGTGGGCTGACGCGTGGTGGAGTCACTCCCCGGGCGCGCTTGAGACAGAGAGTTAATGCCCGAAGAAAGGACCAGCAAGGAAAGAAACCCAGCAGTGGAAGGATCTGCAGCTTCAGCAAGACACCGCCAAGCTGCTGCGCGCTGTGGACCTCCGACAGCGCCAGGTGCACCAGCTCAAGTGATACGAGGTTCTCCTAATGCAGGCAACTCCAGTGCATGTCCAAACCCGATGCAGCTCGCTTCCCGCTCGCGTCACGCTTGCTGTTTCTGGGGTTGGCAGTGGCGGGGCCACACGCCCAGCTCAGCCCTGCGCGGACCGAGGACGAGTTGCAGCTGGAGCTGCAAGCAGCTGGCTCCTCCCACGCCGGGGCGCGGTAGCTTCGTTTACTCGTTTCTGTTGACGAGAGGGATCTTGTAGTTCCTTCACAGTTCCTTCGTGGTCGCTTTCGCCATGAAAGGAGTTGGAGGCCCAGGAACAGCTCTTGGAGGACCCGAAGCTTCCGCTTCTCATCATTTGTTGTTGTTTCTGTTTCCGTCACTTTGAGGAGCAGCACACAGAGGATCGGCTGCGTTGGGGGACCCGGAGCTGCAGATGGCTGCGACGCTTTGCTTGCTGTTTTTGTGTTTTTGTGTTGCAAGTTGTGCAGAATCGTTTTCGAAAGCAGGCCAGCTGCGGCAGGCTGAAGAAGCGGAGAGAAAGGCCCTGCAGGAGCCGAGAGAGTTTGAATGGGAAGGCAAGAGGGGATGTACGGAGAGAAGTTCAAGTGATTCATGGATCCCAAGTGGATCCATGCATTTGAAAAGAGTGGAGGGGGCCTTTTTGATGCGAAGGGTCTCTGCATGTTGTTCCATGGCGTCAAAGGAGCATGGGGAGGCGGGGGCGGCGGTCCTGCTCCTGGAGGACATCTGCGCTCTTGACGCTCCCAACCTTCCCCCCTCTCTTACACAATCTTCTTTCTCCCTTCCTTGTGTATTTCTTTCACACACACACACACTCTCTCTCTCTCTCTTTTCTTTCTTCTAGCTGTCTCTCTCTTTCTCCCGCCCTCCTTGATCTCTGGATCTCGGAGGATGCTGCCGCCTTCCACGCCGAAGCCGCTCAGGCTCGCGATTGGGCATGCCACTGGTCGGTTTCATCCCCAACCCCTCTCAGACGGCTGACCCCTCCGTCTTTTCTTTTCTGTTTTTCTGTCTCTCCCCCTCTTCCTCTCTTCCTCTTTCTCTCGCTTTTTGTGTGAGAGGCGACACAGCCGCACGAGACGGAGATTCGGGAAGCTGAGCTGCTGAGGGCTTCGCTTCGACAGGACTCCCCGTGTCTGCACATCCTTCCTTTTCGCAATGATAGATCCCGTGCTCCACATCACTCTTGTCTCCCCGCATGCGCCCAAAAGGGCCCTCCTGCCACAGCAGGAGCTCCTCGATGCCGGCGACGAGATCCGGGGCCTGAGGCGCGACTCCTGCGCTTCTCTCTTTTCCCGCTTTGCCTCTCACACTTCTCTCCCTCTTCCCCCTCTTCCCCCTCTTCCCCCTCTTCCCCCTCTTCCCCCTCTTCCCCCTCTTCCCCCTCTTCCCCTCTTCCCCTCTCTCCCTCCTCTCTCCCTCTCTCTCTTTCTCTCTCTTTTTTGAAGACTCTCTCTTTCTCTCTTTCCCTCTCTGTTTGACAGAGGGGGGTGGGGGGAAACATTTTGGGGGGAAGAGACTCTTCAAGAGAGCTCTCGAGCTCTGCCCTTCTGAGGCAGGAGCGCGACAGCGAGGCCGAGGCCGCGCGCGTGACCCAGGAGGCGGCGGAACAAAAGCAGAGCAGAAAAGTGGGATGCAGAGAGAGATACGCGGAGAGGGAGATGCAGAGAGACAGAGAGACACTGCTGACTCTTCCTCTATCTTCCTCTCCCTCTCTCCTCCTCCTCCTTGCAGAGCAGCTTTTTTGTGAGGGAGAGAGGGGAGCCCCCTATCCTCACACCTTGAGGGTACCCCCATGTACCCCCCCTTGCTCTCCCCGTCTTTTCTCTCAAGGTGCCCCATGCAAGAAGCTGCTCTCTCAGAGCTCCCTGCCTCTCTTGGGGAGGCGTACCTCGCCGAGTCGCGGGCCTCCGTCCGGCAGCGGGAGGCGCCTTACAAAGTTTCAGCTGCAGAAGCCTGTCAGCTCTCTTCGCCTTCTGCCGCTTGGCAAGGCTTTGCAGGCAGAGGCTGGGCAACAAGGGCAGGACGACCCACCACGCCATACTGAGATCCACTATGCCTTTCTTCCTCTGCTTCCTGTGCTTCCTGGGCTTCCTGGGCTTCCTGTTTTCTGAGTGCTTTCTTCTTGGTCCCCTGCTTTCTTTGCAGGTGCGGACGCGGCTCTCCGAGGTGGCGGCGTTCGAGGAGAACGCGCGGGGGTTGTCCTGGAGTCTGCTTTTGGAGTCGGCTTGAGACTGCGAAGATGTTTTTGGGGGGTGTTCTCCGTGTGCCCTTCCGGTGCTTCCGCTGGGCGAGGAGAGCCAGCGTGGCTTGGATGGCCAGTCCAAGGCTTTGCAGAACGAGCCCGGGGCTCGAAGCCTGAGTGGACATGTGTGGAGCGGCATAGACCACGTGGGACGTCATGAGACATCATGAGTCATCATGGGACGCAGAGGCTCGAAAGAATGTTGAAGACAGACGGTATGAGATGCGAGGCTCGGGAAGGTGGCTTACACCGTCGGCCAGCGCGACCACGAGCTTCAGGCCACGTAATGATCGGGGCGGTGTCCCAATTTAAGTCCCTTCCGTGTTGTCCCCCCATGTCTTGCTTGCGCGTCTTCGTCACTGTAAGCCTCGCACACTGCTCCTGACTACTCCTTTCCGGAGAGCGGCTCGAGCGCGTTCTGAAGTTCTGAAGGTCAAGGACGCAGAGCTGCAGGAGGTCAGGAGCAGCCTTGCTGGCATGCAGGAGATCCAAGGGGTCGAATGTGCATTTTTCTCTGACATTTCGAGATGTGCTGAGTTGCTGACTGTCACTAGATTTCGCAAAGGATGAAATGGAGGAAGTGAGCTGCCAGCTGAAGGCCTGTCCCAGCGCCGTGCGGTGCCTTCCGTGCTCCCACCGGCAGCGGCAGGTCCAGTGCGAGCGCGTCCAGCGCGTGGAACGCGAGCTGGCTGTGTCCCGCGACGTTGGACGGGATCCCCAGACCCCCGCTTTGTGACCACTTGCACTGCTTGCCTGTGTTTCTTGCGCTGTGGTTTCACAGTTTCACCTGCCCTCCAGGCGAGAAGGTCAGCCATTTGAGGCAGATGTTGCAAGAGTCGCATGGCCACCTCCACAGAAAGCTTGGGAGGTGTACTGGGGATCAGTCTTACTCTCTTACTCTTACAGTCGTACAGTATGGGTCTGGTCGTATAGACAAGGTGGCATCGCTCGGCTTTGTCGACTTGTCGACGAGGACGGGAGATGGGGGCCTCCTCTCGCGAGCTGAGCGACGCGCCATCATTGGCATTCATTGGCCATTGTGTTGACAGGAAAGACAGAAGCGTGAACAGTACACCCAAGGTCTGAAGCAGCAGAGGCGAGGGGCAAGAGAAGAACACTTTCAAGCGAGAACTCTTGCATGTCCAGGCTGCGAACCGAGCTGCTCTTGCAGCTGCTGCGCCTCTTCATGCAGTATAGTGCTTTTCTATTTTTGCTCTCGCATCCGTTGCAAGTATGGACCCCAAACGCAAAGCATGAGTGCAAGCCCTCCTGGACCCACTTGCAGGCAGCACTTCAAGAATCGAACCCAGGACCTGGAGCGGGCCTCAGACGCACGTCGTGACCTCTCTTTCGACACAAGGGTAGAAGGGAGCTCCCCACCTTCGTCTTCCGCGACAACGGCGATTCGCCCCCGAGGCACCTCCGACGCTCCTGGGAGGCCCCGGGGGCGGGGCTCTGACAAGGAGTTGTGGGGGAGAACAACACATCTCCCCTGCTCTGCCGATGTCCGAAAAGCATCTTGTGTCTCCGAGAGGAGGGGCCCCCCTTGAAAGCATACCTTGAAAGTATCATAAAGTCTATGGGGGACTTTTTTGGAACATGTGGGGCCCTCTGGCTCTACTGAGAGGTGCTGGCGCCAGCGAGCCAATGCCCGGGGCCCGGCAAAAGAGAGCGCGCCTCATCCCAATGCATGCCCTTCCTTTCGCGAGGGCTTATGCCACAGGCTCTATGACTCTATGATACTCTATGCCCCACACCGATCTTTGCATCTTTGAGTGCCTCTGAGGACGCCGCCCATGCACGCAAAGCCGTGAGAAGGGGCAAAAGAGAAACAGAGCGCGCGCCCTCTGGCCTTGCTCTGTTGCATGCTCCCTTTTGCAATTGCAAATACCCCCTCCTGAATTGAGGGGTATACCCGGAGCGTGCGGATTTTGCCAGACTCCAGGATTGACTTCGGGTTGGGCTCTCCTTATCCCTTCACGGGTGCCATGTTTTGTTGTGGCAGTGTGGGCTCTCTCGTACCGGTCGGAGGCACACGCTGAAGGGCTTGCAGCACATCCACGCATGTGGTGTCATCCACACGGATGCCCCCTTGGCCTGCTTAAGCAGAGAAGCCTCTTTTCGAAAAGCTTCAAGAAGCCCAGCACACTGCAATTTGAGTGAAGCGGTTCGTTCGTAAAAGGTTTTCTTGTGGTGTTGCCAGGTAAAGTTGGAGAATGCCACGGGCTGAGAGTCTTGAGAGATGAGAGATGTCCGCGGGGAGGGTTCTGACGAAACGTTCCCTGAGGTTCTCATCTGCCGGCACGATATGGCAGTGCTGTGTGACGAGGTTGAAACTCCGCTGCGTCTGCCTGTCTGCACAACTTAGACAAGCGCCTCAAGTTCTACCTGAAGGCGTCCAGAGCTCATCGAGCTTTCCAGGAACAGAAGTCTGGCCTGGAGATTCTCTCGAAGAGCATGCGCCTTACCGATAGGGCTTTATTCAGATTCCTTGGTCGCCTTCGTTGAGCCTCAGCCTTCGGTTCTTCTATATCTTTGGCCCAGGCCAGAAGAAGCGAATGAAAAAGAAGATGAAAGCCAAGGACTGTGGTACCGCACTGTGTCGTCCGAACTCAAGAATGTCCCCCCCAGAATCAAAAAAAGGATGCTTCGAATGTGGCCAACGCAGACTCGAAGAAGGAGCCACTGGAGGCGCAGCGGTGCAGAAAGGTTTTGGACAGGTCGTGGAAAGGTCTTGTTTTAACAGGAGAAAGGCTGAGAAAGGCAGAGCTCACAGCGAAATCGGAGAGAAAGCCTAGGAATTCAGCGAGAACTGGCTTTTGCACAAATGACGTCAGCTGTGTCTGTGCCGTGTGGCAGGAGCCGCAAGCGCCGGAACCTACAGCAGAGGCCAGGCCATTCCGAATCGCCCTGTGCAGCGAGTCCTGACCGGAGTAGACCGGAGGTGGTGCAGGTGAACGGTGTGAACGGTGTGAACGTTGTGAATGGCGTGAACGGCAAGGGGAAGGGCCAAGGCTATCCGCACTTGGAAGGCTGGGCCTCTGAACGGCATGAACGACACGCTAGACTATGACACACTGAAACACGCAATGATGTGACAGACTGCGCAGAGGTCCAAGCTGTCCAACGGGAAGCCCCGTGGACGCGGCGAGCCGGAAGGAGGCGGAGAAGGAGGGGGAGAAGGAGGCGGAGAAGGAGGCGGAGGGCCCGGAGGGCGAAGCGAAGGAGCAGGAGGCTCAAGACAAGGAGGAGGCCCAGGAGGAGCCCCAGGAGCCCCAGGCGCCTCTCGGGCAGCCGGAGCCTCGGAGAAGGAGACAGAAGAAGAAGAAGAAGAAGAAGAAGAAGAAGAAGAAGAAGAAGAAGAAGAAGAAGAAGAAGAAGAAGAAGAAGAAGAAGAAGAAGAAGAAGAAGAAGAAGAAGAGGGAGACACTGGAGAGGGAGAAGATCCTGCCCGACCTATTTTTTCTTGCTTTTCCTGCTGGAGGCCCGTGCCGCCGATCAGACAACGCGATCGCTTCGAGACCCTGCGACTCGAAGAGGCATCACTTGAATCCTCTCAAGTCGAGCTCCAAGACCCACTTCAATCTTTTCCGGGGGCGTCGAAAGGGGATGTCACACGGGATGTCACGGGACCTAATGCTTTTGCGGCTTGTGTGGCTTCCATCACGTTTTTGAGCCCGAAAGCGAGCAGCAGAGAGCGCTACTGCTGCCAGACCTTCGCGAAGTTAGCAGACTTTGGGAATGGCATCAAGGCCGCACAGGATGCATCCAACATGCACTTGGAGTTGGCCTGCGCTTGCCTTTTAGCTCAGAGATTGTTGGATGCTTCCGCCGGCTGTCTCCTGCTGTAACGGCTCAGCTTAGAACCCGCTGTAGCCACTCGCCATCCGTCCCAGCCTCTTGTGTAGAAGCCCCAAAATAACGCTTCCTCTTCTGCTCCGGGGACACAAGCGGGTCTGGGTCCTGCTCTAGACGGCTCTTGTGTTCCAAGGCGTCACATGGAGCTGGCCATGCCACCAACCGAGGCGATCTCAGACTCTCCGGGAGTCTACCTCGCTCTTTGCCTCTCTCTCTCTCTCTCTTTGCCTCTCTCTCTCGCTCTCTCTTTGGGGGTGTCCGTGCCATGTCCTGTAGGTCAAGGGTTTTGAGCAGATGCCAATGCACGTGCAAGTTGGAAGCCTGGGCCAACAAGTGCCACCGACCCAGCTTGTCGCAGCTCCAGAGTTGCGAGAGATCCGTGTGAGATCCGCGAGAGAGCGTTCGGTCTCCCGAGCTGGACTGTCAGGTCTATGCAACCACTCTCGCAGCCGCAGCAGCAACTGTGCATCTGGCGCATTTGTGCGTCACCTGCAGCACCATCCCGAGCTGCCTAAGTCGTGATCTTCCTGCGCCAAAGGGGTTCAGGAGGGATGGAGCTACCAACATAGGCAGCTCGCAGAGAGTGTCAGAGAGTCAGAGAACCACTGCTTCGACCGAACGAGGCGGCCTCGAACGAATCAAACGGACCGGCAGACGGAATCCTTCATCGTGAGAATGCGCTTGAGCTCTTGACTACTGACCCCACGCTATGCGTTCGATCAGGTCCTTAAAAACACCCTTCATCATTTTGCACGTCATTTAAAGGCAATGTGCTGCAGGGACCTTGGCTCCACTTCAGATGTCCGCAGCTTCTGCTGTGTCTTCCCCTTCTACCTTTTTTCTTTGCCGCCTTTCCTCAAAGAGCCTGAGCCCGACAAGTGGGCCGCCCTCAGAAGCAGGAGTGGGCCAAGCTCCCTCATCCAGAAGTGTTGTTCTCCTACATTTACACTCACTCCTTCTCTGTCATCCTTCAGTGCACGGCGCCGTTTCAAGCATGTCGTGCTCGTGCGCACAGGAACGGCAACAGCGCACGCGTCAAAGAGAGAACAAGACACCATGGAATGGTGTGTCCCAGCTGGCTCATCAAGCGCATGGACATGAAAGCACAGAGAGTGAGAGAGAGAGAGAGAGAGATAGAGTGACAGTGGGGGGTTGCCCTCAGGCCCCTAGAATACAGAGAGAGAGAGAGAGAGAGAGATATATATAGAGCAGAGAGAGCGAGAGAGAGCGAGAGAGAGCGAGAGAGAGCGAGAGAGAGCGAGAGAGAGCGAGAGAGAGAGAGAGAGAGTGCGCCCCCCAAGCCCGAGTGGAAGAGGAGAAAGAGAGAACGACTGCAAGGAGAGCCCTGCATTGGCCAGGCAGCAGCAGCTGCAGCAACAACTGTTGAACCAGAAGAACCAGCAAGCCATCCAGTGACATGATCGCAAGAAGCGCAGCGGATTGTACTCAGTAGATCTCAGTAGCCACCGCTTTGAGAGGACCCTCTTGCTGCAGCAGTCCCTTGGCCAAGTGCCGCCGACCCAACCGCAAGCATCGCAGCCCCAGCAGGTGCCTGCTGCCTTTCGTTGCCTCCTCCTTCTCGCTTCTGAGCACGCTTTGTTGTGTGTGTTTGACAAATGCAATTTCTTGTTTCTATTCGTCCTCCTTTTTGTGACAGTGTCCTTACGCAAAGTCATCTGCTGGCAGGCTCCCTTGCCAAACTTGCTCACGGGGCGGATGATGGATCCAACGTTGGCCATGAAGGCCTGAGTAGCCTGAGTACCTCTTTGCCTGCGTGCGTCGGAGTCGCCCACGAGCGTTAAACTCGCTCCGCGGCGCAACAAAGAGTCAAAGAGTCAGAGAGTCAAAGAGTCAAAGAGTCAAAGAGTCAGAGAGCCAGAGAGCCAGAGAGTCAAAGAGTCAATTGTTCCTTTTTCACCTGCCTGGAGTCCACTCCGAGTGCCTCGAGCATGGCGGCTGTCCCTGGCATGCCTCTCTGCCCATGGATGCTTGGACTGCAACCGCGCTGCCCACACTGCAGTCACTACAAAGATTGCAAGCAGTCCTCGAGTCGCAAAGTCTACTGCAAGAGCCTAGCTTCTCTAGATGAGAGAGATCGGCGTCAGGATCTATCCTCTGGACCAGTGCATCGGCAGCGTCGGCAGCGTGGGCAATGTCGGCAACGTGGGCAACACCCTCCTGCGCTCCCGAATGTTTGCAGTTTCAAGTGTCACAGAGAGATACAGAGTGTGACTGAAAGTGTGAGTGTGAGTGTGAGTGTGAGTGCGAGTGTGAGTGTGAGTGAGTGTGTGGTTCTTTGCTCTCCGCCAGGCCGAGCTGCTGGGCGGTGAATGCGGTGAACGCGGTGAACGCGGTGGGTCCTCCGGTGATGCCACCCATGCCTGGCACGGCCCCCATGCCGGTCATGGGCGCATCACTGGGCTCCGGGCTCAGAGAGCTGTGCTAGCTGCTGTGCTCGCACGTAAAAAAGCATGTGTATCTAAATGTGATGTTGTACTTTCGGAAACGTTTCTAAAGTCTCTCGCAGCTCTTTCAGAGAAGTGTCCGTGCCCTCCTGGAGCGTGGCTCGAGCACCCGCCGGCGACCATGGGCATCCAAGTGTCCTGAGCCTCAGCAGCACTTCATGGTAGCAAAAAATGATGTAAAAAGTTATTATAAGTTATGAGTACATTGAGTATGAGACGCAGCCCAAGTTGAGCCTGCTTCGAGGCCAGCACTGTGGGCGCGTGGATGAGCGGGACTGGTCAGTTGCTGCTCGGACTGTTCACAAAATGCCCTGCGAGTCCTACGGCAGAGACGAGAGAAGCAGAGATCACCGCGGCCGGAAGGTGGAGAATTCTTCATCAAGCTCCCTGAGCTCGCTGTCGCGCGATGATTTTGAGGACGCGAGAACTCCAGGGAGTGCGGTAGCCAGCGCCAGTTTTCTGAGGCGGTCCGTTGCTTTGTGATGGTTCTTAAAGGTGTTTATTTATGTCTTTGTAAACGTGCTAAGTCTAAGTCTGCCTCAGTTCGCACTCTTCTGTCCGCTTGCTATCTTTCTGGAGTGTGGGCCGTCTCCCCCTCCCTGCTTTTTTCTGTGACGCATGCTTCCACTTCGCTGTGCAACGCCATGATGCAGGCTCAGAAGGTTCCTGTGTAAAGTGGCGCTGCATCAACGTTTTGAAAACGCCGTGGCTGATGTACCTCAGTTGACCTAAAAAAACACCGCCCGATATCGAAAGCTGGACTTTCCGGGTCGGCCTAGAGCATTCAAAGTGCCTTGGCGAGAAACAGCACTGTGGTCACGTCAGCATCCCCAGATCATTTTCCATTGCAACGGCTAAGGTGCCCGTTTAAAATGGTGATTGGAGCAGGCCAGACTTTTCAGCGCCCATCGGCTCAAGTGGACATCCCGACTGTGAGGATGGTGATGCGCCCAAAGATCTGCAGAGCATTGCAGAGCCGGCTCAGGGCAGCCGCCTGTTTTCGAGATTTTTTCTCGGCCTTCCCGCGAAGTATGGAGTTACAGAAGGCGTTGGCAAAGTCCTGAAGTGGCTCTTTGTGAGCTTCACGGACACCCTGCGCGATCAAATAGCAAGCATACCAAGCTAAATGCTGCAAGCTGAGACATTGCACATGAGACGCACTAAGACTCCGTTTTGTTGCATCATAGGCGTGAACTGTCAAGTGCAACGGTGCAGGCTGCACACTGGCATGGCGGAACGATTCGTTGCAAGTTGCATCACACCATACAACATTTTTTGAGTTTTCACCCGGTGACAGTATGAGACAACAAGCTAGAGAACATCACAGACCTCAGCGTTTCAAATGCAACAAGTACTGCGACGGTGGTCGTGTACGCTGAAGAGAGCTTCGCCGTCAACTTGACGCCATCAAGCCGGGTTTCGGGTTTTCGGGCCGTGGTTTTCCGAAGGTTTTTTTTTCTGCGTTTTTCAAGGTTTTGTTCAGGTTTTTGTTGTGGGGTTTGGGGGAACACCATGGGGGTACAGCGAACCGTGAACCGGGACCATGCGCTAGTGCAAAGGATCTGCTCATTGCTGTGTTTCCATCCTCTCTCCCTTTCCCTCACTCTCTCTTTCTCTCTCTCTCTCTCGCTCTCTCTTGCATCTTGATCGTTGTCTCACATTCTTGCGGCAGGACATAACTCCAGGGGCTGGCGGCGTGCTCTGCGGACAGACCTTTTGCCAGGTGCGCCCCACTGAACTGAGGGAAGCCTGCCAGAAAGAGAGAAAAATCGCCTTCTTTCGGAGGCGGACGCAGTGAAACGCTTTCACTGGGTTCCGCCCAAAGGTGCGCCGGCCGAAGCTTTCATCCTCATGAGCTCTCTCTCTCTCTCTGTCTCTCTCTATGGAATCAGGCCAGCAAAGCCTTTTTGGGGTGACCTCTTTACCGTATCATGCTGCATACCCTCAGTGGAAGTTTAAGAATTCCTGTTCCAAGAAAGGCCAAGCTGCTTCTTTCCGGGCATTTGAACAGCATGTGTCAACAGAACCCTCCAAGCTTTACAGCGGCCTGGGCGACCCCACGTGTATCGTGTATCCCAGTGTATCCGAGTCACACTCAGTTGCATTTGGGCTCCGCGCAACACTCGGCATCTCACTGTTTTACGATCGAGACCTTCAGGCTGGGATGGCCATGCTCGCGCGCTGGAAATCTCAGCCGTGGCCCTCAGTAGCCTCAGTACTGATGGCCCTCCCTGGCCACTGAAGTGTTCTTCAGGGCGAAACTGTGCAGTGAAGGGGGGGCAGGGAGAAGGGGAGAAAGGGAGAAGCTAAGGCCCGAAATATCCTCGATTGGGACGGCAGCCACCCTATAAGTCCACCGGGAGGCGAGACCAATGCGAGCGTCGTGTACATGCTTCGTGAAGGCGTCTTGTGGTCCCAGGCCGTCCATGGCTGCTGCCCTGCAGCGATGACATGGCACTGAGGCGCGTTGAAAGCTACTCGTAGAGCTCACCGTAAAGACACCTGAGTTCACACATGAGTTCGCACTTGCTCTGCGCAAGTTGTCACGCACGCGCTTTGCACACGCTCTGCACTCGCACTGTTGACGCCAGGATTGCGAGGCTTCGAAAGCCCCTCCACGCTGCGGGCTGGAAGGTGATCACCTCCCGGCCACACGTCATCGAGGGCCTGGGCGACAAGGCGTTTCAAGCGCGGCAATGTGAAGAGTTTTTAAGTTGCCATGTTCCCGTTTTCATCGCATTCGCAGACCAGCTTTCGACTGTGCTGGACTGGGACCCTGTGGGAGTGCACTTTGTGAGTACTTTCCATTTTGCGAGGAAACGCCATGAAAGCACACGCCGAGATGCGCTGATATGGGTGCGTAGATATCTGAGAAGAAGGGATAAAAGGACAGCTGCCGGCCAAAGTATGTGTAAAGAGATAAAGTCATCTCTTCGTGCTGCTGCTCGTGCTTCTGCGACCATTGTGAAAACAAGGTGTTGGAGGGGATCATGAGACAAACAACCCTCAGAGCCCGGTGCCCTTGAAAGAAACGACGCTCGCAACCCTAATGCCGGCCTAAGACCCAAACCCGACGAGCTGGGAAGGCCAGAAAGAATCCAGGTCGGAGCAACCAAGCATTGTTCCAAGACGAAACCTGGGCGGACTGCCCCGAAAACCAAGGGGTCCTTGAAGGCTTCTAATAGATATAACGGAGGTCCGAGCTTGGGGGATGTATAGGCTGGCAGGTGGACCCTTAGAGCTTCACTTAAATCCGGCACCACTCAACCCAAAACCCGAAATCAGCTCCAAAATATATGGAGACCTTCTTCATCCTGTTTGCACCCCGAGCTTCAAAATGGCGAACTACCATCATCCCCACCCTACAGAAAAACCGACGTGGGGAACCACCATGTGGTCTGCGCAGTACCCGAGTGCAGCCCTAATCCGTTGTGAAGAGATTTTGCCGGGCACGTCGTGCAAAACCTCGCTTGCGCTTTACGTGATATGTGCAATACTTTTGCGGGTTCCTCCGGGTGCCTGGAAGTGTTCCCAGTAGCTGTCTTTGAATAGGAACGACGGAAGCCTGAAGTACTGTCCCCGCAGACCTTCGAAAAATCCCAACTTTCGTTTGAGGAATGTTTTGTGGAATGTTTTGAAGGACCTTCTGGAGAGAGTCACCCAGGATTAGCATTTTTCGCTTTTGTTTGCCGTCTGCATGCAACAGATGGAGATGCACAAGCTTCGTGGAAGATGCTTCGAGGAGCTTTCTGGGAAGCTTCGTGGGGAAATGCTTTCCGCAACCCAAAATATAGAGCAAACACCCTCGCTCTTTGTGCAATCTTTGAAGCTTTTGGCCGAAAACCCTGAGAATTTGCTTTGGCCAATGGGCCAATGTGATGAACTGCAATAAGTGGCTGGCTTAATGTTTGTGCCCGGAAATATTACACATATTGCATTCGCCCTAGCCTGTGACTTGAGTGCACAGACCTTTCATGCCAACTCCTCACTTTTTCTGAGAGTTCCCTTCCGGATGAAGAATCAGCGGATAGGACTCTTCGCTCGCGTAGGAGCTGCCATGAAAACTGAGTCACCATGGCATTGGTTCCAATCATGCTGACGCCAAGCTGGCCTGGTGCAAGGGAAACATGCTGCTTCCAATTCCATCACTGTAGAGAAAAACCCTGCAGAGCAACGTTCGGGCCTTCAGAGCAAAACCGAGGGATACTGTCGCAAGTTTTCGAGGAATGTTGCGATGCTTTTCGTCTTCGTCACCGAAGAAGACCGTGCTGTGCTTTTCGCAGAAACAGCAAAAAAGCAGCTGCACCCAGAACAGGGGCCCCTTTCTCTAGAACACGGAGCACGCCTCGTGACCTCAAGCAACTTCCTTTTTTTCGTAAGATGGGGGGAAGATGGGGGGGGGGTGAGCTCCTCTCGGGAGCTCCTCTCGGCGCGGCCAGGCCAAGCTTCCGGGCTACGCAGCCAAAATTGGAAAGCTGGAGACCTTGCTCGCAAACCATCCATATGGCATATGATTCATGGCATATGCCTCGTGCACCTTCTCACATGCTTCTCTTCAGCTCTGGCTTGAGGACTTCCTTCCGCGACACTTCGAGAATCCCCAGGAAGCAAGGTATCCCTGCATCTTGAAGCCGTCGCAGGCCCGGGTTGCGCCTCCTTTTTTTGCATCTGCATCTTGTCATCCTTCTGCTTCGTCTCCTCGGCTTTCTCGGCCTTGCCCGTTGCCCTGCTTTACAGCCGTGTGTGGAAGATCCTTTTTCTCCTCAGGGCGAGTTTGGAAGGAATTCATTCATCTGCCGCTCATGGCAGGAAGTGCATCTCGGAAGGTAGCGAAGCGGGGGTGAGACAGGTCTGAGTGAAACAGCTATGCAAGCCATGAGCATCTCCGCACCGTCAAGCTGAGGTACCAGCATGCCCCAGATTTCCGAGCGGGCATGGGCGCGGCCGGCGTTTGGGTTTTACAAGAGCTGGTGCCCGGAGACGTGGAGCTCTCCGTGTCCATGCTGGTCTCCAGGGGGCAAATTCTGGACATCCTCGGCATGCGATACTCCTACGCCGCCCGCCAATCCGTTCATGGAGGTTTCTGCAGACAGTTTCCGGGTAATGAGTTTGTGGACGTTGCCAAGATTCGAGATGATCGACGAGCTAATTGCTGCAACATACTTTGAAAAGTGTCAGGTTCATGGCCCAGTGCTAAGCGGACAAGGATCGTTCGCCAAGGGATTGTTTCCTCGGATTTGTGAAACGAAGTCGCAAGGCTGCGGCTTCGCAAGCTTTCGAAAGCGAACGCTGCAAGGAAACACCCCGAGGAAAAGCGAAGACTTGGCCCTGATTCCCTCGCTTGTAAGAACTCTCCCCTCGAATTATATTGCCCCCGTCCCAGTTGCCCTTCCCTTGTGCGTTTTGCGTGAGGAGCAACAAAAAGGAGAGAGCTAAGGACCGGGAGATCTACATCTGGCCGGCAGTCACCGAGCTGGGCAAGGAGAGGATGTAGAGTCAGTAGAGGATCCTTTTCCTTTTTGGGTTCGGAACCCCTAGAGAGCAAGAAACCGTGCAGAACACAAGGTTTCCTGGTTTCCTGCACCCTGCATACCGAAACGATGTCTCCCCAACTCCTCCCGAAACAAAGTGAAGCTGGACGCTCCCGCTTAGCAGCCACCTTAGGACGTCTTCGAAGTCCCACTCCACCACGTCGACGTCCTGGCAACCTGACTGTGACAGCCAAAAACAGCAGAAGCGGACGAGACCGTGACAGGCAAAAGGACAGCAGAAGCGGACGAGACCGCGACAGCCAAGTACAGTAGAAGCGGACGAGAACGTGACAGCCAAAAGTTGTAGAAGTGGACGAGACCGTGACTGTCAATAACAGTAGAAGCGGACGAGAACGTGACAGCCAAAAGAACAGCAGAAGCGGACGAGACCGTGCTAGCCAAAACCTGTAGAAGCGGACCAGACCGTGACAGCCACCTGTTCTTCCGGTGCCGCTTCACTTTCAAGGCAACTCTGCCCAGGCTTTCAAGCATGATCAGCCTCGGAGCCATTAGTGTTTCCACTTCACTTGTCCACTTGTTGAAGCTTGAAACGTGCCGGACTATCAGACAGAAGCTTCGTAGAGCCTTAGCGAGAGCGGACAATTGACCATACTTGATCCTTCCGGACCGAGGCGGCGTTCGTTCACGAATATGCTGCTCAGCTTGAGACAGTTGCAGCTTGCGAGTGGTTGCATCAGGGTTTGCATAGAATCTGCGGATCCGCACGATGCCAGATGGCAGCCAAGGATGGCATCTTGAACTTTAACTACAAGATCCGACCAGACGTAGCCTTGGTGTGAGTGAGCGTGTGCAGTGTTTGCATGTCATGTCTTGCAGTCTTGCAAGACCTCAGCGAGTGGCGAGGATGGGAGGATCTGCATCTTCGAAGTGCCGCTGTAAGTTGCATAGTTGAGGGCAAGAGAGACAGACACGTCACAGAAGGACTTGGAGAAGCACCGAATCGGCCTTGCTTGGGTTTACAACTGTGTTGAGGGTGTTGACCAAGAACTGCCAACGGTAGAACTTTTTAATTTTGTTGCAATTCCCCCGAGGAACACCCGCATCGGTGCCGATCTGGCCTGCGATGCCCCGAGGGGTCGTGCTCGGCAGCTGTTCATGCTGCTGGAGCCCCCGAGCCCCTGCGCTTCTGCGCTTAAGTGCTCCTTTCTTTTATTTTTGAGGTTCCTGGCGCCTCTCCGTGTGTCCATGTGTGTGTGCAGAGTACTGGCAGGACAAGATCCGTGGCTGAAGAATTCAAGGGACGCAGTCGGCAGCGGAAACTACCTGCCGGCACACACACTGAATACGACTAACACACATCCAATATCACATCTAACGTGGCGAATCCCCTTGTTGTAAAGTGGATCCGGACCCTGCGGCCTAAAAGGCTCCAGGGCCTTCCTGCATTTTTGGCCTGAGGGGCCCGACAGCGTTGACATGTGTTGACCTTTCCTACATAGCTCTCTATAGTAAGGGTTCTAGTTCCTAGCTCTAGACCTGTCTGAGACAGGTCTAGGATGAACATCCGACTCGTGATGAAGGTTGGAAGAGTGATGTGGTGTAGAGCCGGCAAGGTTTCTGAGCCTCATGAGTTACACTCCCAGCATCTCCCAGTAGCTACTACCCAGGTTCAAGAGCGAGCCTAAAAAAATCTCTTCCTAAACTTCTCGCGTGTCTTTTGCGTCTCTTGCTCGCAAAGGCTCGGCACCATCAGCTAGCAGCCAAGCCTGTGCTGTGTGCGCAGTATGATCAACATGGTGCCCTGATAGTGCCGGAAAATCACGGCGCTGAGGGCGGCCTCCCTCTGGACCTTGGCACGGAGCCTAAGCCCCACCGAGCGGGGAGGGCTTTCCACAGCAGAACGAGAGCCGAGTTAGCCAACCGGCCGCCGATGTCCCTGAGATGGTGATACCTCAGGCAGAGAATGCGCGTATCGCTCTTCGAAGCAAGAATCTCTTCCTCATCTCTTCCCTTCCTCCCGTGATTTTTGCCAGGGCAAGAAACGAAGCGGGCGCGGTAAGGGCAAGAAGGATCCCCGCATATCCCCGCATGTCGTGCATTTGCTTTCAAAAGCTTCGCTTCTTCTGGGAGGACCACTTCGACGGCCTCAGCGCTCCCGTGGCCGTAGGCACCGTGAGAGTTGTTGTTTTTTTCATTGTTGAAAAGGCAGCTCCACTGCAGCCGTGGTTGCTGGTGCTCTCACATTGTTCACATAGGCGAGCTGCTCGGCAACGCCGCTGTGTTGGACGCTCTGGCAGAGGCAAGTTGGATCAGATCTGCTGATCTCGGCGAAGTGCAGCGTAACGTGATTCGTGATCCTGCGTGATTCGCAGGGTGTCTACGTGATGTCCACATGTCAGATCATGTCAGATCATGTCAGGTTCGACGAGATGGGGCAAAAAGCGCAGTCCTGCTGCGAGATGTGCTCTCCCATGCTGGGAGCCCGAGAGAGGGCGACAGGGCGATAGGGCTTGTTCTTGTCTTCATATATCATTCGCGCCGCCCTCAAAAGTAGGATCGTGGTTGTGTCAGCTTTGGGCTGTCAGTGGAGTCAGGGGTCTCGCGTCAAGGTTGCGGAGCTGGCCCAAGATCCAGAAGGGAGCCGCTTCCTCCAGGCATGGGTCATATGTGGGTCTCTCTCTTTTTTGTGGTTGCAGCTGTTGGAGAGCAGAGAAACGTTGTTTTTCTTCTCTTTCTCACTGTACTTAAAAGGCGAAGTTGGAGACGGCCAATACCGCCGAGCGCCGGGAGGTCTTCGAAGCGCTGCTCCCGAAGGCCGGAGCAACGAACGAAAGAAATGGTTATTTGGCTCTGTTGCGGCCAAATTGTGTGAATCAAATATGTGATCCCCGGCGACTTCTTGGAAGTGCGTGGAATCGGGCAGATGGAGATGCTCACCGGAGACTCGTCTGGCAGCGCAGTTGCTCGCACCTTACTCGTCGAATCTCTGGCCCCCACCCCCCCCCCGTGTCAGGGTCTTGGCAGGAAGGAAGGGCCATGTGTCCAGACAACACCGTGACAGATCTCAGGTGCAGAAGTTGCTCGACATCTGCACCCCGGACCAGCGCAGGGACGCTCGGCGGCACCCCTTTTTGGAGCCCCTCTTCATTGCGGGCGACCCTCCTGGTTTGCCAAGGTTTTGCCTTAGCCGCATTGCCTGCAAGCTGCGAGAAGTTTGCAAGACTCGCGACTCCACTGCCAGGCCATCGTGGAGAAGTTTCGGCAGTCGGTTGTCAAGCTCTCCTTGAAGATGCACGGCTGCCGTGTCATTCAGAAGGCCAGTCTTGGCATAGAGGGGCAGAGGATAGAGAGATACTGGTAGGAGAGAGAGAGAGAGAGAGAAAACACAAAACGAGAAGCAAAGAGAGGAAGAAATCGAATCGTCAGAGGGAGAGTTTCCCAGGCCTTTCAGGTCTGCCCACCGGAGCTCCAGTCCATGCTTGCCGGGGAGTTGAAGCACGGAGTAATTGCAAGGAACCCGGCCAAAGGCATTCCGTTGCGAATTGTCCTTGGGCGTAGTTTGTCTTGGCAAGATGTGAGAGGGAATCGTGGAGCCCACGTAAGCACCTAAGGATTGCATCAAGAGCATGCACGGGAACCACGTGGCAACTCATCTGACAAAGTCTTTTCAGATCAGAATCCCTCCGAGTCCGCTGACCAGCCATGTTTCGCCTTGAGGTCCAGAAATGCATCGAGCAGATGCCGCCCGAGTCTGTGTCGTTTGTTGTGGAAGCCGTCGAGGACTGCCCCCAAGCGAGCCGAACACAGCAGTGTGGGCACTACAAACAGGTGCATATCTATCTCGGGTATAAGCCGTATAAGCAAAATAAACAAAAAAAACATAGATGTGTACATGTTTGAAGCAGACACAGGCAAGAGACGGCGTCAGGACAAGGCCGAGACCATGGCGGCTCACATCTACGGTTGCAGAATTATCCAGCGCTTGCTGGAGTGCGAGGCCAAGAGCTGGGAAAAGCCATCCGGATGTCCTTCCCCCCCTGACGCCTTGCTGACGCCTGGCTGACGCCTGCAGCTGACGCCTGCAGTGCTCTCTGAGGCACTGCACTCCGAAGCGCCTGGAGAAGATGCTTCAACAGATCCTTCGGAGACCTCTTCTCAGTGCTCAGCTGCCCTCGTCCACATTTCAGAGAGATAGAGCAAAAGACCTAGTGATGGTTCGACTGAGGCATTACGAAGCTGTCCACGGATCCCTACGGCAACTATGCGGTGGGCTTTGAGGGCCACATGGGCCACTTTACACACCGCGGCCTCGTAGCCTCCGCTTCCCTTCTCCCTGCTTGCTGCTTACTGCTCCTGGAAAACCTTGTCAAAGGTCATTCGCCACATTCTTGAACATGGCAACCCCGAGCACAAGAGGAGCGCTCTCTCGGTTTTGTCCCGCGCAGAGCTGCAAGGGCCACTGAAGGGTGCTCTCGGGTGGGGCGGCAAATTGCAAGGAGCATCGTGAACGAGGTGTGTGGTCACGCGTGGGCCCAAGAGGCTGTGCGTAGACCCGGCAGACTGGTTCCTGAGCTGTCAGGTGCTTGAGCTTGGCAAGGACCGGAAGCTGCTACCAAAAGCTGGGTGAAAGTGCCGGAGAAACTTAGGGGATTGAGGAGAGCACCTGTCCTATGTCGCCGATTCTGCACCATACTCCAGGATAAGCATGCCAGCAATGTGGTGGAGAAGTGCTTCGAGGCGGATTTGGGGAGGGGCGACACTAACCGAGCCTCTGCGTAAGTGCGCTCCCCCTAGGGTCCCTACAGTAAGCTCGCCAGAGGCCTCCACGACCGGAGAGCACGTCCGCAACTGAGCGACACAATGTGACAATGTGTGGCACACTTTCTTTGGACTCGGAGACACAGAGACAGATATGGGGCCAGGGCTCCCCGTTCCCTCTTCTTCTCAGTTATACTCTCTCTCTCTCGCTCTCCGCGCCTCTTTTGCTCCTTCCTTCCTCGAGAGGCGGCCTGTTTGAAGGAGGAGCGCCAGCGCCTGATCTGTGCCGTCCTGGGGCCTGCGCCCAAGGACCCGGGGCTGGGAATCTCGCAGCTCCGGCTGCCTTCCCCTCCTTCGCTTTGCAAAAGGAAAAGCGCGCTGCTTTCTCTCGCTTTCTCTCTTGCGGTTCTGCAGGATCCCTCAGATCGAAGCTCACCACTGGCGCAGCTCATGGATGACAGGCGAGCCTGGTGTGAAGTTCTCTTTCCCCCTTTTTTCTTCCTCTCTGTCTCTCTCTCTCTCTCCCGCTCACATGGCGCCCCGGCAGGTTCGGCAAGTATGTGGCGAACAGCTTGGTGGAGTACAGTCGGGGACCCGAGGAGCCATGCGAGTCGATGCAGACCTTGCGCGATGCGACGCGGCGGCGCGAAACGTCAGAGTGGCTTTGGCCGGTCGGGAAAATACAGGCTGGAGTGCAACAACGCGGGCTGATCCCGCTTGTTGAGAAAGGTCTGTCGTTTTTCGAAGTCCGGCGCCTCCACTTTTCGAACGGGGGGGGGGGGGGGGGGGGGGGGGGGGGGGGGGGGGCGGGGCGGGGGGGGCGGGGAGGGCGCGCCATTTACATTGTGTTATTTCCTTGTGGTTGGTTCCATGTGCTTACAGACGGCTACTTTGCTCGAGAGGAGATGAAGGTCCTCTACAGCCGCATTGCGTCCTCTCCAGGGCCGGTTGGCCAAGTCTTACATGCAGAGCCGCACGTTGTAGCCGCATTAGTAGCCGCGCATTTGTGGCACCAGGAAGAAGGCGGCCATCACGTCGCTGTTGGAGATGTCACGCCCCTACATGAGGGACAATTCCTTATAAGCTTTCAATGGTGCGCTGTGCCCCAGAAGTGTAGTGTGAGCGTGTTGGTTAGGTTGGAGAGGCAGCTTCAGCAGGCTCAGCTTCAGCAGCCCTGGGCTGAATGGCGCGGGCATGCAGTATAGACAGCATAGAGGAGCCAGAGCCGGACCAGAGCAAAGACGAAAGCGAAGACGTAGACGTAGTCTCCGAGTCATCTTTTTGTTTGTTGTCGGTGCCGGTCTCTGAGGCATCAGTTTGCTCAGCGGCAGACTCTGATGCAGCTCCAGCTGCGGAAGGTGGTGTACCGTACGGTGTACCTTCCCTGTGTAGCTTTCTAACGTGATTACAGTGCGCTCCTTTCGGTGCTTTTGCAAAAGCTCATTCGGTCAGGGGCAGGGCTCCAGCTCCAGCAAGTGAGAGTGGCTGCGCCTCGGAGAGGAGAGGCCCACGGGCTGCAGTGTTTGTGGTGTGGTGTGGGATGTTGTGGGGGTCGAGCGCGTGTGAGCACTTTTTCCCGCGACAACGGAAGCCCCGCTCCAGTTCCAAGCACTTCGTCACCTCGTTCTCGTAGCCACAGCCTAGAGTCCTAGCGTGTGCTTTTCTGTTGGGGCCGGCGAGGCCAGAAACCGGCAATACCTGTCACCTTGGACCCGCAGCCTTGGGAGCGATTGCAGCTCCCGCGCCTGGGCTAGCAGCCGACTTGAGTTCTCCTTGCGTGTACTCAGTGTGCTGCCGCGCTTCTTTTTCCGGGCTTCTCATGTTTTGTCCTACTTCTTGCGGCGGCTTATTGTCTGATGTGCAGGTACCTAAGGGCCGCCGGCTGCTGAGACCTTCAGAAAGACTCCCAAAAGGCCAAAAAGCCTGAGCTTAGATCATCTTCGTCTTAGCCCCCGCAGATCGTGGTTGAGAACATTTTTTTGGCACTCAGGTGGGGCCTCGCACAGACGGTTGACAACCTTGCCAGGAGCGCGCGCTGTGCACTGCAACGAAGAAGGGAGCACCGCTCCCCCTCCCCAACTCGCCTCAGTACTTCTTTCTTATAGAATGTGGGGGAGCTTTCGTCTCCTTGCCTCCTTAGGCGGCTTTTAGGTCTGGTTTTGTCTGCGCTTGGCTTTCTTGGCTTTCTCTCAGGCTGTGTTTTTGTTTGTTGGTTTTTTTCGTCTTGTTACAACACTTCAGAGCTTCATGGCTGCTGTTGTTGGCTAGCTAGTTTCTAGTGCCTTTCTGAATTCTTCTTACCCTGGAGCAGCTCCTCGAGGTAGCACCGTAGCACCCTTAGCTTCGCTGCTTCGCTGCGAAGCGTGAGGAGCCGTTGATTAAAGGCGCAGTCGGCTCCGGCTGGGAGCTGAGAGGCGCTTCGTCTTCGGAACTTGGGGGGGAAGGGGGCGCTTTTTGCAGTCCTCTTGCTTGGTGCACTTCTCTCTCATTCTCACTGCTCTTTTCGAGTCTTCGAGTGCCTCCCTGGTCAGGAGAACTGAGCACAGCCCGCTGATACCGAATGTTTTCAGAGCGGTGTAGGGGGTTCAATCGGGATGTACTCGTACGTGGTTTTCGAGATATCGCAGAGGTCGCGATGGTTTGCACTCAATAAACTTCATGCCGAGTTTTTCAACGGCCATGCCCAGTGAGTTCACAAGATGTGGCCTGGACCCCAAGTCAAGCCAATGAAGTGACTTCTCTGCTATCATGCGCCTTCCGCGTTCTCCGCTTAGTCCTTAAGACCCAAGGCTGAGGCTTCTTAGCTTCTTGACGTTGCGAAAAGCGGTGTTTCTTTGGGTGGGACCCCTCGTGAGACCGATTGTTGAGGCTTTAGGGGTCCCTTTTGCAGGCCTCCCTGCTGGCCCCCATACGCCATGATGGCAGGCACACAGGATCCCCGTTGGGTCTGATGTTAGCAATCCGCAATATTCGAGAGAGTGAAAAAAAGCCATGCTTCGAAAGCAATGCAAGAGGCGCAGGCGACATCGCTTCGGAACTCATGCGAAGCATGGAGTGCCCTGCAGAACAGTTTGAATTTTCGCAGCACGGCTGTGCAGTTGCGAGCTTGCGTAGGCTGTATCGTCAGCACCTTGCTGGCCCAATGCCCACGATTGTTTGTTTTGCAAAGAATAGAAGGCTTGCCTAGAGCACACCAAGCTGGCACAGCATCAACGCTGCGAATGCTTCTTGAGTCGGTCCGGCACAGCCTTCGTCATGCTGGCTCCGGTCGAAAGTCATCCCTCGTAGATTCGGGGGCACATTCTGCCCATCTTTTCAGGACGCGCCTCTGACATGTCGGAGCCAGTATCCCGCCAGATCTTCGGATCGTGTACAAACTTGGCAAGTGCTGCAAGTATTAGAAGCGCTGTGGAAGCTGCCCTGATGCTTTCACTCCAGCACTTAGCCAACTGCGACATAGTGACATCGTCTGTAAAGACAAAGGTGACTAGAGTTGCCTAGAGTCTGGAGCAAGCTCTTTCGGCCCTTCCGCATGCTTCAACCCTGAGGTCACCAGCTCACCCCGAGCTTTTGAAGGTGCCGCGAAGCATGACATGCCAAAGCGTGCAGCCCAACTTAGCACAGTGTTGCTTGTCTGACCCTGCTACAGGCCATTGGGGGGTCATGGCATACCGTTGCTGAACAGAATTCAAATCAATTTTGGGTGTTCCCTTTTGCGCACTGGACGAATGGAAAGGCTAGCTCCTTATCAGCCGTACATTAACTTTTGGTATGTTACCGCCGTCACCGTTGTTTCATCATGTTTTGTTGGTTGCTCCATGATATCATCCTGAAAGTGCGCCGCTGGGGAACCGGACAAATCCCGGACTCAGAGATTTGCCCAGCGTACAGACGTCTGGCGCATCGTACCGCGTCGCTCCCGACGTTGCATACAGGTGGCGCTGGTGCTCGATTCATCTCGAGCAACGGAATGGAGTGGATGGAGTGGACGGCAGTGGCAATAGCAGATTGCAGCACGGTGAGGACTCAGACTTTGAAGCCCTCTATTTGCCTCTACTTCTATGGTTCTATCCCCAGGCAGCTAGGGCCAAGGGCCTGAGGGTGAAATCTCGATTCGGAGCTCTGGTCACTGATGTAGAGTCGGGTCATGGTGAGCTCTCACACATCCACTCACACCACCTGTGGTGCTTCCACAAAGAGAAGCACACAGCACACAGCAATCCGTGCCAGCATAGTGACGGCAACCCAGATGAAGGTGGCACCTTGAAAAAAGTTGCATAGGACCGTGTCTCCGCCAGCACTCGCTCTCTTTGCTCGCTCTCTCCGCTTTTTGCATCTCTCTATGTCCCTCCCTGTCCCTCCCTCTCCTCACTTCTGGGCAACAGCTGAAGATGCGGGCCACACCTCTCCCTGTCCCCTGTTGCCTCTGTGAGGCAAACAATCCTGTCACTGATGACATTCAGACCCGCCAGTATCGATCTCCCGAGGTGTCCCTGCACGCGTTGTTTTTGCGATGCTTGAGAAGTTCGGCTTGGGTTCACGGTTGCTTTCGGTTGCGAGCATAGGGCAGGGAGACGAATCTTGGCAGGTCATCATAGGGGCCAAGTGGGATGAAACTGCGGACGTGGCCCGCTTGGCCCAACTGCATCTTTCAGTAGCAAGGCTTCAAGCTTCCACAAGCTGAGCGCAAGTGTCTCGGAACGTCTAGGTCTGGAGTGCCGCGTGCATGTTCTTTGAGCTCGCAACGGGCGACTACCTCTTCGACCCAAAGAAGGGGGATGCGAGCATCTCAAGCATGCAATGGCGCACTGGATGGCTCCATGTCGGGGTAGGATGTTCACGATTTGTTTTGCCAAGCGGGCCTCGCAAGTTCGAACTGGATTCGAACTCGTTAGGACTGGAATCGAGAGGAAGACCACCTTGCCCTCGTGGCTGAGCTGCTCGGGGATTTGCCGCCGAAGGCCAGCGCCTCATCTTGCCTCTCTGAATGTCATCTGCTCCGCCTGCTCTCCGCCTGCTCTCCTGCGCCAAAAACTTTGCGCAACATGGGTTCGACTGCATATGTTCGGTGTTTTACGTGAACCCCCCAGGAGTTCGCGCTGTCTGGGAGATATTCCAAGGCCGAGCAGCCGCCGGGAACACTCCGTAAACTCTGTAAACTGTACATGATGTATATAGAGAAGTCAGTGTGTCAGAGTGGCCGGAGGACTTTTTCACCAATGCGGCAAAACTCAAGCACATCAAGAAGCTGAAGCGCTCCCGCCTGTTCCACAATATGTTTTCGTACTTTCTTTTTGTGCGGGCAGAGCCCTGGCAGGATGTGGCCTTTGGAGGAAGTCCTCCGAGAGAAGTACCGCTGGGAGGAGGCGGAAGCTGCAGAGGCCCCCGCTGTTCATCTGCCTCGGCCTGGCCTCCTCTCGGCCTGCCCAGATTCCTCTGCCCGATTCCTCTATACCTTTTCCCTTCTCTTCCCAGCCTTGCAAAAGCTGTGGGCAGATGGCGAGCTTCCTGCTGCCGATGCTCTCCTGGCAGCCAGTGCAGCGACAGCCCGCAGCCGAGGCGGGGGGGTGCGGAGACAGAAAGAGCGGCCAAAAAAGGAGGGGGAAAACGAAAGACTCGGAAAGAAGAGAGGAGAGACGAGCGCCTCTGAGAGCCGAGCTTGAGTCTCCAGGCCTTGTCGCATGTTTGGGTGCAGCTGCGGGAGGGTGAGACGGACGATCTACCTGCCGCCGGCCTGGCGTGAAAAGTAAAAATTAAAAAGCAATAGCATACGTTATACAATGACATGTCAGTTTCACATACTGACATGTCATTGTATAACGTATGTTATTGCTTTTTTTCTACCTGCCGAATAACTGACGGACTATGCTTTTGAGGAGGGCCTGTCCGCATAGGCCTCCAGAATTGGATTTTTAGGCTGTTTAGGGACACTACGGCACTTTCGGCTTCTGGGATTGGTTTTTTAGGGACAGTACAGCACTTTCAGCACCTCAGGCCTTCAAAGTGCCGTACTGTCCCTAAAAAACCAATCTTTTGAGGAGGGCCTGTCTGCATAGGCCTCCAGAATTGGAATTTTAGGTTTTTTAGGGACAGTACGGCATATTCGGCTTCTGGGATTGGTTTTTAAGGGACAGTACAACACTTTCGTAGCCCTAAACCCGGTACCTGAGGCGGGGAACAATTGGACCTAGGTACCGGGGGGGGGGGGTACCCTTTATATATATATATATATATGTATATTATATATATATATATATATATCCATATATATATATATAATATATATATATATGTATATTATATGTATGTGTGCAACCCCCCTAAAGCCGATTGCTTTGCAGTTGTCTACACTCGTGTGATATCAGGATTTAAACTCGCAAGACGATGTTAGAAGCCATGAAAGAAGAGTGTTTGTTGGATTTTTTTGCATGAATGCTTGGAAGCCGGAAGTCTTTGCGTTGCATGCTTCATTGCTTGGCACCTTCACGTGCCTTGTTGGTTGAGTTCATGCTCGAAGCCCTAGACCCAAAGAGGGTTAGGGTTATGCGATATTCAGGATACACCTGTCACTGTACGGAAAAACGTGCCGTTCTTGGCATCCCGAGGGTCGATGGTCGCAAGTTCACAGACATGTCGTACCAACGAATGAAGCATTGCAAGCCGGTTTACGACTTTAAGCATCCCGGCGCTCCTTCCGCGCGCGCAGCTCTGTGCGCCGCTCACAACTTGTCGGAGCCATGCTTGGTCCTCGGCGACGCAGAGTCTCTTTTCTTTTTTCAAGTAAGAATGATCCCGAAGCGGCAGTCGCAAGCATTCATCGACAGCAACTCAGGCCGATCGACATGACTATTGCAGGCGCGGTGGGTGCGAATCTTCTGGCTTTGTTGTTATCTCGGATGAAAGGATGAGATGCAGTAGTTCGAGGCAGTTTCAGGTAGGCGTTGGCCATCGCAGGTGCCATGGGGCTCAAAGCGGTGGCAGCAGCTAAAGCGGCCTCTGCCGCTGCCAAGCAAGCAGCTGCGCAGGCTGAAGCCACGATTTGCTTCGACCAGCTGATCTCCCTTCACCCGCTGAATGTCCAGGCAATTGCCATGGCGCAAAACACAAACCTGGCTGCTCTTCAGGCAGAGCAGGCGCAGGCGCCATCAGTTCAACCATCAGTTAGCAGCATTCTGCAGCAAAAGGTTTCAAATCTGCTAAGGCCAATTTGGAGAAGTACGTCTATGGAGTTCCAGTGTCGTCTGTTCCTCCTTCAGTGTTGGGCACTCGACAGTGACACATCAGTTTACCAGTATACCAAGGCAATCCAAGGCAGATATTGGGTTTGACCGAGGTCTCCCATGCCCCCTGCTGCCATACACCCGTATCCGATGAAGGCCGGTCATTCTGAATTCCCAGCTGTTTCAGGGCAAGACATGTTGGCGCGCCAACCCTTTGCGTTTCCATGTGCAGCTGTGTGCGAGCCCTGCCCAGGCACAGATGCCGCTGGCAATTGGGTTGGCGTGTTTGGGCACGGAGGCACCTGGGGCACGAGCGAGGAAGCGACGGGCACCCAGGGTCTTGACCGACCTCGCAACGTTTCTGTAGCCTCGCAGAGAGGAGCTGTCTCTGTCAAAGGCCAGAAACAGGAGCTCTTAAATCGAGATGTGTGTCGAGCCAAATCGTGCAGATGCCAGAAGCCGCTGTTGAGAGTCCCTCCAGCTGAGCCACTTAGTTCAGCTGAAAGTCATGGCAAAGACGCGCGTAGAAGACAATGACAAGGAAGAGGAAGAATGGTAAGAAGAAATTGTAAGATACTACATCGTCGTTACGAGCCCTATTCAGCCTCTACCCCTCAGCCCTGAACCTCCTGAACCTCCCAAAGCCCCAAACTGTTGTAACAGCCCAAACTGAAACCATGCCAAACGGCAAGCCCCCCCAAGCCAGTCGCTTGGCCTGCTGAGAGCATGGCACAGATGGCGCAAGGGGACATCAACAGCCAGGCAGTCCATCAAGAGCATGCTTTCGCAGGAATCGGCCACTTTGGGGAATTAGCTCTTAGGGTTCTGTGACATTCGAAGGCAGGAGATGCAGACACGGCAAAAGATGCAGACACTGCATAGTGTCTGCAGACAGTGCAGTTGCGATGTGCAGAGTCTCCACTGGCAGGCATTCTGGAATGAGTTTATGCGAAGACCAGATGCCAAGGCGGCATACCAAGCAGAGAGGCGCCTGCAGGAGCACGGCAGATGTATGAATGCCGTATGAATGCCGCTACATCTCCAGTCGTAAGCTGTGGCCAAACATGGTGGCAACTGTGTCCAATCTCCATGTGGCCCATCTTGAGGAGAAGAAGCGCCAGTGGCTGGAAGAGCGAAGAGTAGTCGAGGAGTGAAGTGCGAGCGCATGGGCTGCATGGGGCGGATCTTGACAGCAGAGCTTTATCCGAAGGAAAGGGCAGAGCACCGTCGCTTGCTGGCCGATGCCCTGGAGGAGATTCGCCGACTTCGCCGACTTCGCACGTTTTAATAGCGCACGCTGAAAAAAGCCTTTTGGCACGGGTGATTTTAACCTGATTTTTAGTTTTGCTTCCCTTTGAGAGGAAGCACCAGCTGACCTGAAGAAGCTGATCGCGCCTATGTTTCACATCAGGTTTGTGGAGGATTATCTGCTGGCGTCTCAAATGTCTCGCAGTCCAACATGTCAAGACCGGTCCGAAACAACATCCGCATCGCCAGTTAGGTGGATGATCTATGACGAGTGTTCAAAGAAACAGAAGGATTTCAAGGAGAAGCTCCGAGATGGCGCGTGGGGCCCTTACTTCAGTGCTCATGCGCAAGTCTTGACGCTACCGAGGGGAGCGGAGGGTAATAGGGGGGCGGGAGGCCCATATGCCAAGGACTGCAGATCAGCTGCGCAAGATGCGCGAGAACTTTCAAGCAGGTGGAGAGGCACCCGCCAGGTCTTCAGTGAGATGAGACGTGGAGGGCTTTTCGGTGCCTCAGGAGCGAATGGCAGATATGGAGAAAGAGTGGAGCCTGGCTCAGCTTGGCCGAGCATTTTCACAGCATTTGCACAGCATAGCGGCGTGGCCTCTTGCTGCAATTCAGCTGGCATCCAGCATTGCTTGGCATCGCTCCAAGGCATGCCCAATGCAAGGCAATGTCAGAAGCTGTCCAGTTCTGAGGTCATCTGTAGGAGGAGGGGTCCTGTACGCCTTGCAGAGATGTGTGGACGTCTGAGGAAGAGAAGAAGAAGGAAATTCTTCCGCAGAGCATCGACATTCACACCTTGAAGCATGTACTGGAGTACGCGCAGGATGCTGCAATATGCTGAAAATCTCCCCCCTCTGCCAACGTATCACAAGCCTTCTGCGACCGTGATGTGTCGTGCAAGGAGTGCAAGCGCGAGGGCAACCTCAAGTTTCAGGAAGGCCTCTACGAGGAGGCCAGCCTTGCCCTTCTCAAGCCTCTTCAAGCCTCTTCCTTCAAGGCAGCTCCTTACATTTATTTACGAGCGGTTAGTTGCATCGTAGAGTTAGAGATGCGGGGGGAGGCCTTGCACATCTACTCTCAAGCAGATGATGCCATGAAGAAGTGGAAGGCCAGGCCACGGTGTTTGCCCCCTTTCGCGTGCCAGAGCCGCGCAGCCACGGAGTAGCATGATTTGTGTCGATTGATGCCAATACCAGCACAAGAGGACAATTCGCGAATTGAATATGATTCTTGAAAATGGTTTGAAGACTCACCTTTGTGAGAGGTGGCCAGGCATCTGAAGAACGAGGAGAAGTGGCTCAAAGACTACCACCTGGCCTGCCTGAAGTGAACCTGGCCTGTTTCTGGGTCGTCCGGCCACCCGGCTCTCTGATGCTCCGGCGTGCTCACGGGCAAGGAACAAAGCGCAGGCGGCGCTGAAGCTGGAACTGTTCCAGACGGCGCTGGACCCGAGTGCACTCCCTCTGTCCCTCCCAAACCTCCCCTCCGCCGCACGCAGAGCAGCAGCTTCCTCCATCCCTCCAGCCCTCCAACCCTCCGATCGCCGTGCAAGCGGAGGACGCCTCTGAGGCAGCGCTGGGCATCGACGCCGAGGACCACAAAGCCTGGTACAGGCTCGGCACGAAGCTCCGAAGCTCAGAAATGAGAGTTCTACTTCGTCTCAATGAACTTCAATCTCCTTGAAGCTCGCCTTCTCAGTTCACTGCTTTCTCCATTGCGCACTCGGTTGCACCGCACCGGACACGGACATGGCAGGAAGGTGCAAGCGGAGAAGGGCCTCGGCAGGTTCAAAGAGGCCCCAGCGGAGGGACTTGGGGGCAATTGTTCCTGAAACAAATCTCGTCATTCCGTCTCACTCCGTCTCACTCCGTCTCACTCCGTCTCAGAGCGTTGAAGGCGGAGGAGTCCCTGGCAAAGCTCGAGGATGTCGCTCAGTGGTGCCTGCAGCTGAGAGCCTTCCTTCTCCTAAACCTTCGCTGTGAGCTCCTTCTTCTATGTTCTCCTCTTTTGAGCTTGTCCCTAAAACCGCGAGAGGTTGTGCCAGTAGGAGCGGCCTGCTTCCTCCTGAAGCCCCGATGTCGTGGAGGGATGTGTGAAACAAAGAAGAGAGAGAAGGTTTGTCCCCAATCACGGAGGCCCTGACCGGCGGCGCATCCTCCGGGACTGTGAGGCAGAGCGGAAGAGGCGCGATTGAAAGGGGGGGGTGGGTGGGAGGGGCCGATGCAATACGACATGTCTTGTATGCTTTGTAATTGTTTCCATTCCATTCCATTCCATTCCATTCCATTCCATTCCATTCCATTCCATTCCATTCCATTCCATTCCTCCTCCTCCTCAAAAGAAGAGCAAGAAGATGATCTCCAAAATGGAGCTGAGGACTCTTTACAACTTGGGTCAAAACGAGGTTTGGGGGATCCTGAGGTCCTGGTATGTCAAGGATCAAAGTCTTTGCGCTTTCGTGACCATATGAAGTTCTTACGGTAAATGTAGCTTTCAAGCTGCAGAGAAACCCGAAGAAGGGCACAAGGATCAGCCCTGTTCCACTTTCCTTGGCCTCCGGCTCCCTCGGTGTCAGGATCAAGGTGGCGCGGGTCAAGCACCGCCAGTCGACCCAAGAGATGCTCGGAAAGGCCTTCGAGGCATCTCTCCGTGCGCTGTTCCCCCTTTCTTCGCCTCTTGCACGGTTGCACTTCCCTTTTTTGTAATTGTAATTGAGTTCCTTGAAGGCGGGCGTCTTCAGCATCGACAGGGATCGCGAGTTAGAAGAGGCGCAGCTTAGTTGCCCTTGGACTTTGAGTGAAACCCGCCGCGAAGCAGGCAGCCAAGAAGCTCGAGGAGCCACCATCGCAGATGCAGGTCACGGAGTCACGGCGTGTTCAGCATTCTTGATGCAGTCGTTGAAGCCGTGTGCCCATCTCGCCCTTGGCAGTCCTCACGGCATTCGCAGTTGAAGAGGTGTCTACCGAGCCACGTCCGAAGGGATTGGAGGCGGTGCTTCGCTTGCATCGCCTGGACTCGCCTTCCGCCTGCATCGCGTGGAGCCCGGCTGTTCGAGATTCGGCTTGTGGGCAGGCAGCGCGGCCACTGGAGAGGAACATCCACCTGACAGCCGCCTTGGTGTGTACCTCAGATGCCCAAGATGTGCCTCTTTCATGTGATACCAGCATGTTGGGGTGCTCGGGGATTTTCCATGGGTTCAGGAATACTCATTGCCAAGGCTGGAGATCTGATGGACGAGCTTGCGGCAGCGTATGGCAGTGCCCTCAGTGTCTTAGGCAGCAAGCCCCACATCATCCCATGTCCTGTTACGCAAGTTAGCCAAGTTGCGCCACTGAGGTCAGAAGTGGTTTCAGGACTCTGCTGCGGTCTCTTGAAAAAGGTAAGTTGTAACCAGCGAAAGCAAGTCCGGTGCTTGAGGAGCGAGTGCGAAAATGTGCTCGAGATTCTGGCTTCGAGCGGTCCGTTTTCCTGATGCGCCTCAAGGCATATGACTTGTCTTGGTTCATCTCGACTCGTCTTGACTTGACTGAAGTCTGTTCCAAGCCACGTGTTTCGCCAGGACGTGGCCTTTGAAGTTCAGAAGCCGGTGCTGGAAAAGTGGGGTTTTGAGGCTCAGCTCATGGCTCATAGCATGGTTGCCTTGGCACCTCAGCTCTTCTTTCGTTCTTTCGGAGGGCAACGAGCATGGGGTTCGGGAGATGACCGCTGCAATCCGCGAGCACGCGGGCCGAAGCGGCAAGGACGACAGACGGAAGCCTGGCCCTGCGAGATGGTTTTTTGTGGGCGCGAAGTTTAGCCCCCAGGACATGCCTCAATGGCTGAAGGAGAAGCAAGACAGGCGCGCCACTTCAGGGGAAGTGAGGAGGAAGATAAGCGCTCTCCGCTGGAGCGCGCAGTGTGTTCTTGGCCAGGTGCTTGGAGCTCTTGTACGGTGGCCCGGAGGGTGGGATGCTGGACATCCTGAAGTGACTTCAGGGGCCCCCATCTGAGGGGCCCCCAGCCCACGTTTCACACTCGGCCGAAGGCTGCTCGGGAGATGTGCGATGCGCCGGCCTCGGCGCACATGGCGCGGAACTCTTTGTTCCTCCCGGAGCCGTCAGCTGTCGAGGTTAAAAAGCATGTGCGCGACGTGCGCTCCGAATCGCCCCCCCTGCTGTGTGCAGTGTACAGTTCGCATGATGTTCACCCACGCTTAATGGGTTTTTTGGTGTGGTTCTTGTTCTCCAACCTTCGGCTCTCACATTGTCAAGGAGGGGGTTATGAAAGAGGGGATCTAGAAGGGGAAGCTGGGGGGCCCGGTGTTCTTGAGCGCCATGGCACCTGGAGGCTGCCGGAATCACCTGCTGTGGCTCTCTTTGCTGAGCTCTCTGAGTCTCTGAGTTCTTGATGCGCAGCTCGAGAGGGAAGAGCGGGATGCAGTGCGCAGATGTGCGCAGTGTCAGCTCAATGCAGTTTTTCAGCAACATGGCAGAGGTGGTCTTCCAGATATCTCGGGGATGAGCTTTGGATTTTATTTAGACTTGTCTGCAGTCGCAACACACGAGCATTGCGAGCATTGAAGCGTGAATGCTGTGAATGCTGGCAAAGGGAAGCAGTTCAGCATGAGCATGACTAAGGACATCACTGAAGGCACCGTCTGCCTGAGTCTGCCTGCTTCTTGATTGCTTGATGCCTCTAGCAGATATCGCTTTCTGCCAGAAGAGATCTCTTGGCAGGTCGACGTGACTGGACAAATACCCGAGAACTGGACCTCCGAAGAGCTCCGCAAGTCCTTCGAGAAGCGGCCTGGCTCAAACGGATCAAACGGCTCTGCACCATCCGAAGTCTTCTGAGGCTGCTGCATGATTAGCATCTTGTATATGCTCTCATGATTCTCATGCCCGAGTAAGAGTTCCTCTTCATTTTTAGGAGGGTGCTATGGTCGCCCGCTAGATCACATCGCCATTGACTTCCAAGAGCGGCCTGTGCAGATGTTGCACGGAAACTCATCGAACAAAACAGCCGAGTCTGTCCGAACATTGGAATGCTGGAAGTTCATCCTGATGTTTTAGCAATCTACATACTGGATTGTTGTGAGGAATTTATGGTGATTTACCTTGCTAGCATTTTATCTTTCGCCTCTGGTTTCCTACGATGTTTTGTGGCGCTTTCTTTGCACTGAATACTTTTGTGGAATGTCATCTCTCATAAACTTTTACTCTGCTGATTCCAATATCTGAGTTTGGTCTCTTCACGCGTCGCGCTTCAGATATGCCCAATGTGAACAAGCGCAGTTCTAATGATGGCTCGATCTTCGTGCTGTTCAGTGGTTTGTTGACTGAGGTTTGGCGACATCGGAGACGTTTTCGTTCCACGCGAGAGGTTTTCTGACAGGCCCAGCACGACCACGGTGGCAGCCTGCCTTATAGGGTAACTGCGCCGATGGGAGCTGCGCATATGGGAAACTGCTCTATGTCCTAGATTTTCGAACCCTACACCGATGTTTGCTCTCATCTGTGTCATATCGCTCTGCAAGGCCTCGGCCCTTTGCCTTCGTACGGTTTCTCTATGACACAGATGCCAAAGAGGTGCGCAACAGGGGGTGCACAACCGGGGGGGGGAGCATGTGGCGTTGTATGATCCGTATGCCCGATCCGTCGTCTTCATCTCTCTTCTTTCTGAAGTGGCAGAGGCCATCAAGGAGATGAATGGCACGAAGTTTGAGGCAGAGACTTTTTTGGACTTCTAGTGCAGACAAGGGACCTTCGGGGATATTTAGGGGTCATTTCGGGGCTGCTCATGTAAATAGGGACTGTATATAAAGGGTATAAAGGGTATAGTATATACAGGGGTCATATATAGGGAATAAGATTTACGGGGCCCTTCTAGGAGTCCCTCCTGACATCCCTTGAGTCAAGAACTCGACTTAGACCTGTGCAGGGCAGCACCCTCACGGTCTCCAAAGCCAATCGAAGCAGAGAGGAGGCCCCTCTCACAGCGCCTCTGCGTCTGCGTCTGTAAGCTTCAGTTTCAGTGAAGATGTACGGCAGTGCGGGTCTTGCAGTGCCACCACACGGCAAAGGCACGCGCCGAGACCGCGCGAGATGATGGAAAGTGCGCCCTGCTCTGGGGTTTCCTGGAACGCCGCCCTTTTCTGGGGAGCTCTGCATCATTGTCAGAACTGTGGCCGTGACTGTGACAGTGACTGTGGTGGTGTGCTCCGGCACAGGCGGAAGCGGTCCAAGTCACGCAGCAGACGAAGATCCACCAGCCGAGGAGGGAACAGGGAGGGGGCCGAGGGCGCGGGGAGGGAAATCTTCCCATGTGTTGAAACTTTGGGAGTTGCGGAGCGGCTACTCTCTGAGAAACTGACCCACGTGCACCCGCCCTTTTGCGGAGCATTCGTTTCGCGCACTGCGGGAGGCCGAAGGCGACGCTCCCGTTCCAGGTCCAGATCTCCTCGGAAGCGGCTGGGGGCCCCAAAAAGGGATGTGCCGTGATGTGCCGTGATGTTCCGTGCCCTCCTCTCTCCAATTTGGCCTCTTCGAAGTGCCCCCCAACAAGGCATCTCAGGGAGGGCTCTTCAGAACTTCAGAGACGGTTCTCTGAGTGTTCTCTGATTCTCTCTTTTTGGCTGACACTTTGCACTGACTTTGCACCCCTCTCTGCGATGCTGGCGGCGCCGTCGGCCCTACGCCCCGGGGCGACCTAGGGGCAGCGCGGAGCGCCGAACTGCGGGATTCGTGGGCGTAAACGGTGCGTGGAACAGCTGCTTGGTGTTGCCTGGGGCAGGCAGAGATGTGAGTCGAGCGACAGCGGGAGAAGCCGGCGCAGGCGAAGGCACGAGCCGACAAGATGTTCAGCTATGTTCAGCTGAATGCTGCAGCGTTGTGGAGTATTGTGGAGTATTGTGGAGTTGTTTTTCCGCTCAGGCGCCGCAGCGACAGCGGCAGCCGCGCACTCTGGTTCGTCGAGACAGGACTGAGAGTCAGAGTTCCCACTCCGAGATGCCGCCGAGGTCGCAGCAGCCGCAGCCGTAGCCGGCATCGCTGAGAAAAAGACGCCCACTGCAAGCTCGCTGAAGCTTCAGAATTGTCTGTTGAGTTTCAGTAGAGGTGGTTGCGGTGGTCGCTGTAGACGTCGACGTCACATCAATGCCAGGGTGCGCTGCAGGGTTGACAGCCGCGGCCGTTGAGATCCATGTTTGAGTCCCATGCATACGTCATGACGCATTGCATCCAATGAGAGCTGAGCCCAAAGTCAAGAGCTCGAAGTTGTGTGCGACAGTATGCGTCGTGCGCCCTCTAGCATGTGTCCCGCCTTGTGCGGCGTTGGACTAAAGTGCTCAGATTGTTGAAGACAGTCTTGGCACGTTTCGGTAACAGCCGCTGGAGCCATGGCGGATGGTGGAGAGGTGTTGATGAGAAGAGGGGGAGAGCGGCACAACACGACCAGGCACGGCTGGTCCGCCAAGTGAGCCACACTACCACCGGACCACCGCGGTCGCTCTAGCTTGGAGTTGTGGCAGCTGCTCACTTCGCGTCCTGCCGTGGTCTTACCATTTGCTGCAGGTTCGTCAAGGGCACCAACGCGAAGAAACCGCCGAATTTCGAAGGTTCCGTGTTGCTTTGCGGCTTGACTTCGTCCGTGTCTTGAATTGCAGGCACCGGGGTCATCGCCCTTTTTAAGCATCCGCATGCCTGGCGCGACTTTGACTTGGTGCTCTCAACAGCATAGGCTCTTCTGCTATTCTTGTGCTGCCAGGCTGTCTATCTTCTTGATTTGTGTTCCTTTCGGCATCGTGTCCTACTTCTGCTCGCCAGGACCTTAGGCTTCAGTGCAAACCCCCTTTTAGCGTATGTGGGAGTCGGCGGTGAGTTTCAGCCGAGGTGGGATCCGGCGTACACCTTCTGGTTAAACTTCTTCGTGGACCTGCCTGGTTAACAGAGATTTGCAGCGCAAGGCTTCACCGGAGCAGCCTTTTCAGTATTCGATCTTGCCAGGCGATGCTTCCAATGGCGAAAATTCTGGGAGACATCACCGAGGTTCCAATATGGCACTTAAGGTATTCAAAACAGGATTGCGCCTCTCCCGTGCAGATTCCTCGTATCATCTTCTGCTGCGAGGAGTTGGCGGCCGGTCTCCGGAACGACCTTCTGGCTGGCCTCATCAACGCCCCTCGGCCCGATTGATGTAACTGCATGACGAACAGCGAGCAGTGTATATATATATATATAAAACATGTTCAAAAGATAAGCAGGAGTATAGATGCAGTCATTATTTCTGCACCTTTCAGCGTCTGAGAGAGCCTGCGCACCAGGGATAAGTGCAGGCGTAGCCACGGCTTGGAACGCAGATTTTGCGTTTCTATGTGTGTAATAAGCAAGTGCCTGTTTCAAGCTGAGAGTCTTGAGAGGCCACCTTCGGGAACGCTGTGGAGATGGTCATCACGGCCCGAGAGCCCACTCGAGATACAGCTGCCCTCTCTGCACCTCCCTGAGAGTCCCCCGAGGTGCAGACGCTTCGTGGTGGACTCTACGCTGTGGTCAAGGCTACGCTCCTAGGCCTGGGGCTCGGAATGTGTGGTGCAATACAGTGTTAATATTTGGAGCTTTCGCCATCTCGCGGGGGTTTGCATCGTTTTGCTGACCGCACCTCTTCGATGTGTTTGTTTCACCCAGTCATGATCGAATCGCGGCAATCGTTACGGCTTCTTTGGTGCCGTGTACGAGCCAGGCTCCGTCCTGTCCAACGTGCTGCTTGTCCTGGGCATGTCATTCCTCTTTGGTGGACTAGCAGCTCGGCTGCGGACGCTTGGTCGTTGACGTTCCGTACGGGCGCACAAGCTGAGGTCAACGTGGATTCCAAGGCAGAGCAGGCAAAGGCGAAGAGCGACTCCAAGGACCAGACTCCTTTTGGGCTCCTTCTTGGGGGCACTTTTCTGGCAGCTTCTGGCTCCAAGAGACACAGAGGCTCTCGCAGAGTCGCACAGCAGGATGCCGCCGATCTGGAGAAGGAAGCATCCGGGGGTTTCAGCATGGTGGCTGAGAAGGCCCCCTTTGAGCCTTCTGAGCCTTCTGAGCATCCCTGAGCATCCCTGAGCATCCCTGAGCATCCCTGAGCCTTATCGTTGGCTGCTTCTGAACACAAGTTAACACAAGCGCATACAAGCGCCCTTAGCCCAGCTGCCAGGTGCAGACCTTCAAGATCCTGGGAGCCATGGCGCGCAGCTCAGTGCAGCTCAGTGCAGCGGGGGAGAGAGGAGAGAGTTGAGAGAGTTGAGCACGAGTTTGGCGAGGGTTGCTGCCACGCAGCTCCAGGTGAACACATCCATGCTCTTGCTCTCGTGCTTATCATTCACGTTGGCTCGCTCCTGAGCTTGGCTTGGTTGCCGCTCCAGTGTTTTCCTTTCGTCGACTTGGACTGTCATGCAGTGTCATGCAGCATGCGATCTCAAGAGCCATGGAGCTTGTACGGGAGGTGACCGTTTTCGGCACGATGCTGGAAGACCACTACGACATGGACCGCCAGGAATTGGAAGATGTCATGCTTCCAATATCGCGGACATGCTCCATTATCATCATCTCCGCCTATGTCGCGCGTGGCCCCAAGCTACCGGATCTACTGGACTGCTGACCGCATGCATCTCTGAATTTCCGGTGCAGGTATATTGTTTTCCAGCTGTTCACGCATCGAACTGTGCCTGCCTCGAGTGCCATGAGCTGCCATGAGTACGTACGAGAGTGGCCATTGCAAACCTTACTTGGACCTCTGTTCGGAGTGAGTGCAGTACGAGCAAGTTCGATCCCTCTCTGAAGGTCATGGCCGAAAGCGGCGGTGACGATGAGGAGGAGGAGGCAGGGATGAGCGATGAATGTTTGAAGTATGTTGCCTGCAAGGCTCGAGTTGAGTAGCTGCCTGGCTTTGCTGCGTCCCTCGCAAACTCCTTGTTTCAAAGGAGGGCTCCATATCAGTGACCACTGCTGCTGTGCGCCGGGCAAACCACTCATGGATGCCGGGTGCCGGAAGCTCTAGAGTATCGTCGCTGCAGTTAATCTCCCTGCAGGTACTCCTTTTTGTCATGACGGCAGTTGTGGCTTATTGTTCCGAGCTACTCGCCAGTGCCTGAGAATGCTCTGCTCATGTTGGGTGAACTCTGCTTGCAACGGCCTGTGCTTGATGCAGGTAGATTCGATTGAGAGCATGACGTCACGTGCACACATGGGTATTGCACTTAGTCGCCTGTCCCAGACGGTCGAGACCACTTCCCGCATGGAAGATCTCACAGAAGATCGATTCTTAGGTGAGCACTTCATCGGCATCATCCTGTTGCCCATCGTTGGCAACGCATGCGAGCACGCCGCAGCCGTTCGCTTTGCCATGCAGGACTATCACGTCCTTGCGCATCCTTTCACAATCCTCTTCACATCCTCTTCCTTTTATGGCAACGGCACCTCTGCTCGGCTCTGCTGATGAGGACAAACCTGGACTGTCGATTGGCATCGCAGTTGGCTCTTCCACGTGAGGGACTCGAGGGACTCCCCTGTGCACATGTCTTTGCAAAGAGCGAGAAGACTCGAAGAAGCTGAGCTGATGTGAGGGTGATGCGGATGTTCTCAGAGCGGTTCGCTTTGAGGCAAATAGCTCTCTTCGTCGTTCCCTTCTCCGTTTTAGTCGGCTGGGCCATCGACAAGCCGACCCGTGGCGCCTCATTGGGGGGGGGGGGGGGGGGCAGGAGGGGCTGTCTCAGACTTTCTCAGCGCACTCTCTCTCTCTCTCTCTCTCGCTCGCTCTCCTTTCCAGAGAGCATCTCTCGAAGCCACTCTCTCCCCCGGCAGCATCCCAGGATGGACCTGAACTTCGGTGCCCTCAACGTCACCGCATCTTGACTCTTACTTGTGGATCCACGGGTCCTGCTCTCTTGCTCCTACAAGTCTAGCTGCTCCTGTCGGTGGGCCCAGAGGTGATGACGCTCAGTGTCATTGTCGTGCTTTCCATGGTGGTTGATGGCCAGCCGGGCGCTCGGGTACCTTAGTACCATCTCATAGCCTGTTTCCCCACCTGGTTCCCCCTGGTTCCCACTGATTCCCAGCTGGTTCCACTGCGCAACAGACTTCAGGTCCAACTGGCTGCAAGGCTACCTGCTCTGTGCGGCGTATGCAGTGATAGCTGTTTTGCTGCAGCCTTATGAACTGAACTGGGAGATACTGGCTCAGGCAGGCCGCGTTCGTGCAGCCTTGTCCTTTGAGGTTTTGGTACGTGCCGAATTCTACGTCGATCTGACTGGCAGTGACCGTGGTAATGTCAGCAAATGTATCTAACTCTTTGTAAGAAAAGGGCACAGGGTGAAGCAACACCTCAGCCTTTCAGGCGTCTCACGCCCATTCCAAGGCGGAAGACGGAGCACAGAGACGCAGTGTGCCCATCAAAAATCTTTCCCCTAAGCAGTTTCGTCTCCTCTTTCCCTGCCCTTGGCGTGGGCACATACAAAAGCTCCCAAAATCTCTCTCTGCGCCAATGCCGCGTAGAGCGTTTGGGGTTTTTCGGGTGTGGAGAAATTCCGCGACACCCGAAAAGGCATCGACAGACCTCCCCGAGAACTGCAGCCTGCGAATGCCTACCTTGCAAAATTCTGCTGTTGCCACAGAGATGCCCTGTGTGGCCATCTCCGTGTCTATCGGAGTTGCCTCTCTGGAAAAGTCTAACCAGTGTCAACGCCGAGCTCCCAGCTTCCTAGGTCTTTCTAAGGAGGTCTGAAGAGTCTTGAAAGAGTGTTTAAGGCGGGTGTTTCTTGGGCTCTGCTCGGATGGTTTGATTCACCCGTGTTCCACTATCATCTGCCATTTCTTCTCAAGACTACGAAGAAGAGGGGGAAAGAGAGAGACAGAGAGAGACAAAGAGAGAGCGCCTAGTGCCTGCACAACGAGCAGAAAGGAGAAGGACAAGACGCAGAACGAGAAGAAGAAGAAGAAGAAGAAGAAGAAGAAGAAGAAGAAGAAGAAGAAGAAGAAGAAGAAGAAGAAGAAGAAGAAGAAGAAGAAGAAGAAGGAGAGAGCGAGAGAGGCACAACAGCGCCTGCATGGAGCAAAGTAAGAGCATAGAGGCACTGACACGGGGTGCTGCAGAGCGAGCAAGAGCCACAGTCCTGCACACTGAATCAGAGCCCGCGGATGCGGCGTGCCCTGTGCTTCTCCTCCGCGCCTTCGAATTTATAAGTTGAACTTGCTGCTGGTGGACGTGCAACTCTAGCTGTAATGTCTGTAGAGCCGCCTGGCCGTGGAATGGCCTCCATGGTTCAAGCCATTTCAAGCCTGAGGTGCTGGTCGTGACGGCGGAGCACCCCAGCGGCCCTAGCGGCCCTAGCGGCCCTAGCGGCCCGGGCACAAGCCTTAAAATTTTGCCGCAATTCAAAAGGAGCAAGGGATCACTCGGGTTCCAGGAGTTCGCCGTGCACTCTACGCAGAATCTATGCTGAGGCGTTGTCATTTTTCAAGCAATTGGAGCTGCAAATGAGTTTCAGCATCCCAAATATTTTCAAGTATCCCAAATCAGCAGACATCGACAGACACAGAAAGTGCTTCATGCGCTCCAACTGAACAAGGAAGCGACAGGGCCTTGATTTCCTCAGGCGTGTAGGCCGCATAGAGTTGCCGGAGAGTGCAAGGAACGACGAGTTCGAAGTATGTTCTTGCGACACGAAGTGCTTAAGTTGTTTGGTCATGAACGCTTTTATGGGTGACCAAGACGCCTGGCACCGATGGCGGCAGTGGCTCCAGAGCTGGTCGCTAGGAGGCTCCGTATTCCCAGTAGTGGAGGAAGTTCAGTGACTCAGAGAAGAGCCTCCTGTGCCAACTTCAATCTGAATCTGCAGCTTGAAGAGTCTCCAGGATCCCATGAGCGCCTCGAAGAGATCGTTGCGGACTTATCCTTAGCTTTACACTTTACACGATACATGGCGACATATGGCGTGACGTAGCTTTCATGCATTGGCAGGCTTTTTCGCGAACATATTTTGTTTCGGGGGGGAAGAGGGGAGGGGGGGGGGGGGGGGGGGGGGGGGGGGGGGGGGGGGGGGGGGCGGGGGTGGGAAAACCTTTATTTTCTCTACTTTAGGTATGTCTTTACTAGGAAAACCTCATCGAGCGGCCACTCCGAGATCCGAAGCCCAACACGAGGAACAAGGGTGAGGAAAACCTCTACTTTCTCGTAAAGCCTCTATACTGTCTATACTTTCTCCATTTTAAGATGAGGTGTATTTTCGGGGACCCTTTTTTTGCCCTTGTTTTTTTTGTTTTTTTAGCCTTATTTTCTATAGAAACAGAGGAAAACCAGAGAACAAGATCCATTTTCCTCTCTAACCCTAAACCCTATAAACCCCAACCCTAACCCCTAAACCCTGAACCCTGACCCTAAACCCAAACCCCAAACCCTAAACCCTAAACCCTAAACCTTAAACCCTAATCTTTAAGCGAACTACGGGCGCTGCGATAGAAAGCAGCGAGCGTGCAGGGAGCGACAGCCCCTTCCAGCTCCGGAGCATGCGCGACAGTCCCTGCGAAGGAGCTCCATTGGCTACAGCGGAAGGATGCTGTAATTGTCAGCGCATGCTGTGATGCGCCGTGCAGTTTCCAGACAGCAGGATTCAGCGGCAACCAGCGCTGTTCTCGCGAGCGGGGGAATGGTTCTTGTGTTGTTGTGTGTTTTGGGGCCCCGATCTGATAGCCTCTTGGCTCCAGGTTAGCTCCGCTCACTTCTTGACTTCCTTGCTTTTCCTAATCCTAGGCCCGAGGCTTTTTCTGCTTCCACTCTTCACCAGCTAACCTGCTATTGTTTGTTGCTGTGTCTTTACAAGATCTCTTCTCGACGTACGTGCAGACATAGTACGCGCTTTAGTCACCCTGCTGTTTGCCCCATGAGAGTAATAGGGAGGAGTCTATATCAATTTAAAGGGGATCCATATGAATTCAAAAGGGATGAGCTTATCTGAATTAGGGATGAGTTTATATGAATTCAAAAGGGATCCATATTATAGGGATGAGTTTATATATGAATTCAAAAGGGATTCATATGAATTTTAAAGGGATGAGTTTATATAGTTTTTTGAAATCCAGGGCCCGCGACCAGGACATTAAAGCGGGTCCCGAAACAGTGCCTCTTATTCGAGGTTGGGCTGGCTCCTAGACCGCCCGCCCCTGTGCCGGATTGATCAAGACAATTTTATATATGGTTTGTTAAACGGGGATTCTTGGTTTCGGCTTTGTTGGGATTCCGGGTTTTGGGGTCTTGGAAAAGAGGCCTGCCCTTAAGATTCAAAAGCCCTGCCATTCAGCCAAGAGACCAGGGCATCGAAATCCAGAGCGCCAGGCGTGCCGCCAGGACATTCAAGCGGGTCCCGAAGCAGTGCCTCGTATCCGAGGTTGGGCTGGCCCCTGGACCACCCTTTGCCGGAGTGATCAAGACATTTTTTATACGGTTTTTTCACAGGGAATTCTTGGTTTCGGCTTTGTTGGGATTCCGGGATTTTGGGGTCTTGGAAAAGGGGGCTGCCTTTAAGACTCAAAGGCCCGGCCTTTTAGGTTCAACGCTTGCTTCACAGCAAGCCCTAACTCCCTTAAAACAAGCCCAAAATCTTTCAAACAATGCCGGATTTCGGGAACCGTTTGACGTTAACCAGGGGCTCTCAAACTGTCAGGATGCCCTGAATAACTCAGCCAATGATTTTTGAGGGGAGGCCCCTGCTTCACAGGGTCCAACATTTAGAGTCTTGATTGATGATTTCAGACTTTTTGTTGGCGGTTGGAGCAATTCTTCAAGTGTTCTGAAAATGTTTCCAAGTATTCTTCAAGTTCCTGAAATATTCCAACAGAATTCCAAACATTCTTTGAAAGTTTCAGAAATATTCTAAGAAGATTTTAAAGAATGAAAAGTTTCCGAAGTATTCTAGCACAGTTCTAAATATTCGAAGCACTTTTTTTGGTAAATATTTTTCTCTGGGCGAAATTGGGGCTCCTCACGTGAAAATGGGGCAAATGGGGGTTGCCAGTTGAGATTGCTATTTGGAGAGGCTCCTCAGGCAACAAGCCAGTTGGAGATGCTCCTCAGGCCTGCGCTTACGAGGATTTGGCTTGCTCCTGCGGGCTGGTTAGCGGGGATCTTATTAAAATACAGAGGCATTAGGGATTAATGGGGAAAAGCCAATGAAAACACAGAGGCAATCGAGTTTTTCGTAAAGCCAATGAAGTTAACGAGTTTCATGCGAGTTGCGTGACTCCTGTTCAAATACAGTGGCAGTAGAGCTTTTCCTAGAAAACTTATTAAGATACCGAGGCAGTATGTTTTTTCCGAGGCACAACCAAGGAAAGCAAAGGTTTTTCTCATTGCGTACGCTGTTGGGGTCGGTGAATCCCAGGGAGCGCCGGAGCGCGAGGAGCGGCGAGGAGCGGCGGGGAGCGGCGCGGAGCGGCGCGGAGCGGCGGGGAGCGGCGGGGAGCGGCGGGGAGCGGCGGGGAGCGGCGGGGAGCGGCGGGGACGTGACGACATCAGCATGCAGCCGTTAAACAGATCCTTTTCGCTGTGCGGTTTCAGACGTACGCTGGACGCTGTCTTCTTCAACTCCAAACACAAAACACTGAGGATGCCAAACTACCCATTAAGTGAAAGGATGCCTACACATAAATTCAATTGTCTCACCTGCGAATGCTCTCCGACGCCTTATTCTATATTCCATGCCTTAGTCAGCGCACGCAGTCATGGTGGCCGAAGCCTAGACCCGTCTCAACACTACGAATCTTCACGATGCTACAGCTCTAGGCTTGATAGCGTGTGATTTGTTCGCGGAGTTGCAGCACTTGCTTTCCGCAAGGGGCGAAGGGTGCGCTCAGGGCCACCGGGGCGTCGGGGAGCGTTGAGAAGCATTGAGGAGCACTGAGACGCTGACGGGCGCTGAAGCAGGGACACGATGGAGCGACTACTGCGGCTGCGTGTTGTGCGCTTCTAGTTGAATTGTCCACTGTGTGGGTGTCTCTATACATACCTGCCCACAGCTCCCCACAGCTCCCCACAGCTCCCCACAGCTCCCCACAGCTCCCCACAGCTCCCACTCCCACAGCTCCCCACGTACAGCTCCCCGCAGCTCCCGCAGCTCCCCGCAGCTCCCCACAGCTCCCCACAGCTCCCCACAGCACCTCACGGCTCCCCACAGCTCCCCCCACGCCTCCCCACAGCGCCCACAGCGCCCCACAGCGCCCCGCAGCGCCCCCGGAAACTCGACCCCGATTGCCCGCACTCTGGTTTTTCTACTAAGAGCATGGAGAAAAGAGATTTTCCTCTCAAGATAGAGAAATGTAGAGGTTTTCCGAGGAAGTAGAGGTTTTCCTCGTAAAAACATACGAAATCAAAGCTCGCGAGAAAAAAGTTCGCGAACAAATTCTCCACCGATTCTGAAAGCTCCAAGTCCAAGGACACGTGTCCGCAGCTTGACGGCTCTGTTGAGGAGCGTGGTCGACCCAGTTGCACACCCAATCCATGTCACCGTTTAATGAGAAGGCCTGCCAACAATGCTGCTATTTCACAGAAAGGTTAGAGCCTAAGACATCCATGCACTCCGCAACCCATGCTTCCACATCGCTAGAAGCATTTGTCGCATGGTTTGGGTGGACGTACGTACACGTGAAACCAGTGAGGGAGCCTGTCGCGCGGTGACACAGCCGTCAACAAGTGTTGAAGAATCATGAAAAACCCCCCTCTTGAATTGAGACTACTTTGAACTGCGCCGCGACAGTTTTTGGATCGCAAGGTCATGCCGAGGCGCTAGAAGCGCTGCTCGGGGAGGCCAGTGTTCCAGAACTCTACGGACGCTTTACACACACACGCACACACACACACACACACACACACACACACGAAACACATCTGCTATGAAGAGGAGCGTTGCTGCTATGAAGAGGAGCGTTGCCCCTTTGTGGCTGCCTTCTTCTCGAGCTCGTCACCGCTCTCCCAGTCTACAAAGCTAGTGCTTGGGCTGCTTTCGAGCAAGACATACGTTAAAGGGAGCAAGGACGACCATCGATAGAGCTCCAGCCGAGGCCCTGACAGAGCAAAGGCTCGCAAGCTCCTTTCCGAGCTTGAGGTACGTGGCTTGGCGCAAGAAATTTCGAATCTTTTGTGCTTATACACAAACTTCAGGGGACAAATAAGTCGGACAAGTTGGCAGAGGAACGTGAGGGTGTTTGTCTGGGCGTTGGGATATCGTGGATGTTCGTGGGAGTCCAACTCTAACGCACGTGTGTGAGACAGTTCTCCAGATCCAATGCTGTGTGGCCCTTGACGTGATCACAAAGGTCCGAGTCGAAACTGAGCAGATGAGCATTCGTACCTTTCTGCAGAGCTTTGGCTGAAAGAAGTAGGCGACAGCACGCCCAGCTGCTTTGCTGAACTGGCCCCAGGTGGGACATCAACTACCTCCCCACTTACGTACTGTTCTGGCCGCAGAACTCATCAAGCCCTTGGCAGAGGTGGCAGTCTGGCAGGCATGCCAATCCATACGATGCTTGCCAGCAGTTTGTGAGCACTTTGTGTACCGGTTTCATGGTTTCAGCGCGATCGGCAACAACATCAGTGCATCAGTAAAAAGATGAACAGCAACAGCGAGATCAGCAGCGCATCCTGTGCTGAAGCCTTTCCAGGACTACGAGGATGTCTCGGCGTGGATTGTGCAGACCACAGGCCCAACTGCCCAACTCAGTGTCAGGTCGTAAGTCCTAAGTCTTCCTCTCTCTCTAACCGTTTCAAAGCTTCCTCCTTCATAGGACTCTGGCCACGGAACAGCTCCCGGGCGTCGGCGGACCCCGTCCCTCCGCGGGGTCGCGGGAACCCCAACGCCTCTTTCGGCGCGCTCTCCGCCGGCTGGGCTCTAGCCACTCAGCGACAAAACGGCCCATGGGGGGGGCTTTAATCAGATTGGATCATGCATTGAATCCCCCGACTTGAAAAACTGAACCGGAGTGCAATTCTTCTCTTGAGGGCGTGTTGAGGTGGGTCCCGGCCCTCGGGCCCTCGCCCTCCCTCAAACTCGCCCAGTGCCAGGTGGCCATCGCTGTGCTGCACAGACTCCTCAATCGGATGCCGCTGTGAAAAAGCGTGATAAAGCGTGATAGAGGAAGAGACAGAGACAGAGAGAAGAGGAGAAGGACAAAGAAGAAGGCAACAGTTCCGGGGAGTGTTGAAGTGCGCCCATGAGCCTCATGCGGACGTTTGCGAGCGCGACTCATGCGGCTCACCGGCTCGAGATAGAATGGAAGGAGGCTGAGGGACATTTCCGACGTCGAGCTTGAAGGCGGCGCTCTCGAAATCTCCTCCACGCCCACCCCCATCCTCCCCAGCATTTCTGAATTGCTCCCCTTGAGTCTAGAACTTGCCAGGGGCCGCGATGGCGGACGGTGCCCTTAACGACCCTATGCCGCATCAGAGAGAGACCCGCAAGAGCAGTAAGCCACACCGCATTCGGCCTTACAGCCTTGTAGGCCCTGCTCAGAGAGCGCACCGGACAACTGCTGCCAGTTCTTTGGGAAGTCAGAAAGTGCGAAGCTGTGTCCTCGACCCCAGCACCTTAAGGTCTTGCTCCATGCCGCGGGGCTCGTCCTGGTTGTTTTGGAGCCCTGGGCATATGAGAGAGGGAGAGGGGGAGGGGGAGGGAGCACTTTGCACTTGCACTTTGCACTTTGCACTTTATTTTGTTTTATGTGATTTCATTTAGATGGTAATTTGTTTCCTTTAGTCTATTTTGTTTTTGACACTTTGTCAGTTCGTGGTTTCAGAGTGTCACATCCGAGAGTATCGGCCTTTGAGTCTTGGGCCCTGGCTTTGCCTTCTCAGGACTTTCTTGTTTGGGTCCTGACGCTGGGCTCCGGCCCTCAATTTCACCAAGGGAGAGGGGGGTCTCGAGAGGGCTCTCATGCCTCTCATGCCTCTCATCCGCTCTCCCATTAAAACAAGGTCCCGTGTGGATGCTGCAGAAGACCATGACCGGCGTGGCGGAGTTCGCCCGCGCGGGGCTCACCAAGCTTTGTTGCTCAGTGCCCGCTTCAGTCTCTCCGGGCCTCCCTCCCCTCTTCTCGCAGCAAAACTTAGAGAGGATGTATGCAGGAAGTATGTAGGAAAGACAAAGTATAAATAGATATACGTAGATACAAATAGAATAGGTATAAATAGATATAGATATGGATAGATTAACCTCTCGCCTAAGACTCCGAGGACCGGTCCGCAAGGCAAAGATCAACGGCAGCGGCCCGGACTCCGACGTCCGGGGGCCCAAAATGGAAACGCTCCCCCTCCCTAGCCGCCAGAGCAATCATCCCTGCAGTTCCTGCTCCTCCCTCCTCGTCGGGTTCCTCTCTCTCCCTCTCCTTTTTTTTTTTCCCTCCGTGCAAAAAGCAGGAGAACGGGGGACAACGGGGGGGGGGGAGGGTTTAACGGTTTTCAAACCGCTCAGAGTGCTCTGAAAGGTGTGGCAGGCGACCCAGGCAGCCGACGCTGGGAGGCTGCTCTCCTCCCCGCATCCGGAGGAGGAACCAGGGGGGTTCGAGAGAGTCGGTGCGCTGCTGCCCCTAGCTGTGGGGACAAAAGTGCAAGTGTAAGTGTAAGTGTAAGTGTGTGTGTGTGTGTGTGTGTGTAAGTGTAAGTGTGTGTGTGTGTGTAAGTGTGTGTAAGTGTGTGTAAGTGTGTGTGTGTGTGTGTAAGTGTGTGTGTAAGTGTGTGTGTGTGTGTGTGTGTGTGTGTGTAAGTGTGTGTGTAATTGTGTGTGTGTGTGTGTAAGTGTGTGTAATTGTGTGTGTGTGTGTGTGTGTGTGTGTGTGTGTGTGTGTGTGTGTGTGTGGCTTTTGTCGTTTTTTTGGAGCAGGGTGTGTACACAATCTACCAGCTACTCGATCGTTCCTTTAAGCGTCAGATCCTCAGCACATCTGGCAGTCGTGAAGGGTGCCTTCTTTGGAGCGCCTTGTAAGGATACGAGCAGAGCAAGGCGCAAGGCATCAGGCCGCTGCTCTCATGGAAGAAGGCGGGGGCGCTGCGCGGCTGCCCCTCCCCTTCTTGTGCTCCCTTTTTGTTGTGCTCCTTCTTGTGACTCTGCTCTGCCTCTTGTTGCACCTCAGGAGGAGGGCTACCGGTTCCCGGCCAAGGCGGGGGGAGCTGGTGGTGGATGAGTCGTGAATGGATTCTCGCACACTTAAAAGACCGCGATGATATGTACGTAGTGTGTGTGTGTGTGTGTGTGTGTGTGTGTGTGTGTGTGTGTGTGTGTGTGTGTGTGGGTGTGTGTGTGTGTGTGTGTGCGTGATTTGATGGGAAAGAATTCAGGGGGACGAGACTTCCGATCTTACAATTCAAATCTCTGCTGGACGGGTCGCTGCCCATGCCCCTTAACCCGAACCTTCGAACGTTCGGAGGAATGTGAGCTGCTTCTCGCCAGGAATTCATGTGCAATCCGCGGCAGCACGAAGTAATCTACTTTAATCTACCAGCCCAACGTATGATTTATACACGAAGGATCGGCAGGCCGTAAAACGTGATGTGTGCAGCATGCTTTCCGCCAGTGCGTTTTTTTTTGCGATTTTGCTTCTCCTGGCGGAGGTTTTCGGCCCGACGCAGTGGAGGACCTACGGAGAGATGGGGAAGCTGTGCAAGGTGCGACGCGCCCAAATGCTCGACGAAGATTCTTTTTCAATTTTCGTCCTTCGCCCTGAGGAGTTTGGAGCTGGGCTCAGAGCACTTGGCTTGGAGCAGGGGGCCTCGATTGAGAGCCTTGTTGCCCTGCGAGCCTGAGAAACAAACTTCTCCACGAGTCCATGTTTTTTCTCAGGCCCCAGCCAGAAGGCGACTTCGACAGCCTCACCGGGAAGTTCAAGATTCTCATGTACGAGGCGCGGAGTCGCCAAAAGTCCCCTCTCTGATGCTGTTGTTGCTGTTAACTGCTGTTAACTGCTGTTCTTGCTGCTGCAGTGGCTGCAGCATTCCCAGCATCCTGCAACTGCAGCCTGCCGTCAAGGACACCTGCGCTGACTGGCAGATCTGCGCGCTCCGCCGGCGCAGCTTAACGCCTGAACAGCCTTGGTCTACAGTCAGGGGGCAACGGCAAGAGCTTCCGAGATCTCGAGAGCCGTCCAGGGTAGCAGTGACAGGTACGGGGCTCTGACGCAGAACCTTGTGGTCGCCACCTGCTACGCGACCCTCGGCACCGATGCTGTCATCCACGCGGTCAACGAAGGCACAGGGAAACGGCGAGTTTTGGTTTCACTGTACAAGACAGTTTGGAAGCAGCATGGTCTTAGAGGCTTTTCGAAGAGTTGGGCACATGACGGGGTGGTGCGTATTTGAAGCATGCGAGGGGCAAATATACTGTTGGTAGCCGCTTGGTGGCCGCTTAAGCGGAGGTGCGGTGAGCGCCCTGGTCTGCAACCGAAAGGCCGCCGAGGGCCCGGGCGCCCGGGCGGGCTTCAGCTGTTTCTGTTTACTTTTCTTCTGTTGTTCTTTTGGAGAGTTCTCTGAGAATGCTCTCCTTTTCAAAGGGCTTGCGAAGACGGCCTCCGAGATGCCCTCCCTGGAGGAGCGAATGTCCTGAGAGCTGAGGGGAAAGCTGAGGGGTTCAGCTTTGGACAAGTGCACTCAGTGCAGGCCATCATCTACCTAGACAACCTCTGCACGCCAGCGTCCTACTGGAAAAAAGCCGTTGGCTCAAACTCCCCCTCTTCTCCATCCAATGCTTCTCAGGCCGGACGAGTGCAAGCATCGGTTGACAAGCACCGGCAACGTGAAGTTGCTGTCAATGCACTCCCGTCCTGTTTCCTGTTTCCGAAACGGCGGAGTGTATGGAGAGGCGAAAAAACTTAAACAGGCCCCCTTGAAACCCCTTAGCCTTCAACAATGCCAGGCAGGATGTCCTCGACATGGGCAAGGCAGCCTTTTTCTTTGAAGCGCATCGTGGACAGATGTGGACAGTAATCGTCAACGCGCATTGTCTCGGCAGCCGGCCCAAAGAGGGGCGTAGCATGGGCAACGGTCCTTTGAGGGGTCCAGGGGCGGGGTTTCAAGGGTTTCCAGTCTTCAAAGGGGTTTCCAGTCCCAGGGCGTCCCAGGCGGCTTTTGGGGGGCTCACAGAGATCTTGGTCTGCTTGCTCTCGACGCCAGCTCTTTTTCTGGGGTGGAACTTTGGCGAACTTTGGCGAGGCCAACCCGGTGGAGCCCAGCCCACCCAAGCCGGAGTCCGTGGCCGTGTTGATGTGCGCCGTGAGAAGTTTGAAAGTCTGAGAGAAACGTCACACACAACAGTGCTGCTGAGAGAACTCATCTGTACCTTGAGTCAGGGGGTCGAAGTTTGCAAAATTAGCGGAGTTGAAGGCCTGCGGCAAATCTTGCAGGTACACCAGTGGCTCGACAGGCACACCGAAGGTCCCAGCTTTGTGTCTTGCCGCGCAAGTCTGCTTCTTGTTTCGGCCTAGTCGGCCTTAGCAAAATGCCCCGGTTGCATGGCGGAAGAAGTTTGCCCTCAGGGTGTGGTACTGCGACACTCTCATCTCGTCTCCTTTGCTGCGTCTTGCCTGAACCTCAGGCTTCATGCCTTCAGAGTCTGCTTTGCTGTTAGGGCAGCTGAGTCCTTTTCGACCTCCCACACTCAAGTAAATGTTTCGTACCGTTGTTTTGAACCGTCTTTCTCGTGCGCGACGGCGCGGAGAGGTCCCATGCAGGATACTTCTTCAGCACGACATACCCTTTGTGGCCTACATGCGTGCTCGAAATTGCACTCATTGCATGTTGCAAGCTGCCGTTCTGTCGTTTCACGCTTGTGGTGGGTCCTCCAACACATGCCACCAGAAGCAGAGTTGTCGTCAGCAAAATGGAATCTTGTGTGTGTGTGTGTGTGATTTCCACGTCAGTATGATCATTGTCAACATGCTTTGCTCTATTTATCTGCTTCCTTATTTCAGATAGACCGAAGTTCTCTTCGGGCCTGGTATACATAGATTGCAATTCGCAGCTTTTTTTGTTTTCGTTTCCTTTAGATTTAGATTTTGCAGGAAGACCCTAAACCCTGAACCCTGAACCCTAAACCCTAAACCCTAAGCCCTAAAACCCTAAGCCCTAAACCCTAAAACCCTAAAACCCTAAAACCCTAAGACCCTAAAACCCTAGAACCCTAGAACCCTAAAACCCTAAAACCCTAGAACCCTAAAACCCTAAAACCCTAAAACCCTAAAACCCTAAAACCCTAAAACCCTAAAGCCCTAAAGCCCTAGAACCCTAAAACCCTAAAACCCTAAAACCCTAAAACCCTAAACCCTAAACCCTAACCCCTAACCCCTAAACCCTAAACCCTAAACCCACAAACATACCCTAAACCCAAAAACATACCCTAAACCCAAAAACATACCCAAAAAAAGCCAAAAAAAACACCCAAAAAAAACCTGGCTCCGAAGAGTCGTCTCTGCGGTGCAGATCAAGCAACAGTAACATGTAATCCCAGAACACGGCCAAGGTGTGGTTCAGTTTGGCTCTCTTATCTATGAAGGCCAGGAGCAAAGACGACAGAAGCATTCCAAAGCAGGCTCCAAAGCAGGCTCAAAAGCGATTCCTGAAGAGGTGGCGAGATGTTTATCGGCTACCTTCCTTTGGCGCACATTCTGGCAGTGTCTGCTGAGTTGTGCGCGCCCTGGCCACGGCAACCGCAGCCTCCCATGAGCTCCATGCGCTTGGCTTGCTTGGCTTGACAGGTACTTCTACTCGACCGGAAACTGCATCGGTTATGCGGATGCGAAATCGCTGCTTGCAGGACCCCCCGGCTCTGGGTACATGCACCACGCAAATGCCACATGCGCAAAGTGCTGGGAAAATGGCTTAAGATTGCGCGAAACTATATCGCGCAATGACATGACGAAAGCGCCGCTGAAAGTTCTGCGGAGGTCCCGAGAGGTGCTACCCGACGGGTGGACTCGAGGAGCCAGCGCCTCAGAGCGCGCCCAGCGCCGATCAAAGGCCAAGGGGCCGAAGAAGGGCGCACTTAGTGTGCACTTCTTCACAACAGTGAGTTGCTTAGCTCAGCCTGACTTTGGCGCCACTGACCCTCGTGCTCATGCGGACCAAGTTTCCGAGCAGGATTGCGTCATACGCAGCGCATATGCGCACAAAAAGACCTGGGAGATCCTAGGAGGCAAGCCGCGGCAGGCCCTGCCTTCGCGCAAGCGCAAGCGTCTCCCACAGTCGAGTTTCCTGTGGCTTTAGGGTAGAGGCAGACGCGCAACCCTCAGGCTCTCAGGCTGTATGTTTTTCCCCTACTTCTTGTGGTCTGCGATTGAGTATCTGCACAAAAAGGGGCAGTGCAGGAGAACGATGAGGCATGCGATGGTAGAAGGGGAAGAAAGAAATCTCCGCCCAGCAAGCAAAGAGAGGTTCACCGACCACAGAGCAACGGAAAGAGTGCACTCCTCTTGACCGCAGGCAGCAGACACTGAGACACCGAGACTGAGACTCACTGAGGTTCAAGCCGACGCTCATGGCCGGAGTGCCGAAGGCAGGGAATGGCAGGGAAGTACGGAAATGGCATTAAGGCAAAAGGCAAAAGGCTGCCGTAGTTTCTGACGGAGGTGTGGGAGACCATCAAGAAAGGCAGCGGCTGCACATGATCATATTGATTCGGTACGAGGATGCCGCGTACCTGCGAGCTTTAGAAGCAGAATCTCGCAGGTGCTGAGGTCAAAGTGGAGAAAAGCGGACCAGTGCCTCGTTCTTACATTCCGCAATTCCGCAGCATCCGTTTTGAGGAGATGCCAGTCAAGTGGTCCTAGACCAAAGTGTGGAGCCGCCTTCTCCGGCGTTTTTCCACAGGGTGTCCTTCCTCTTCAAGCTGGCCATGAAAGTCAAAAAGGCTGCGGCCAGCACCCTCAGCCTCTGAATCTCCCTATGTCTCCCTATGTCATTATGTCATATTCTCAAGACGCAGTTTTTTTGGTCAGCTTCGCCCTCGCTGTGAAAAGCTGCCCTCGCCTCGAGGTGCGACAGAATCGCTACACACCGTTGTTCGACCTTTTGGCCCTCGGCTGAGTGGCGACCACTGCAGCATACTGCAACTGCATGTGTGAAGGCCGTTGCGCATAATTGCAACATCCTTCTTTGAGGTCTTCAAGAAGTTTAAATCCATGTCGGGGGCCAACTGCATGTGCACTTCGCTGCGCACGCAAGCGCTCTTTATGCGCGCTCCAAGCGCTCTAATGCAGAGAGAGGCTTGGCGGAAGTATGAAGTTCACGTTGTCGGGCGGCGGCGCCATCTCCGGAGAAGTTCAGGCGAGTGGAGATCGTGTGTGGAGATCTTGGGAGTTACGTGTATGAGCGCCGGAGATCAATGAGCCACCATAACTCTGAATCTCTCAGTCTTACATGGCGTTCTGACGCAAAAAATGGTCCTGCAGGAGTGGGTGCGGGCCGCTGCCTGAGTGATGGTTGGTCCATGTTGGTCCTCTAGATCTGCCTCTGCCATTTGAAGAGCTCGCTGGGGAAGCTCTCGCTCATCTCTCGCCTCAAAATCGGTGAGGCGGCCTTCTCGTGTCCTCTGGTGCAAGGGTATGGCCCCAGCCTCGAGTGGTTTAAGGTTTGTGTGTAGGCCCGGTAGGCACGTGGTGGATTCGCGCTTCGGCTGCCGTGCGCTGCCATGAGGTCTTACGGAGACTTGCGGAGGGTCGACGTCGCCCCGGCTGTTGGCTTGTGGGCTTTGCTGCTGTTCGGCTTCTGCGCTTCGTCCGGGGAATTCGGCTTCGAATGACAGGATCCAGAATCCGTTGGACCCCAGCATCGGGGCCGTTGGAACTCCGCTCGCGTCTGTGGAGATCACCCTGCACTCGGAGCGCGGGGCCGAGCGGCTGCTCGCTGCCTTGTGCCTGCTTTGTGTTGTGGCATTGTGCATCATGTGCTGGTGTGATGATATCTCGTGACCTCGTGTCTCCTGCGTGGGCTGCGAATGCGAAGGCCAGAGCTCACTGACTCTGCCGGCAAGCCTTATCTGTGCACAGATGAGGCCGCGGCTGCGGTGCAGCGTGTCCAATATCAGCTTCAAGAATGGAAGCTTCAGAGCTGCCGAAAGAATCGGAATCCCAAGAAGGACCACTTCGGGGAGGCGTGCTGTGGCCGGGGGGAGATCTGGATCAAGGGCGCGGTGCCTCAGAGCCGTGAAGGGCGCAGAGCCATGCAGAGCCATGCAGCGTGCTATGCAGCATGCCATGCAGCGTGCTTTGCAGCGCCCGAACCGCTGCCGAGTGCAAGTTGGGCCCCGTTTCAATTCTGGTTTGTTCTGTTGCGAGTCACGAGGCTTGTCTGTCGGTTCGGGCTATTACAAGCTTCCGGACAAGACTGCTGCTTGGCATCATTGGTTCTGAGATGTTCTGAGTGTACTTACAAGTCCGGTGCCCCTGCAAGCACAGAAATAATATTGGGCGTGCAGCGCCACCGCAATATGCGGCGCCATGCGGTCTTGCCGAGGCCGAAGACTTTGACAAGGATGGCTGGCCCAGAGACTGAATGGGGGTACGCAAGGTGTATGAGTGGCGTCAGCGTACGCCAGCGTGGATCTAGGGACATTGTAGGGACCTAGGCTGGCTGCAGGGGGGGCACCGAGGTTCCACACCGGTGACATTGGATTGATCACCCCAGCAGGCTGGCAGCTCCGAATTTTGAGACGTCTGGCGGTCTGATCTGTTTGCAGGTCGAAGTTGTCATAGATGTCTTTTGTTGCATCCGGTAGGCTTCCTATATATAGACGTTATGTAGTAGATTGAACCGCGGACCTCAAGACCCTTGGCTCTAGGGAGCTTCTGAAAGGAGGCATCCGCGGCATCCAGATTTCGTCGAGAGTTTGTTAAGGAAATGCCCAGAGGAAGAACGGGGTGCACCGCACGCTGAGAACAGAAGCAACGGAGATTTTGCATGAGCTGCGATGCAAAAGACCAAAGACCAACAAGGCGTCCAGCCAAGCAGCAAGGTCCTACTTCGCTGGACGTCCGACGATGATCACTGTAGAGTTTTGGTTGCCATTGCATGAGTTTTTGCCGCGCCTTCGCCAAAGACGCCATGGTGTTGCGTGAAGCTGTGCGCAATGGTCACCTGTCTGCCCAACTCGCACCAGTAGGTCCACGCGGCCCAAACGTGTCCTCTTTTGGGCTCCTCGTGCTGCAAATGGCCATCTTGTTCCAACTCGCGTTTGCAGGTCGAGTAAAGATCATTGACCGAAAGAAGAACCTCGCCACGGCCTCGAGCATCAATTGTGTCAAGTGCCCCCGTTTGAACAGTCCCGAGGTGAAGCTGAAGGGAGGTGAATACGTTGCTTTGGAGATGATCAACGTCCCGACCTCGGCGGCTCTTACCAAACTCTTCGCACCTCGTGTGCAATCCCGGCATATAGCTGTGATCTGTTGTGGTCTCAGGTGACGTACAACAACGCGGACATCATCAACGCAGATGCTGGAGGCGCCGTTGCAGATGCTCCTCTCTTTGCGCAGTGGCGCCAAAAACGAAAGTGTGATCGACGGTCTGCGCTTCGGCTCCAGGAGTGTGCTCCTTTGCAAGCCATGAGATCGATCGCCCTGTACTGCTTGCTCAGTGTGCCTTGCTGAGAAGAACTGACGCGGGTAAAAACCGAAGCTGTCAACTCCGTCAACTGTGTTTTTTTTTTTCAGAGTGTTTGGAGCCACTTGGCGTCTTGAGAGTGGGAGACTTTATTTGAGATTGAACATTGTGAAGGACAATGACAATTCAAGAGTTAAAGAGTCAAAGAATCAAAGTTCAGAAAACAAAAGAAGAGAGTCTCTCAGTTTCTCCTTCTCAGTTTCTCTCTCAGTTTGTTTCCTTGAGGCAAGCGGAAGGAGCTGCTGGAGCTGGCAGCCAAGAGCGGGGCCGGTGCACTCAGACTTCTCTGCTCTGAGCGAGTCGCAGCGAGTCATTCAATTCAGTCTCAGGTGCTCATGTTTTGAATCTTAGAGAACAGTTTGAGATCAGTTCTAGAAAATATGGAAGGCACGCAAACCACTGAGGTAACAGGTAAAGACGGCGAAGAACTCTGCAGAGATCCGAAGGCCAAACCTAAGCAGAGTGTTTTGGTTTGTTGCTTCTTGGGCAGCGGCTGCAGTGGGAGGTGATGGCTGCAGTGAAAGCCACCCTGGACGCTGCAGCCAAGGCGCGCTTCCCCTCCGAATTCCAACCCCCAAACCCCTTTTTAATTGTGTGTGTTTATCTTGCAGGTATATGTTGCATAGAAGAAGAGTTGCCCTTCCCCCGTCTTTCCCTCCTCTCCCCTCATCTTCTCTCATCTTGGGCTAAGCAGAGTCTCTTGCACTCGCGGAGTCACAAGAGACTCTCTGAGAGGCCGGGAAGCTCCCGTCCCTGATGCACGCCACGGCCGTGATGCCCGTCTTGGAGCCCTGGACCGCGGAACACAAGCAACGTCGCTGTGAGCTCTTTTGAAGTCGGGATGTTGGAGGGGGAATCACATATGGGTTCCAAGATACGGGATGGAGCCAGCATGGTGCAGGACGCCAGACAACGGCTGCCTGACGGCGACCTCAAAGCCGCTCGGAAAAAGCTCAGAGCAGTGCCCAAACACCCATGAAGCCGTTCTGAGCCCTCGGAGCGGCCCTCTGAAATACCCGACCTACCCCCAACGAGGCTTGTGCCAAAGACCATCTACAACGTTCACGCGAAGGTGGCCAGGGAGAGTCGCGGGCAAAGTGTCGATCTGACAACTGCGGTTACGATGAAGGGTGGGCTCTTGAACCACTCTGTGCTGTTCTGATCTGTGCAGTGGCATGATGTGGCATGGAACCCTTCCAGTCACAGGATGCGCACCTGACACTCCCAGTCCCAGTAGAGCCCGAGCTCGAGCTTGCCCAAGACAGTCCGTAGATCGCAGGACCTCGACATCTTGAAGCCGCGCGCTCCTCACGGCATCTCTTGTTAAAAACACTGAACTGCTCCAGAGGCAAATCGGCAGAGAAGCAAAGCAATCCGTGTTTCGAACCTTTTCGAACTCTGAGGATGGCCATGAAGGGATGAGAGTCCGACCCCGTGAGTCTCACATCTTCTGGAGCTCATGGATTCTTAACGGGGGTTCAGCATGGTTCTGTACAGGATCTCCGGAGAAGTCTACAGCAGAGGGTGCTTGATGCCCTAGCGATGCCGGTGATAGCACAAGCTTTGTGTCACCTTCGGCAGTGCGGAGACTGTACAGGAGCCGCAGCGAACAGAAGCCGATAGGAGCCACGTCATGGATTCAAAGAGCGTCGCAAGATGTTGCAATCAATTGCATTATTTAACGGCTACCGCCAGTGCCGCCGACCCCAGACAGGAGGGCGGGCGGCAGGCCGGCAAACCGCAGAGCCAGTACAGGCTCCGAGATTTAGGGTTTAGGGTGAAGGGCTGTAGCAAAAACTATTTAAAAAGAATGAGTTCTATGTAATTATAACTAATATCTATACACATAGTATTTTAAAGTATATAATGGGTTTTTGGTAAACATGAAGACCAAAAGATCAAGGAGATATCTTTTAGTTATCTTTTATCTTTTTATATCTGTATAAAACCGAAATTCATATCTTTGGGGCTCGGGGCAGGGCGCTAAGGGCGGTGGGGGCGCGAGGGTTGGGCATGCGCTGGGGGTGATGAAGCAGGCAGCAGGCCTACTGTGTGAAATCATTGGGGTGGGGGGGAGGTGACCTTGTCGTGTGGGAGGGCGCAGGGGGGGGCCGGTGGGGGGGGCGTGGGGGGTGGGGTGGGGGGGAGGGGGGGGGGGGGTTGCGGGGCCTTCTGGTAGAAGGCTGGGCCATGGGGCCATGGGGGTAGGTTTTTGGGGCGCTGGGGCCATGAAGCCATGGGGCCAGGGCCGTGTTGGAGTGGGTGGGGGGAGTCGGGATGTGTGCTGGAAGCTGGGGGAGTTGGGGTGGGGTGGGAGGGGCAATCGCCTTGGGGGACGTAGATGAGGTGGGGGAGGGGGGGGCGGGGGGCTTGGGGGGTGGGGGCGGGTGGGAGTTGGGGTAGCGCTTGGCGGACTGTCATGGATGAGGTGGAAGGTCTAAAAAGCAGTGGGTCTTCACTGACGCCGCCCCCGGGGTCGGCGGATAATTGCGCAGATGCTCCAAGGAAGAGAGTCCCACCGAAGCACCTTGAAAACACTGAACGCTGCACATCCGCAGCTGTCCTGGGATTCGGGTGAGCCGCGCGATGCAGGGCGGCCCTTCTTGGCTCTTTTTTGCTCGTTGGGCTCCCCGAAATTGCGCAATAGCTCACTCAAGCCTCCTAATGCCCCGTAAAAACGCCGTGCAAAGTGCCTTACGTCAATATGTTCCTTCCTGAGTCCCCCTATGCCTGGCTCATGCCTGGCTCATGCACTTCCGATGGCTCGCGTGGCCCTGGCATGCCTGGTCTCCCGCGCACGCCGCGGGCTCGGCGGATGCGGCGGATGCGTTTTATGCGGCGGGGCGCTGCGGGGGCGCCTTCTTCGATCCGCGGAGCTTCGGGGACCTGGTGGGCGCCTCCGGTGCAGCCACCGCCGCACACGTGGACTACTGGAGCGGGGGCCTGCAAACGGATGAGCTTCCTGGGCACTATGCCGAGTACGTCCTAAACTTGTCAGAGGTTTGTGCCTCCACATGCTGGGCTGCAGGCTGCTGACTTTGCAATGCTTTGAACGCTTTGGCTGTTTGAAGCTAGACGTTGCTATAGTTGGTGGGTGTTCTGTTGTGCTGGTTCTTGCATTTATTTCTTTGTTCTGTGCCTGACCAGGAGCAAGATATTGGGAAGTTTCCCTGGACCGCGAGTTGTACTTTCCCAGCTGGATTCAGCAAGCGCAGCAACTGGGTTGCGAAGGGTGCTTGGAGCTCCCAGCAAAGGTCCAGGCCCTGGCGCCTTTGATGCGCGTCGGCCTCTGCACGCCCGAAGTGTGCAGTGCTGGGGAGGTTAGGGAGGAACTCCTGAGCGGAGCCTCAGCAGATCTATTGGAAAGAAGCACGTTCAATCAACTGCCCCCACAACCTGAAGTCGTCCTTAAAGATGAAAGGCAAATATGCGAGTTCGAGTCGCATGATACGTGAGCATGTGAGCATTCTGAGGATACCTGATGCATGTTCTGGGCGCGGCAGTGGCGTTTCCGGTTCCCACAGAAGCTGAAGCACAGGTGGTGGAACTCTCACATTGGTCCCGCTTTGAGTTGGACTTCGTCATCGCGGGAGTTGATAACTGTGGAACCACGTCGCTTGGGCGCTGGCTGCAGCAGCTTGAGGGTGTCGAGTTCAGCAGAGGCGGCGAGGAGGATGAGTCTCTGTTTGCGCACGACAGACTGCTTCCGTACCTGTCAGAAGTCGAAGCCTTTAACTCGCAGTGGAGAAGTTCATCAACATTGAAAGGGCTCAGGCATCCAAGTCTCTGGGCGCACCTTCGAGCCCGCATGGCCTTAGCTCGTATTCAGCGCTTGAGAGTCTTGCTGGTCGTTTGCGACCCTCTCAGTCGGATAGACAAAGCCTTTTGGTGGTATCACATCTGCAACCCGTCCCTCCCACACCCAGAAGCAGGACCACTGTTACGGCCGGGCACGTGCTACGACAGCATTGCCAGCGCGTTGGAGCCAGGGTTCTTGAGACGCTTTGACGTCCGAAGGCATTTGGAACACGTGCAGCGACTCTTCGGGCAGAGGCTGGTCGTCTTGCACCAAGAGCACCTGCGTTTGCAGGCTCCGGAGGCCTTCTACAGGGTCCTACTGTTTCTTGGGCTTACCGCGCCGGAGTGGTGCCGCTTGGCACGGCACAACCACCGCCCTGGGCATCGAACGGACTTGTGCAACAACGACACGCTGGTCCTCAGGTTTAAGGAGGCATTGGCACCCGAGCATCTCGCTTGCCTGGGCCATTTCTGCGGGTCGGCGGCTGTTTGCATAGTTAGCTAGAGTTAGCTAGGCGTGGTTGTCGTTTCTTTGTGCCGTTTGTGCGACTAAGTTTGCGTGCAATGGCTGTGTGCGAAGTTTACAACTTTGCTTGCGAGTGCGCTCGCATGGAGCTTTTCGTTGTGTTGTTCTGGCTTCAGTTGGATCGGCCGGAGTAGGGCACTGGCACTGAAACTTGGAAACGTCGAAGCAAGGACAAGGAGTCCAGGAAGAGTCCAGGAACCCCCCTGAGCCTCACAGAGCATGCCATTTGCATTGGGGCAGGGTGCCTGTGCGATCTTGTGTGTGTGTGTGTGTGTGTGTGTGTGTGTTTGGACTTGACATTCCCAGATGCCCAAACTCCTAGACTCCCAGACTGAGAGGTTTGATCCCAAACGGCCACCGTCGCAACCCAGAAGCCCCATATAAGCTGTATATATGCTGTATGTCTAAGCTTTCTATCGGAGGCAAAAGTGCGGCCATGCTTGCAGCCTTTCTGAAGCCCAAGGTATGCCTTCTTGGAGCGGCTGCTGAGGAAGTTTGGGATCTTGCCCCTTTGCCTCGAATGCTTGGTCCGCGTCAGTTGCAATGTCCTAGCCTTGATCCCACTTTGCAGCTTCTTTTTCTTGGTCTGATTGTGGCTCTCTTGCTCTCAGTCTGCAGCCTCAGTGTGTGACCTGTGTACTGCAGCTTTGTGCAAGAGTTCATATCCTGCAATGTTTACAGTGTAATCAAGTGTAATCACTTTGCATTTGGGAAATCTTCTCTTTTGTGTTGGCTCTGAATGCGAGGCCCGTGCCAGACCAGCTCCTTCTGCGGCAATCACGATGTGACCGCGCCGAGGAGCTTCTCTTAGAGGAGGAGGAGTGAAACAAGGAGTCAAATGCAAGAGTTCAAAAAATCGGTTTGCAAAAGGAGTTGTCACGAAAGCTAGCTCCTTCGAAGCTTGCGGGAGTTCTTGTTTACCACTTTGTTGTTTGGTCAAACTGCACTCAGGGGGCCTTAATCTCCGATATTATCGGAGGTTTAAGGTCCCAAGGGGGGGGTCCCCCTCCCCCCCCGAGATTAACGTGAGAATCCCTGCTTTACAACTCGACAACATGAGAATCCCTAGTTCACAACTGCACAAACAACTCTGTCTTTCTGTTTCGCTCCTGCTTGCCAATGAGCTCTTGGAGTCTTTCTCTGCCTTTCGTCTTTGCTCGAGCAGGTGGTTACCTGCGACAACATCAGGCCCCTGTAGTGAGGGGTGCTAACTGATGCTTGCCAATGGGCCTCTGGAGATTCTTCTCCCTTGTCTGGTGTCTGCTTGGGCTCTTTTTTTTGTTTTTCCCCACCCTCGGTGTGGTTGTTTGATTTTTCACTGAAGTCTTCTCTTCGCCCGGAACTCTTCTCCTCGCCCGGTCTACCCAACCCCAAAGTGTCCCTGGAACGCCCAACTCTAGATTGTCCTGTCGCTTTAGATTCTCCCGTCAACGGGCAGCAATTGTGCATGGAAAGCTCAATCGGCTGCCGTGTTTCCGCCCGCCCCCCGCCCCCCGGAGTATTGCGGGACATGCAGGCTTGCCCGTCTTTGTTGTGTCATGGATGTGGAAGCTGTGGATGGCAAACAGTTGAGCCTCTGCGTGTCTTGCCATGGGTCCACAGATGGTGTTGGCAATATTCGGTTCCAAGAGCGTTTGCCTGGGTATTTTTTGGGTTGGCAAGATGGAGTGCCAGTCATGTGCCCCACTTGTACTGCATCCAATGTGGACGCTATTCCTTGAAGACAAGCTGTCTTGTTCACGATAGTTTTTTCTTCGTTTCTTGAGATGTGGAACGCTTGGATTGCCTTTTGCATCATTAGGCTATCATCGTTCTCCCCAAGAAACACCGAAGAAAACTTGTCATTGGCCCAGCGCGCAATGACGCACCGTTGTCGAACATTGTTTGCGTGGCAGCTGGGAGTGTTTGTCTCTTATCTTTTGTGTGAAGATCATCCAGTTGCAAAGTTTCAACACTTCCGGTCTTCGCAAGAAGAAACAACTGCTTGAAGACGCTTCAGGTTTTATTCGCCCGGTCTTTCAGGTCGCGGCAAAGCGGCTAGGATGTTGGTGGAACTGCTGAGGGCTTCTCTGTTTCGAATCCATCGGCAGATGTCTGGGCAGATGTGAGTGCGTGGAAAATGGGCCTGCGTTTGCTTTCCAAGATGAACCATTTTGATATGCCTTCCTGTTTCATAAAGTGCACGCAACACAGACCAATCGCGACTGGTGCTGGAGAGAGAGAGAGAGAGAGAGAGAAAGAGAGAGAGAGAGAGAGAGAAAGAGAGAAAGAGAGAAAGAGAGAAAGAGAGAAAGAGAGAAAGAGAGAAAGAGAGAAAGAGAGAAAGAGAGAAAGAGAGAAAGAGAGAAAGAGAGAAAGAGAGAAAGAGAGAAAGAGAGAAAGAGAGAAAGAGAGAAAGAGAGAGAAAGTCACGACCCCGGACACGATGCACGCAACGCCAGTCTGTGACTGCCTGCACCCCTTCCATTTGTCCTATGCCCGCCGTGATGAGGGCCCGGATCAGCTCCCCTTGTTCGATTTGCTCGGCTCTGCTCATGTGTGGGAGGTTTTCAATGAGGTCGCGGGCTTGGCCCCCTGCTTCTTCCAGCGCTGCGTCCATGGTGTTGGTTGGCGGTTGGTTGACGCAGGCTGCTGGGGTGTCTCGACTGCTGCTGCTGCTGCTGCTGCCGGCTGCTGCTTCCGGTGTGGAGTGTTGGGTATTGGGTCTGTTGCGTTCTCGCCCGCTTGGTTTCGGGGCCGGCGGTATCCGCGTGTTCTTCTGGTGTTGCGTCGTCCCTGCTCGTGTTCGGGAGGGGGCGTGCTCCCGGCGCCTGGTTGTTGTGGTTTTGCATGAGCGCAGCGTCGTCGGGTTCTTCGGATAGGTCCTTTGGTTCTGCTGGCTGTGTCTGTCGTGGGTATGGTCTTGGTCGGTAGAAGCTTTGCGTGGCTTCTACTGGTGGTTGTTGTGTGGTGGCTGTGGCGGCTGGTTGGCCGTTCGGATGCGAGTGAGGGTGCCCCCCTTCGCTTGGGTCTTGGGTTGGGTGCTCTGGTACGTCTGCGGGGTGGGTATGTTGTGACGCCAAGGCGCTCGGTGGTGGTTGTTGGTTGGGTTGGCTGGGAAGGGTCTCGTCCACGAGGTAAAGGTTGATCCACGTCCACGGTTGCACTGTTAGGTATGGGCCTCCTGGTGTATTTGGCTCCGGCGCATCATGGATGTGGAGTGTCCATTGGTTGGTCGTGGCTGTTTCCTGGTACAGGAAGCCCGTTGTGCCTGGAGGTAGGGCAGGGGTGTGGTTTGGCGTGGTGGTGGTGCTAGGGCTCGTTGCCAGGGCCGTGACCTCTAGCCACCATCCTCCCTGGTGCTTCCGAAAGAAAGAAAGAAAGAGAAAGTGAGAGTGAGAGTGAGAGAGAGAGAGAGAGAGAGAGAGAGCGCGAGCGAGCGAGCGAGAGAGAGAGAGAGAGAGCTCTCTCTATGTATGTTCCGCACCTGGACCTGGCGCTCGGGCGCCTTGGTGCGTGGGGGACCCTCGGGCCCCCTCATGCCCAGCAGAAGAAGAAGAAGAAGAAGAAGAAGAAGAAGAAGAAGAAGAAGAAGAAAAAGAAGAAGAAGAAGAGAGAGCGGAACGGCTCCGAGCGGTTCCGGGCGAATTTTAACCACTGTGGGGCTATTGTTGCGACTTTGACTTGAGTGATGGTCTCTCGCGGCACTGTTACAAATGTCCAGAACGGTTCCGAACGATTCCGGACGATGTAAAACAGTTCGGCCAGTTTAATAAATCGTTCGGGGTACTTTATATATAGTCCGGACAGATGAAATCCGGTCCAACAGACCCATGCCAACAAAGAGGCCCATGCACCCACTAACTCAAAGGTCTTGCAGGATGATCCACTGCACAGCGGAGGACGTTTTCAAAACAGCACCTACCAGCCTTTGAGATAGGAACACTCACCCCTCCCCTACACGCTGCCAAATCTGTATGGGGGGGAGCCAATGGGGGAGGGTCACATTTCGGGGCAGGACCTGTCTCAACTTCCGTCCGCGCGCACCCTGCCTGTTGTTGCCTTCATCCCCAGCCCAAAGCACGCGCTGTTTGTGCACGTCCGTCATGATAATCTCTTCCACCCACTGTCGGGTGACCATTGTTTCCATTGTTTTGGTTTACAGCCCGAGACGTGCACGCGCTTTTGACGCCGACGATCTCGCTTGAACACGCCCCTTGGGGACCATGTGCAGCGGAAGGAAGGAAGGAAGAAGGAGGGAGAGAGAGAGAGAGAGAGAGAGATAGCGTGAGAACGTGAGACAAAGAGAGAAACGGGGGGCTTTCGTTCGGACCGAACCAAGCAGCGGGCCGTCGTGGCCGGGGTCTCCTTATCTCTTCGCTGGGCAGAAGCAGAAGCCGAAGCAGAAGAAGAAGAAAGAAAACAAGAAGAATAGAGAGAGAGAGAGAGTTATCTAGAGAGCGTGAGAGCATGAGAGCGAGAAGAGAGCGAGGTAGTTTCAGTCTAGCTGATGTTTCGTGAGTTCGCGCAGTTCATATGAAGGGCTCGTGTTTAATGGAGCTGCCCTTTCTCAAGTACTTGAAGCGAAGCTACTAGACTCTTATGATTTCCTGGCCTATCATCTCGAAGCCATTTGCTTGCGTCTTGCTTAGTGGCTTTCAGTCGACACTAGTCTTGGCAGGACACATCCGGAGTTGTGCGGCGCTTGCATTGACTTGGAAGCACATTGAAGCCGACAGCAGCTGCTGGTAGCGCTCGATCCCTGCCAGCAATGATGAGCCTTAAATTTTTCGGGATTGTTTAGGACCGTTCAAGTCTTCATGGCCAGTGTCATGGCTGTAGCGTGATTCATGATCCACTCGCAAACACATGAGGGTTCGGGAGCCCTGGGCTGGATTCAGAATTCGCCTGATTGTGCCTGAGCATATCAGGGCATCCATTCTGAAGGGTTGCAAATACGTTGGCTGCGGTCCGCGTATTGCGCTAGTTCGGTTTTCAGAGTGGAGAGTTGCCATGCAAGGTCCCAACACGAGCTGGAAGCTCCCTGCCTCAGGCTGTGTGTTCGCATTGGTGTCAGTCAACCCCTCCATTGCATGCTCGTTTATCCGATGCGATGAAGCTCTCGATCAACGACGGACGGTTGGGAGATGTTGGGCGGTCGAACAGTCGCATCAGCGGGCGCTGGGCGTGGACGTCGCGGAGATCTTCGAAACGCTACCCATGGGGCCATTGTTGCCCATGTTGGTGACATCTTCAACTCCTGCAACACCTCAAGCAAAAGGCATCACCAGGCGAAGGCGGCAATAGTGAGAGCTCTCGAATGACGGCTCTCATGTCGACAAGGAGGAGGTGCAGGAGGAAGAGATGCTGTTGCGGAGAGCTAAAAAAGTGCTACGTGTTGTGACTCGGGGTTCTTGTTTTGGGTGCTTATCTGAGCGATGCCATTCACTGATTCTTTAACTCCCATGGTATGGCTGAATGAATGCATTGTGACAGTTGGCTTGACGCATGCAAACACCTTCTTTAACTTGTCAAGCGTGGGAGAATGCTGGGCCTCATTGAGTAAGTGCGTGACATAAAGGGAGCCTTCGCCAAGTCTGGTGCGCGTTCAGGAAACACCCCGTAAGCATGACTGCAGGCTCTAGAGCAGGGTGCCGTCGGGAGATGGGATGGCACCAGCGGGTCCATCGCTGACCCAGGCTGGCCCCACACCTTGCGCCTTCATACTCACTCATCCAGGCATCGGACGATCTGCCATCCACCGCGTGTCTTCCACAAGCGATTTCGGTTGTAGGCGCTCGAGCCAGCAACGTCGTTGGCATAGTTCATTCCAGGCTCCATCCATTGCAGGAGCCGGCGTGCTTTGGGTCTTCTGCCCAAAGCTACCTGTCAACCTTGTGAGGTTTTATCTCACGTTCCGGGCATTCCGGGCGTTCCTTGCGCGAGCTCCTTCCACTTGTATCCCACGTTTGTATGCGCCTTTGCAACTTGCAGCCAGCCATGCCGGCACAGTGTCGTTTGCAAAAGACGAACGCACTAACGTCCAACATTTGACCGGGCCATGTCTATCTCCTTTCGTCTTGGCTGGCGTGTCCGCGGACGCTCACAGCAATCCCGCGCGCATCACACTCCTCGATCACGCCAAAGCTGTAATTAATCTGCGAGACCTTCGACCTGAAGATAAACCAGCCGCGTGAGGTTGGAGGAACCCAAACATGTTGGGTTCTCTTGCCTTGTTCCACTCTGCAGGTAGAACATCTCTCATGGCATGCTTGCTGAAGATCTGGCAGCAAAGCAGCGTCTTCTTGCCCTGGAACAGGCATTTTCACCAGCTTTTTTGTGAGCTCCTCCACTTGCGGTGAGGAGCGCGTAGCAGCACCATAAATTTGGTTCCAGAGTTCACGCCCCGTGCGACTTCAGCTCTGAACGATCGCAGATGCAGCGCGTGCACATGAAATTGTTCGCGTTGTGCAAGTCGCTTACATGTTGCTACTGTACATTGCTTCCGCGGAGGTGATCGTCAGTCTCTAAGTCGCAGTTTCGTGTCCACATGCTGTGGAGCTTCTGCAGGTCCCAAACAGCTCGAGAACCGCTGCCGGCACTCCGGCGGAGCAGGCGACGAAATCGACATGTTAAAAAGGGTCAGAGGGGCTGTTGCTTGGTGGTGTCCGTCGAAGACGGTTGCGACCAATTGGGCAGGGCATCCAAAGTACCAGCCTTGCAACGTGTCGATGCGTCATCGGCAGGGCAGGCTCGCGGGGAAGGGCAGGACTTGCCGCAGCGCGCGACGCCCAATATAGAGTGACAAGAGGCGCACTTTAATCGCAGGCAGCCGCGTGTGAACACATGCACGGGTTGTTTCAAGGATGCCCTCATTGATTTTAACTGGTGTTCATGCTTGCGACATACTGCTGACGGCTCGAGCCAGGTGGTATACAGATTCCAGATTGTTTGAACACCCGGCAGCAACAATTGACGGCACATCAAAGACGAGGAAAAGTTTGGCAATTTGGTTTGGGAAGTGCCCAGTTCGAAAAACTCACATACTTTCAGCTTGCAGTGTGTGGCCCATCAAGAATACGAGCGTTTTGTGGAGAGGGACTTTTTTTTCGACCTCGACCACGCCAAGCGCGTATGCCTGGCGAGCTGGTACACGCGCTCGCCGAGGTCCGTACAGCGGCCAAGCCTGGCTCGGCGCTGATGCGACCGATGCCCGCTCGACGCGGGGCCTGGAAGATGTTCCTGCTCGTGCCTGCACATGCTGCCAACCCACTGCCCGCCGAACTCCTCGAATATGAGCCTCAACATGGAGTGCAGTTGCCCGTCAGAGCGGTGGCGACGGCGCGTTGAGTCTACGCGAAGAGGGGCGGCAGGGATGTGTGGCATGTGGGCTGAGCACTTGAAGCTCTTGCTACAGAGTGCAGAAGCCAACAGCTCGCACGCGCGCAAGTCCCGGCAGAGATTCGGACGCCGCTCGCCATGGCCCGCCTGATGGCATCTGACGGCTTTGCGGAAGCCCGACACCGGAGGGCCGGGCATAGCCACAGGCGACGCCTTTCGCCGCCTCGTTTTCGCGCAGGCTCGCAATTGTAAGCTGTGGGCCTCCGTGTTCGACCGTGCCACCCATCCTTACCATGAGCTCGCCCCTCGAACTTCTACCATTCGACTGGATGTTTTTTTCGGCCAGCCCTCGATGAGAAAATGGCAGGTGGGGATGTTGCAGGGAAGTTGTCCAAGGCGAGTGCTGCGAGCAGGGCGATGCTTTGTATGGCCTACCTGGACGACCTGCGCATCATTACGTTCCCGGACCACCGCCCGCACGGCCAACACTTCGTGAAGGTCTGGCGCCGTTCCAGGACAGGCACCGCAGAGAGCCACAGAGCTGAGAGGCATTCGTCCTTGTCCTTTTGAGGCGCCTTCATTTCTTTGACTTTGCCTTTTTTGCGCTTTTTCCAGCACTGACCTACGAGACCCCATGCCGTCGGCAGCGGCCGCGGACGAAGATGGTGGCCACGACCTCCGAACCGCAGACGACGAGCTGTTGGGGGCCGCTGTTGCTGAGCAAGCGCTGTCACGGGCAGCATGACCATGTGCGGTCACGTGCGAACGCCTCCGTCTGTCAGACGCGGCCAGCGTGGCCGAGTCATCGCGGACGACTGTGCGCTGCAGCAACAGTTCACGAACCAACGGCCAGCAGTGTGCAAGGCTGCTTGGCGGCACCGTTTTGAATGCGTTGCGAAAGTCAAGCTTGACCAACTCTTTTCCCGGGCCGAAGTGGCGGGCCATCCAAGTCCGCGTTGCGTGCACAGCAGCCTCAGCGCCACCCGGCGCCGCGCTCGCATCCCTGCCGTGTGCTGCCGACGCCTGGCAGGACTTGCAATAGGTTTTGTTGAGCTTCCTAATGTACGCATGCATTGAATTGGTCCCCAATGGGTGATTCAGGCTTCGAGTCGTGGCACAGCCAGTGGATTTACACGCGTTGCCAGAGCGAGGCCCGTCAACGCCGCTCCCGCCGCCTACAGGGCCTCCTGGGCGGACTGCTTGGCGACCATTCGAGCCCAGGCGCCGCTGGCAGCTCGTTTGGTCCGCGCAGGGCAGTCCTCCACCAAACCCGCATTGCCTCTCACGGCAGCACGCCGCGCGGCCGCCCGGGCAGGAAGAACGCGAGTTTGGGGAATTCCTGCGAGTGTCGCCCGCAACGTTCGCCTGTCTGACATGGACATATATATGGATTTTTTTTTTTCTCGCACCTTTTTCCGCCAGCTGGAAGGAGTCCCTTCGCTACGGCCGCAGGGGCAGGCGACTGTGGCCCTCAGGGGCAGCGTGTTGGATGACGCTGTCGAGCGGCGGGCCTTCGCCAGCCTCAGGTTGCAGCGGCTGCCGCCAGGCACCTCCAAGAGCCGTACTGGCGACTGCCTGCTGCACCGCGACCGAAAGCATGCTCCACCAGCGCCTCGCCCAAGCTGCTGTCGCTGCCGCGCGCACGGGGAGGGGGGCGCGGTACGCCTTGAGACGCACCAGGTCTCGCACGAAGCCTCGGGCCTGAGCGTTCCAGCGGCCGCCCACCTCGGAGCCGAGCACGACGAGCGTTTGCGGCCCCCCTCGCGTGAGCTCCGGGTACGCGGCGTGCTTGCGGCGCTCAGCCACCCGCAGCACGGCTCCGTCCACGGCCGCTGCGCACGGCTGCGGGTGCCCCGATCGCGTGAGCGGGGAAACCAGCGTGGCGTCGCAGCACTGCGCCCCCCCGCTGCGCAGCGCCCCGTACACGACGAGGTCGAGTCTGCGACGGTCCTGCGCTCCGACCTGCGGGGCGGTGGTGTTGGCCAGCCACTGCTGCGGAACGACTTGACCTTCCGACCCCACCGCTTCCCGGGCGACCTGCACCCAGTCTCGCTCCACGATCATATATGGACATCGATGTCCCGGTCTCGGATGACCGCCGCATCGAAATCGTTGTGAACGGGATGTCTCCGTGGCCTTACGACAAACTCCGGGAGCTTACCCTGCCCACCGCTCGCCCCAGCCATACAGGCCCATGGCAGTGCCAGTATCTACACCTGGCTCGACAAGACCGACGCAGAAGGCGAGGCACTCGAGGCAAGACCCGCGTATGGAATGTCGCCGGTAAGGAGCCTGCCGGCCTGGCCGCGTCTCGAGGCGGTCTGAACACGTCCGTCCTTGCATCGGGGGCTAAACATGCGACCTTTCTGCCGCTGCACAAGCAGCACCATCATGCGAGGCTGGCGAGAGGCAAGGGAGTCTGGACCTTTCCTCGGTTGCCGTCTACATGCAAAGACAATCGCGGCTTTCCGCGACGAATGAAATCAAAATCTCTGAAAAGAGTCACCCCAAACACCTTTTGCAAGCCTAACATGAATTCATGATCGGTAACCTTGGCACCATCAACAGGGTTCCATGATCGCAGCGAGTCGTTGGTTTCAGGAGATTCTGCATGTTTTAGCATCCTCAGTACCAAAAGCGCAGAAACGCGTTCCGAAACGCAGCCTTCACTTTTGAACCCATGCCGCATATTGGACTGCCGGGCAGCTTTTGACCAGCCGCCCGCTGGACGAAATCGGAGGCCTGCATGGCCAGGTGCCTTGCTCGGTAGCTGCGCCATTTTCACAAACATGTGCACAGCTGATAGACGCGGCAACCGATAGAACGAACATGAGCAAAAGTAAAAACATCTGTGATCGATGTCCCGTTCTCGGATGACCGCCGCATCGAAGTCGTCGCAAACGGCCTGTCCTTGTGGCATGGTGCACAGCAAGCTGTGGATGCCACCATAGGCAGGCGACGCCCAGCCGGTGCTGACATGCATCCCGGTCGGGTTGTTGATTGCGCCGCCCGACGCAAACGCCGCCAGACCTACCCCGAGCTCCTGCGCGCTCGCCGCTGCCCAAAAACACCACGTGAGAAAAATAAAAAAAGATACACACACACACACACACACACACACACACACACACACACACACACACACACACACACACACACACACACACACACACACACACACACACACACACACACACACACACACACACACACACACACACACACACACACACACACACACACACACACACACACACACACACACACACACACACACACACACACACACACACACACACACACACACACACACACACACACACACACACAACCACACACACACACACACACACACACACACACACACACACACACACACACACACACACACACACACACACACACACACACACACACACACACACACACACACACACACACACACACACACACACACACACACACACACACACACCCCAAGCAGACTGCGGAGTTCTGCACACGCGAAGGTGCGGTTGCGTGCATGTGGGGTTGCTCTCCTGACACATCTCCTGGCTCCTGACACCTTCTGTAGTATGCATGATCGTTTTGTTTCGTTTCGGCGGGGTTTTCCGCTCACCTCCCCAAATCCAGTCGGGGTTTGATGCTCCTGCTTGCTCACCAGTAGTGACGAAGACTTGTGTTCGCTTCTGGAGCTGCCCATCGTGGGGCCTCGTGACCCAACAGACGGCCACGAGGGCCGGCCAACTGCCGCCAGAGCCCAGCGGGCTGTGAGGGCATCCCCGCGTGCGCCGACACCGGGACACCTGACTGCGGGCGGGAAAAATGTGCAGACCCGTGCAAGACTTGTACAGCCACGGTGGTAGCCCAGATGCAGTGAGATGTAGCGATGTGCGTACCGTGCATGGACCTCCGTCCGCGCGAGGCTGCTGCGTGAAGCGCATCAGACTCCGGGCGAGGAGCACAATGGGTCTGCGAAAGGGCCGTCTGCCCCACTGCAACTTTGCAACTCTGCAACTGTTTAGGCGATGGCCATGATGAAGCCGACGGACCGGCAGGTCCAGGAGATGGCATCGTTGTCCAGGCATGTCCATGTCAGACAGGCGCACGTTGCGGGCGACCTTTTCCCCGGCCGCATGACAAACCCGCGCCACTGCCCGCTCGAGAGGGAGGGCTCGAAATGCGAGCACAACGGAAGTCGCACATCCAGCCCTGAGGTCGCCGAAGGGTTCGAGGCGACCTCGGCAGGTGCACATGCGCGGTGCGACTGGCAGCGGCAGGCCAAGCCGTCGTAGCAGCAGAACGCGGCAGAGTGGTGATGGCACTGTCAACTCAGCCCTCTCGAGATGCCGCATCAGTGTCAGAAAGATTGAAAAGCGAGACGTCCTCGTTGACTCTGCTGAGTCGCCGCCGCTCGCCTTGGGGTGAGCCGGGTCGGAGGTTAGGCAGGTTGTGGGTTCGGTAAGGCTCGGTGGTCTGCTGCACTGGGACCGCGATCGGATGCTTGCTAAAAGGGTGCGAAAAAATGCCGTAGCCCTTGAGCCTCGACCACCAGACGCGAGCGGGTGCGACGTTGACACCGGACGCGGCCCTGCGCCGCCTTCGGGCCGTGGCGCCGACGCAGGGCGGAATCATGTTGCCCGTGGCAGTCGCGGCACTGGTGTCCGATAACCACTACCTTGCTGCCAGCTCGCAGGAAGCGTTGCTGATCTGCTTCGCCGGGGAGGCGGCAGCATCGCGCATCTCGGCGGGCGCCGCAGCGCTAGTAGCACCTCCCATCCCCGTGGCCGATGCTCCAAGCGCTGCGCCGGCAGCTTCCAGCGCTGATGCACATGTGTCGCACGTTGCTGGGCTCGCTGCTCGCGCTCGCGGACGTGGGCGGCGGGGGCGCGGGGGTCGCGGACGCGGGCGACGGCAAGGCGAACGGCAGGTGACAGCGCCCGTGGCGGCCACGCAACTCGACACCGACAGCGACCAGGCTCCACACGGGGCGGCAGGCAGTGCGCAGCGCAGCCAACCGCAGGCTTCACCTGCCGGACTACCTGCACTGTTGCCACAGCTGCGCGGCGTTGATCTCGCTGCTGAACTCGGCGAGCGGGTCTACACGTTCCAAACCCCGCCACGACAAATGCGTGGACTCCTGAGAAACGCCATGCGCATCGCTCTTGAGGCGATCTTGAACGCCCCAGGTACGGACACGGAACTGGATGGCTGGAAGCTGTTTGTCCTGGCGCCGCGGATGCTGCTCTTCAGGGCGCCCGGGGCGTCCCGGGTCCCTCGTGATGAGTTGGCGCGCCGGGAGCGCCTGTTCTGTGAGGGCAGATGGGCTCAGTTGCTCCACGAGTGTGTGGCCGCAGCTCGGGAATCCGCGGTAGTGACTACAGCTCCCGCGCGTAGCCGGCCGGCTGACGGGTCGGATGATGACGTCCGACGACGGGCGGAGAGAGCTGCAGCCCTCGCCCATATGGGCGAGCTCTCGGCCGCTGCCCAGGCCTTGACCGCTTCCCCCTTGGCACCCGCCACTGCCGAAACGCTGGCGGAGCTGCGCGACCCGGACAGACGCCCTCCCACCGTTCAGGTCCCCTCGAACCGCCTTTGGACACGCGTTCCTCGCCCGTCATCGAACTTTGCCGACGGCGGCTGCTGGACAACCTCCGCCGTGCCCGACGGGGTGCAGCGGCTGGGCCGTCGGGCTGTACAAATGAGCATCTGCGGGTCATGCTGGACGAGGAGCTCGGCACCGAGCTTCTCGGCCGCGTAGCAGGCAGACTCGCAGTAGCTGACGTGCCGGGAGAGATCGCATGTGCGCTGAGGATAGGTCGGATGGTCGCGCTGACCAAGCCAACGGGCGGAGTCAGGGCATTGGTGATGGGGGATGTGTTTCGCCGGCTCGTGGCACGCACGCTGGCGCAGCAGTTCGGGGAACAGTTTCGGCAGGCGTGCGCGCCATTCCAGTTCGCACTTGGCACGCGCGCCGGCGCAGAAGCGCTGGCCCGTGCGTTGCGGGCCGCAACGGAGGCCGACCCTCGAACAACGGTGCTGAGCATAGATGGCGTGGGCGCGTACGACCACATCTCCCGTGCCAGTATGCTGCGGGCGCTGAGCTCCCACGCCCCGCTGGCCGGCCTGCTCCCGTTCGCGCACTTGTTCTATGGCCAGCCCAGCCGCTACATCTACTATGATGGGCGGGGGGAGGGGCACGAGGTGCTGCAGGGAGAGGGAGGGGAACAAGGCGACCCGCTGATGCCGGGGTTATACGCGCTCGGCCAACATGCTGCCCTTCTCCACCTTCACTCCCGGTTGCGGCAGGACGAGCGACTCTTTGCCTTCCTGGATGACATCTACGTCACGTCCACTCCGGCGAGGACGCTCCCCGCGCTGCGGTCTGCCCAAGAGGCGCTGTCCCAGCACGCCAACGTCCAGGTCCATCTCGGTAAGACCAGGGCATGGAACGCCGCTGGCGAGGAGCCTCCGGCTGCGCTGCCCCGCCGGGCGGGCGACCCACCCTGTTGGACCGGGAGCTGGACCTTGCCGCCTGAGGAGCAGGGCCTTGTAGTGCTGGGGACTCCCATAGGTAGTAGAGAGTACGTCGCGCGCTTTCTAGAAGACAAGCGAGGCCAGCACGACGTCCTTCTCGCGCGGCTACCGGCAGTGCAGGACCTCCAGAGCGCGTGGCTTCTGCTGTTGTTCTGTGCGGCGCCACGGTGCAACTATTTGCTGCGCACGGTGCCGCCGAGCGCAACGGAGGCGTACGCGGCGTCGCACGATGAGGCCATCCTGCGCTGCCTGGCGACCTTGTTGTCTGGGGGGGGATGTGCCGTTGGAGCTCCCTCCCAATAGTGCGAGGCGTGCTCGCCTGCCGCTTCGCATGGGGGCTTGGGCTTGTCGCCTGCCAGGGAGCACAGGCATGCAGCATATTGGGCCTCATGGGCAGACACGGTCACCGCGCTGCAAGAGTGCCATCCAGGCACATTGGCCACACTAATGCGGCCCCTGTTGAGTGTTGCGGCAACCGGTGTGCCCCCCAGTGTCAGGGAGGCCGACCAGGCTGCGCAAACCCTGCG